ACGCAGAGAAGCTCCCGCCCCTTTTACACGAGAGTAAATCCCCGAATAATCGTTATTGGAGGTCTGAAATGATCAATTATTTCTGTTTCAGAACGACGAGCCGATCGTTTGTTTGTTCCTATTAAATCAACAGATCCGTCTCTACCTCTAAAATAAAATATCCCAAACACCCAGACTGACCTTCTCTAAAGTTTGAAGGTCAAACTGCGTTTCATCGACTTCAGGTCAGGATTCAAAACTCATCACTGAACCCACAGACCGAGACGTTCAGGGGGTCAGATCTGAAAATATAGATTTATAAATACAAACGTGACGATAAACCGACTTACTGTAAAATCCACTCGCTCTGTGAGACCGGCAGATTTCCAGCGATGAACTCTGAGTGTTTCTACGACATTCAGGAGTTTTTCCGTCCCTCAGAGATGATCCGTGTGTTTCCAGGGTCGGTCCGGGTCAAACTCCTAAAAAAGAAGGAAATCAGGAATTACTCAAACTTTAATTTATCTAACCCTGAACCTGTGAACGTCTGCTTCTCTTTTAATTTCCTCATTAATTTGTACGTTTTCACCCTGATGTCAGAGGAAGTTACAGTCAGGATCATCCTGTTTACCTGCTGCTGTCAGTTTAGTCAGACTCATATGAGGCCGGATGTTTCAGCCTGAGGACGCTGACCGACTCTGACAAACACGACCCTGAAACCAAACATGAGTTTTTAACGACCGTTTTATTTAAAGATCGTTTCTTCACTTCACTGTCAACAGTTCGGCCGTCATCAGCCTGAACCTCAGAGTAAATCTTTGAAGACCGTTATTATAGTCATATTATTATTTCATACTCTTCTGTAGATCTTATGTTCTCTGCTTCAGGACCATGGACAGCACCGCAGATTTACAATCACAGCAGCTGATCAGTTATTGATCAGAATCAGAAATACTTTAATCCTCAGGAGGAAATTACTTTAGTCAAAGTAACTCCAGAGCAAATCCAGTCAAAGGAGGAGATCAATAACAGATAAATAATCAATAATAAAGAGATAATATACAAGTATGTAGACGACAGTATAAACAACACAAACAGTAACATGGTTTCATGTAGAACAGTGAGCAGAGTCGAGGTAAAGACGACTGACTGAGTTCAGAAGTCTGATGAACCAGCAGGACAGACCTCCTGAGGTTCATCGTGGAGCGAGGAGTCTCCTCTGCTGGACCAGGTCACTGTGGAGAGGGTGGGAGACCTGGTCCAGTGTGGAGTGGAGCTTGGACAGCAGGGAGAGTCCAGCTCCACCCCAACAACAACAACAACAACAACAACAACAACAACAACAACAACAACAACACCTCCGTCCTTTCTGATCTGCTAAAAACTCACATTTACAAAAAGGATCGACGAGTGAAGACAAAGAAAGTTAACTCCACCCTCCTCCACTGCTGGAACAGAACACACAGGGGTGTGTGTGTGTGTGTGTGTGTGTGTGTGTGTGTGTGTAGGTCAACAAAAGAAATGCCTTTTGGCGGTTTTGCTGACAACATGTCACCCCCCCTCCGTCCTCAGGGACCTTCGGCTCTTTAAAAATGACCTCGGCTGATAAGAAGATTCGATTACACGTCTGTGTCCGAGTCACTGTGAGGGATCCACAAAAACCTGGTTCTGGTTTTGGTCGGAGTGGGACCATAAACCACAAAAAGAGGACCGAGGAGGGTACGGAGACTCTGTGACCGTGTGGTGGACCAGAGCGACGTTCAGACTGCAGGTCATTCTGATGTTTTAACATCATGTTTATGTTTCATATTGATATTGATGAATTTAATTTTTACTATATCATAACCGTTTTCTCGCCCAGCCCTACTTCAGAGTCGTGTCTGTTTTCCACCTGAGGGCCCAGAGATCGTGGTCATGTGGTTCTGGTTTTGGTCCGTGTCCCTGTTTGTTCTCAGAATCTTTATTTTCTTTGTGACGATTTCAGACCAAAGAGCTCAGACCAGCGTCTCCACAGGGAAAGTGTTTCTGAAATGTGAGCTCTCTGCAGACCCTCTGCTGCCCGAGGAAACTCTGTTTTAGTTTAAAGTGGGTCTGAGATTCTGGATCCTGCAGCCGGAGAACCTCATTCAGTCACAGTGATTGAATTAGTGAGTAAAAGCCACAGCTGTCACTCACCAGAACAGACTTTAATGAAGCGGCTCTGACAGAGACGTTTACCTGAGAGCAGCACTGAGGCACTCTGGGAAATACAGACGGCCTGTTTCATTATCCAATCCCATTCGCTCAGATTACTTCATGAGGGTGTTTCTGCTGCAGGTCCGAGTCCTCAGAGATATTAGCTGCATTCAGGTACAGCTGATAAAAACAGGCGTCTCGGCCTAATTCAATTGGACACCAGTAATCGAATCAAAACTGGGAGTGAAACCGGATTTTCCTGAGCGACACAAAGACGGAGAGACGAGGGAGGAGGGAGCTGATTAGAGGAGAAACAAACGGGGAGACGGGGACACAAACTGCAGGTCGTTTTCACTAAATTCTCCTTCCTGATGGAGAAGAAGACGATGGAGCTGAAGAGCCAAACAGACTCTGACTCACTGATGCTCTTTGCTTCTTTTTCTTCTTCTACTTTTGGCAATTTCAGGCGAGATCAATAAATTGGTCGGTGCAGTTCTGCTGTAATTTCAGACCCTCACACACACACACACACACGCTCACACACTTCCTCGCCGCTGTTTATCGTTACTTCGAGGAGAGAAAAGGATGTGAGATGATTTCCTGCAGGACTCAGACGGGATGATCTCGGGTTTTCTTGGACCTGATTCTGCTGAAGCCTCGTCTCTGTTTGTTCCTCTCGTCACTTTCAGCAGATTTACAATCAGAGAAAATGTGAAAACAGGAACAGGAGCGTTCGCTCGCTTGCCTCACAGAAGAGTCCTCGAGTTTTTCTCTTCTATTGAACTTTGTTTCATAAAATAGAAATAATCTCAGCAGACATGTTTCCTGGAAAATGTGGATTTACAGTAAATAAAAACAAAGAAGTTTGATCTAAAGTGAAACTGTTATATTAATATAATACTTGAACTAAAATATCCTGATATTAATATTTACCTTCATAATAAACACAGTCACCTGAAATAATAGAGTTTTTCATGCTGAGTCATCCCTCATGTCTTTTTGATCTCCTGCACTCAGAGGTTAATTTGACTTCATTATGACCTCATCTACATTTATAATTAAGGATCAGCTGATATGAAGTTAAAGCTCCAGTGAGGAGTTTTTTTAATGTTGATAAATCAGACTGAAATTCATACTGAGGTGTTTTTATAACGAACCAAAGAAAACAGGATCATTAGTGAGAAATTTAACAGGTTTTATAATGTCATTTTTAATGTTTAAAATCTGTGTGTGTGTGTGTGTGTGTGTGTGTGTGGGGGGGGGGGGGGGTCGACCAAGGAGCTCCAGGAAAAAAAATCAACTTTAATTCTGTCAATTTGAATCAACGATAATTTGGCTGCAAATTTCTGCCAAATGTCACAACTCATGTGCAGAGACTGCTTTGTCCACAGGGGGCGCCAAAGTTGACGTGCACCTAAAGTTCCTTATAGGAGCTTTAGTTTTCACACTGTGACTAACGGAGTTTCTTCCTCACATTGTTTATAAATGTGTTTTTTTCTCTGTTTTCATCTGTTTCACTTCCTTTAGTAGGAAACGATCATTTCACTCCGTTTTTGGGTTAAATATCATTCAAATATTCAGATATGAGCTCCGTCTGAGACGTACAGAGGAAAACAGATATGTCAGATTCATCTTCAGGTTGGATGGATATTCTCATGGCTTGTCAAAAAGGTGTCGCACGTTTATTGAAATGAAAAATCTGAAATAAAGCGCCTCCAGATTAGATCGAATATTTAAGCCTCTCGAGGTTTAAGGCGTCCGATCTGCTCGAGATTGAAGCGAACGCGACCGGCGCCGGGAGGATGTGTGAAATATGTTTATGTAAATTTATGGAGATGAGCGTTCGCCGCGTTCATACTCCGGTGGTAATGACTGTAAAATGAGGCGAGGAGAGGGGAGGGGGATTCCTCCGCCCAACTGACCATCTGATGAAGCGTTCCAAGCAGCCGTCCACGTGGCGAAGGCGGCGCTCAGTCGACTGGCCGCTCATTAAGAGGAATGTGTGCTGTTGTTTCCTGTAATGAATATTGAACATCCAGTCCAAATGTGATTTATTGGATCAGGAAAAACAACGTGACTGAATTTAAGGTCTCACAGACACCATCGGAGTGTTTCCACTCAGAAATCGTCTCTTCTGTTTCTTTAAGTTTTATCGGAGGAGGATCAGGTCTGGAGTCTCTCTCTGTTTTCTCTGAAACACAGGTGTGTGTGTTTTGGAATGACTTTAAAGGGTTAATGAGATGAACCTCATCAGCAGGAGTCTAATTATTATTGACCTTTAGAACAAACAGCTGACTGCAGGTGAGGATGTAAAGTCTCTCGTTGGTCGCTCTGAAGCCCAGGATTGGTTTGTCAGAGTCCAGGCTGGCCACCTGTTGCTTGGCAACCTGACCTATCTGCCGTCCCTGCTTCCTGTTGAAAAGGACCGTTTCCACCGGCGACGGCTGTCTGTAGATGAAAGCCCGGCGGAGACACTCGCACAGCGAGGCGTAGGAGAAGTTGGGGGCGCAGGTGGCGAACTTTTTATCCCGTTTGGAGGCCTGGACGTAACCTGGAGAACGAGAAGAGAAGAGGATGAAAGTGAAGGTTTGTACGACTGAACAGGAAGTGAGGTCACAGTCTGTGAATAAAGGACAAACATGTGGGAGGACTGAGTGAAGAAACAGACGACCATCGGCTCACCGATCAGAGAGAAATCTGTCTCTGATTTCATCCCATCAGTAATATTTTCATCGTTAAAGGGACATTCTGTCGTAAAATTAATTCAGGGTCAAACACACCGTAACACCGAGTTAGACAATTTTCCTCTTAAATTGACTATGTCGGAATTTCCCTTTAAAGCACCTGTTTGCAACTTTCAGTTTGTGTCAACTTTGGCGCCCCCTGTGGACAGACCAGTTTCTGCAGTGCTTACTCAGCGTCACCCTCTCACATCATTTCAAGCTTTAAAAATAGGATGTAAAAACTGACAGTCGTGTCACTGATGGTTTTGTTTGCAGATCTAAAAAATAAGAAATAATAACTCTGTTTTGATTTCATGACGTAATTGTCTTGGACTCAATTTCAAAATAAAAGCACTGAATAAAAACACATTTTTCATGTTTGTGACTTCACAGATACTCGTGAATGAGCCCTCAGAGCGCCAACGTCGAGCCGTTCCTGGCTCTCACCTCGCTGACATGCTTTTCACACGAAGCTGCTGTGGAAACAAACTGAGCTGAACGATCAGACTTCCTCTTCAATCTGAACTCAGACACATAAATATGAATATTTTCATCTCTCTCTCTCCTCTGAGAAGCAAAGATCGTTTCTGAAAGTTTTAACGAGGATCCGTCTGTGACTTTAAACGACACGACGTGCTCTGGAGAAACCGGACAGATGGTAAAACTCAAAAAAGACAAACGACAGGTTTTACTTGTCAAAGGGAAAAACGGATCTATTCCAGACGCTTTCATCGGGGAGAGATTAACGAGAAGATTAATTAAAAGAAAAGAACAAAGCGGCTGCTGTAAAAACCTCAGAAACTCGGTAAAAAAGTGGTTTTCCTGCAGACGTCTCAGAAGTTTGTCGTCTCCCTGCTGCGGCTCTGGAGGCTCTGCAGCTGTGTGACAGCAGACATAAACAAAATTAATAACCGGGAAAATGAATTATTCAACTGGAGACGCCGTGATTCATCAAAAATGGAAATGAAGATCAGCTCCTTCACATCCTCACATCCTCCAACCAGAACCCCACACTGAGAGAGAGCGAGGAGCGAACAGGAGAGAGAGGCCATCGCTCCTGCTCGTGTGTTTCTGACTGAAGAAGGTGTGTGAGTGTTAATCCAACACGGAGACTCATACGAGGAACAGAAACAAACACACAACAGCCCGATCTGCAGACGGACTGCACAGCTTTTCACACGACGCTGCCTGAACTGAGCTGCACAACAAACAGCGTCTGCCGTTCTGCAGACGTTTGGAGCGAAACCGACCGAAAAATAAAACTGTGGTTTAACAGCTGACTGCAGTGTGAGTGAATCTGACTGTGTGCGTTTTTTTTCCCCCTCTAATAATCAGTATCAGGTTCACACGGGTCGGGCCCTGGTCTACTCCGTGAACATCTCTCACCCAGGGCGTTGAAGGTGGCGATGTGCTCCCACATGTTAGTGGGCTGTTCGGGACGAGGCTGCCACACCAGAGCGTCCACGTCGTGTCTGAGGCAGAGACACGGCATGTCGGCGGGATTCACGTCCACGGTGAACAGGTACTGATGGCTGCCCAGATTCACCTGCAGAGACAGAAACCAGAGGAACTTCAGACACATGGACTCTGTCAGTGGAAAAACACCAACATGTGCTCTCAACAGACCAGGGTCAGAGATGAAGACGAGCACTTTTCATACAGGATACGCAGCATAAAGTTCTTTACATGTTAAAAACACAGAGAAACAGAATAAAAACAGAAACTCCATCAGCTGAAAACATCAAACTGAATAAAGTTCTGAAATACTAATAAAATCTAAAATATCAAGAAAAAGTAAATAAATAGAATAAATAAAACATGTAAAATGAGGACTAAATAAACATATAGATGAGAAAAAGACACGAGTTAAAATCTAATATCTAAATTATAAAATGGAGACTCCTTCGACTCTTAAACTGTTTTCCTTTTTTTTTTACATTCTCATTTCTTGATTTCTACTTAAATGTAGTTTTTTACTTTCTTATTTCTGTCCTTTTTTCTAACCTGGACCCCCTCCTTCCCTCTCTTTCTGTTCTTTTGTTAAATCAGTTGAATAGTTTTATTAACTCCTCGCTCTCTACATCAGGATCACCTTGACCCTCGCCATAACCCGGTCCTGAATAAAGACCCGACGTCTCCTGAAGTCTCGGGGTTTGCGTCTCTCTGATGTCTGTGTGTGGTTTACAATCTTCCACTCTGACTCAGAGTATTTTGGACAATAACACGCCGCCGCCGCCGCCGCCGCCGCCGCCGCTGCTGTGACATAATCGCTCCTCGACATCTGACTGATCAGTGATCCCTCGCTCTGAGCCGAGTCGCTCACACCCTGTGAATCCAGCAGCAGCGGCGGCGTCGTGTCCCTGAAGCTGTCAGCCTGTCCTCCCATCTCGACACGTTCTTGGCAGTTATTGAAAAATCAGCAGAAAGCAGCTCGTCTGTTGGCAGCTGACGGTTGTGTAAAATGACACATGACTCCTCCCCTCCTGCGCCTCCAAAAAATCGTTTCTTGACACTCGTGTTTGACGAGAGGACGCAGCGGCGGCGGAGGAGAGTCGTTTTAAAAAACACGCAGAAAAATAACAGATTCAAAGAAAATTACAGAGAGAAAGTTTTTTATTTATCAGGTTTTAGACTCAGAATTATTCCTAAAAGTGTTTTTTCTATCAAGTCTTTTTTCAGAAAATTGATCCACAGCCGGACGCTGAAGAAGTGTTTGGAGCGTCTCTCTGCTTTTGAAACTCCTGTCAAAGTCTTTTTTAACCACCTCTCCTCTCGGTCCACGTCTCACTTTTTCACTTCCACATAAATCAAAATAAAAACATTCGCTTTGGAAACTCTGAGGAAATATTCTGTAGACTCAGCTGTTACTGTTATTGATCAGCTGGAGAACATTCATTAAAGTTTCCTGACGGAGACAAATAACAGCAGAGACTCAACGTCACACGCTGCCGGGCGCCAAGATATTGATCAGGACAAACTTCATCACAGTTTGACTAAAATATTCTGAGTTTCTCTGGAAGTCAAAGATTCAGAATCTCTTTTTATCTCAGAGTTTCAGAGTCCAGGTGGGAGAGGGAACAGGAAGTGGAGGTTGGCGTTATGAGAGGAAATGTTAATGCATGTGTGCGCAGAAGCCAGGTGTCTGTAATAACAGCTGAAAGGCCAAGTCTCAGTCATCATCATCATCATCATCAGCAGCAGCAGCAGCAGCAGCAGCTCTCTCCTTGTGTTCTTTGTATGGCGGGATAAATGACTGTTCACAGAGTTTCCTTCCTGACAGAGACGCTGAACTTTATCCTTTAAAATTCAACGTTTTTTTTTCCTTTCTGATGAAACTCGATCCCTGATGACACAGACCTGATGGTTCATCCTTCACTGTCTTCCTCTGATATCACTTTAACTCACTGTGAGGTTTTAAATCTGGTCATGAATCGTGATGTCAGCTGTTTTCAGAGACGCCGCCTCTGCTCAGCTGTTAGACGAGGCTGACGGACTCATGACATCGTTCTCCGCCTCGACAGAGACGAGTTAAACGCCGTTTATTCTGTAACAACATGGAGACCTGGAGAGTCACTTTAACTCAAAGACTTTATTGAACATTAATGTTCATCAGAACACTGATGTATACATGATGTCCACTGATTAAACTGGCGTATAACCACTCATTAAGACTAGGGCCCGACCCGTATGGAGTTTTTAGGGCCGATGCCGATTATTAGGAAGGGGGAAATTCTTCGTTCTTGGAAAATCTCCATTCAACATCATAACGGACACTTCGACTCCTCACATTATTGTGAGTGGACTCTTCAGGCCACCCCAGCAGTGTCAGAGCCTGGGCAGGGGCACCCAAGTCTCAAAGGTCTGACACGCCCCTGCTTGTTGGCTCATCCCTACCCCGGTGTAGGCTGTCCAGGTCCGAACCTTTAAAAATGAAGCTTTCACACTGGGCATGAACCTGAGAACTTCAGTCAGACTCTGAATCTGTTTAGACGAGGAGGAGGAACTTCATCCCTCAGATTTAACTGTGTTTTAATAACTGATAGTAAAACTATAAAAAGAGCCCATTTGTCATTTTTATATCAGGTTTTTATCTCTTATATTTGACATCACTAAAATGTGTTCAGCTGTGAGTGAGGATTTGAGATCTTTCAGACACGCTCCTCTCAGAGTTTCCTCTCTTTGGCCTTTGCAGCTTGAATGGCGCTCACAGATGTACAGATCCGCTCCATTGTGAAGGTATTACAGATATGGTCACAGGATATGATCCAATCCCCCTCCCCACAGGAACACTCGCACCAACATTTCTTTTCCTTTTCAGCGAGGATCAGAACGTCGACGGCGTCTCAAATTAACTATTTCAAAGTGAAAGGCGCCTTAAAAAAGGTCAGACGGCGTCCTCGTGGGCGGACCGCAGCGTCGAGGCGACACAATGAGGGACGGAAGAAAATAATAGAGAGGTAAAGCTTCCTGGAGGATACAGATAAACAGAGGCGCACACACACACACACACACACACACACACACACACACACACTCACATGCTTACACTCGTGTGCGACACACAGACTCGGCGGTCTTCATGAAGACACGGTCCGTGTTTCTCTGAGGAGAGTAAATAACTGAGTTTGTTTTCATACGGAGCCCTTCAGCAGACAAACAGCGGCCCTCAGATTCACACTCATTATTATTATAAAAACTCTTTATTATTATAAGAACTCATTATTATTATAAAAACTCATTATTATTATAAAAACTCATTATTATTATAAGAACTCATTATTATGATAAAAACTCATTATTATTATAAAAACTCTTTATTATTATAAGAACTCATTATTATTATAAAAACTCATTATTATTATAAGAACTCATTATTATGATAAAAACTCTTTATTCTCTGATCATCAAAGGGTCAAAATTTTGACGGTTTATTTCTGTGTTATTATGTGTGAGTGAATGAAACTGACAGAGGAGGATCACTAATGTCCGACCCTGAAAAGAGCTCTCTGTAAACCGACCTGTTTCAGTTTCTCTTCTGCTCATTGTTCGGTGGTTTTTAAAGCAGTCGTCAGGTTTCAGCCTCTCATACGTCAGTTTTTCTCTTTTTCATTTTTTCACATAAACAAGAATAAAACTAAAGATCTCAGTATGAACCTTTTTACTGAAGGTTTGTTCTCAGCGGAAGAGGAAAGGACTCACACGTCACGGCGGAGAGAGGAAAGAGACGACGTCGAAACCTCCTCAAAGAAATGTGGTTTTTGAAAAATGAACAAAGCGGAGATTTCAGCGAGCCTTCGACCTTCGAGAGTGAATGTCTGCAGACCTCCTTTATACCTGTGTCTGTCTCTAAAGATCCTGTTTCCGTTTCCAGCTGGAGAGCGAGGTTACAGGAGGTTCAACATTTTCTTCAGTCTGTAATTTGATCTTGTCTTGATTAAGTTTAACCTTTAATTCACTTTGAAAATACTTGAATTTTAGCCTCAGTTTTTTAAGATGGGAAACTGGAAAACACTCAAAACATCGTCGTTTTAGTTCATATTTTAAGGTTAACTGTGTGACGAATGTTTACACAGATACAATCATTAACTGGTGAGTACTCTTCAGGCCACCCCAACAGGGTCAGAGCTCGGGCTGGGGCACCTGAGTCTAAGAGGTCTGACACGCCCCTGCCTGTTGGCTCATCCCTCCCCCCGAGTGCGTTATTTTAGGTCGGCGTCATGGATCCACGCTAAACGGAGACAGAGCGGGGTGTAAATCCTGACAGAGCCGATGTGGATCGGTTGTCTTGGCAACAAAAAGTTTTTTAAAGGAAGAACAAAAATAAAATAATACAGAGAAGCTGCTGAGGTTCTACAGCGCTGCTCCAGAGATAACCATAAGGGGGGCGCCACTGTGCCCCGTGTACGGAGGTTCTGGCGGGCCCAGGTTCGCTCCCAGCCTGTCACTCCCTAATCCCTTTCCTCGTTTCCTCGTTTCCTCATTTCTGACTCTACTTACTGTCCTGTCCTCTAAAAATAAAAATAAAAGAGTTTGTTTATTTTCGTCATTTTTTAACAGGTTACAGACTCGGATCAGAACTGTTAAGTATCTCTGGAACATGTTGACGGTGGAGATGATTCAGAGAAAAGGTTCATTTTTCCATCAGGTGGGACTGACTCATACCTTTGGTTCCAGATCAACAGATCCACGTCTTCCTCCACACGTAAACCAAAGAGCAGGTGACTGAGTCAGCTCAGTCAAGATCTGCTGAGAACAACATGTCACAGAAACATGACTCAAACTTCGCTGCTCCGCACCGTTAACAAGCTCCGCCTCTGGAGGAAGACGGCGGCTTCTCGGTTAACGGACAGATTCTGAAACTAACCTTGTCGAACCCTTTCAGACGTTTCCCCAGAATGAGCTTTTATAAAAATAGATGCAACAAAGAGTCTGGAGGAGGTGTGCATGTTCCTCCTCGGCTCTCTGGTCAAGTATCTTGATTAAGGTGGGGGGGCTGAATAAAATCGTGCTCTTAAAACGGAGCGGGGAAGCACCGGGCGCCAACAGAGCACTTGAAGGAGATGAGGGACGGAGGAGCTGAAAGAACGGAGTGAAAATGTGGAGAAGTGAACGGGTCGGGCTGCAGGGTGAGAGTGTTTACCAGCAGGGAGACGGAGAGACGGACTACTCACCACCTGAGTGGGCTTCAAAGAGTCTCCGTCAAAGTGTGCGAGGCTGAAGCTGTCCTCTGGGAACCCGTCACAGTCCTCCAGCTCCTGAGAGTTACAGGGCGGCTTGTCTTTGTCCGGGTTTCCGTTCTGTGGAGGAGAACAGACAGGAGAACAGACAGGAGGTGCCTGTGGTTACGCTGGTTTAGCATAGATTAACATTTAAAAAGGTTTGACCTCAAGAGGGCCCAGATGATACTGACGGAGGCTCTGTCCAGGAGGGGGCGGAGCTAAAAATGCAAACAACCACGAGAGTGACGCGGGAGGACGGGGTGCAATGATGTGAGGAAGACGTCAGGAGGAAGAAGAAGAAGAAGAAGAGGAGGAGGAGAGGAGGAGGAGAGGAGGACTCAGAGCAGCTGGAGAGGAAGAGGACGGGGATGAGAGGGACTGAAATAGAAACGGCGTTTAAGGTCATGACGACACAAACCCAGAGCATCATTCATGAACGTGTTCGGTGTGAGTAATGTTCCCCGACACTTCGCTGCTGTTTGATTTCACACTTCTGAGGGTCAACAGAACCATGACTCAGACGGACTGAGCAGACTCTGGATCCTCATAAGACCCGGATCCAGACCCCAGACCTGAGTATGATCCAGTTAACAGTGAGAGCCTACCAGGTCCTCCGAGGTCAGGTGTGTCAGTCTCTCGTGGAGGACGGCGGCCTGCTCCTCGCTCATCACAAACTCTCCCCTCTTGTCTCCCATCACAAGCTCCGCCCACATCGGCCCCTCGCTGCGCTTCTGCAGGCTCACCTCCAGACTGAAACAGCACACACACACACACACACTCTGAGTTGTTGGGTCTTTGTCTGAATGAGCCCGCCATCATCTGAAACACGTCACTCAATCATAGAAATGAAAATCAGTTTTTTCTGGTTTCCAGGAAAACTTGAATAAATTTGAATTAAACTGGAATAATTTTGATGCTCTTGTTAAACAGATTTGTTCACACGTCTGTTTTTTTTTACATGAGCGTCCGTCACAGAGAGGAATCACGTTTGTTCATGAATGTCATGATTAGATGTCGTTTGTCCGCTGAATAGGTCTGAATGTGTTTTAGAGAGTTACTCCAGGCACGTGATCTGAAGGCTGGGAAATACAGGAGGGCGACACAAACCTGAAAAGAGCAGCACCTGGTAATTAACCATATTAACCTCAGAGTGTAAACTGACGCAGAAAAAATCGAGGCGACCAATCAGAATTTTGGTTGACTCAGCACCTATCGACTAATTTGACCAGTCGACTACGACTTTACACCACTAGTTGGCAGCACTTCCTGTTCTGTGCTGACTCAAAGAGAAGGAACTGATCGGCAGAAAAGCAAAGATTTCAGAACAAAGACGGAAAATCTATGACCCAGAGTTTGTCGTCTCCATTCGGACGTCCTGTCGACACGCTACAGCTACATTAGACTGTGACCCTATATGTCCTGTTGATGAAGTTAGGTGCTGTTCTGAGCATTATTTGTGGCTATAGAGTGGCGTTTTGGTTGAGCGCGTGGCTCTCTGTATTGCTATCCTGCGGTCGTTACTAAAGTTGGTATAACTAGAGAAGGAAGCGGTCGACAACATTCATCTCTGGAGGGGGGGTCTAACTCGGTGTTACGGTGGGTTTGACCCTGAATTACGTTTACGCCGGAATATTAATCTAAGACAGAAAACATGTGGATTCACTCGTGTTCAAAAACAGGCTGAGAAAAATCAACACCGGAAAGAGGCTCAGCGCTCAGAACGAGAGAGATTCACAGATGATCCTTTTTAAGATTCTGTCCAGATACCAAAAGAAAAAAACAAACATTCATGACTCTGAATAAGAATATTTACAGCCTGACAGAGCAGGCAGATGCACACAGCAGGATTAAAAGGTGGTACTAAAGAGCAGGAAATGAACATTAAACACTCATGTCCATCTCAAAGATCCTCATCCACGCTGTCAACCTCAACAGGACCGATCTGCAGACGAACCCGCCAAGGCGGTCGGGAAACAAACAAACAGGTAACCACGTAACAAGGTCTCACCCTGAATGAAGCAGTGGAGGGTTGAAGAAACAGGAAGCAGAGAGAAAGAGCTGATGGAGGCTCAGATGAAAGGTCTTAAAGTGGGAGGGGATGTGACTCAACTCGGACTGGATCAAAAGACCTGATGCTTATGAAAAGTCCTCATCTCCCTCGGCCCTTTTTTCCTCTTTTACTGCTTTGTAACGCTGAAGCGGAGAGGAGGTCATTAAGGAGAAAAGGAGCAGGTACTTTCTCTCTCTCTCTCTCGCTCTCTCTCTCTCTCTCCCTCTCTCCCTCTCTCTCTCTCAGAACAACATCTCCTCCTGAATCTGGAGTCTCAGCTGGATGTGTCACGCTGTTATGTAACGTGTTCGTTTGTCATCTTTAAAAAGCTCTCAGAGTTATGTGACGATGAAGTCGCTCCTGTTTGTTTGAGTCTGTTTCATAACCGATCAGAAGCTCCTCACAGGAGCTTTAAGGTTCAGATTCTTTCAGTCTTTGTTCGTATTTTCAGAAATGTTCGGCATTTTAACGATAAATCCTCGATTCCACAAAGTAGGCAGGAGATGTTAGTGAGAGAGCTGCTGGAGAAGGTTTCACTAATAAAAACAGACTTTAGCTGCTCGTTTAACACTAAATTAGATTTAATCAGGATGCAGAGAAGGTGACAGTGTTGGTTTTGTTGGTTCTGTTGGATCTTAGTTCTGACCTCGATTCAGTCGACCACACTTTTCTTTTAAACCGCCTAAAACACCTCGGCCTCTCAGGTGCTGCTCACAGATGGTTCACCTCCTACCTGACAGACCGGACGTTCATGGTCAGTGTCGACACGTGTTCCTCCAAAGTCCAGAAATCACACGTGGTGAACCCCAGGGTTCGATCTTAGGCCCTGTGCTTTTTAACCTGAACACGCTCCCTCTTGGCGGCGTCATCAGGAGACTGTGTCCATGTCTCCTGTTTTTAACAAGACTGTGAAGCACTTTGAGTCACATTCCTGTAGGAAAAGCGTTTTATAAATAAAGTCTGATTGATTGATTGATTGATTGACACCCTGAAGAATCACATCCCTGACGCTGGTTTCTTCAGCCTCCTCCACATCAGCCCTCGTTTCCCCGGAGTTGGAGAAGACTCTCTTCATCGGTGTGACGTCGTCTTCTGGGTCGGCCTCATTTTCAGAGCAATCTGACTGGAGAGCTCCGGCGAGGACACGGAGACCGGGGTCACGGGGACCGGGGTCACGGAGACCGGGGTCACGGGGACTTTCAATACGTGGACAATTTAAAAAAGGGAGTCAGGAAGACGAAAATCCTCGCTACACGCCTGGAGAGGAGAGAAGAACCAGAACCAGGAGGAAGGAGGCGGTTTTATTTCCTGGACTTTAAACTCCTCCTGCCTGAGAGGAGGCGCGTGATACTGGACGAGAAGATCATGTTAGTGGAGTTCTGCTCGTTTTTATGGGTCTGTTGAACTTTAACGACTCGTTTACGTCTTAAATCTCTGTGGTTCGACTGAGTTTGGGTTCAGATGATTGACCCTGTGTGAGACAGACTTTGACTCGCTCTCTGCTGTTTCTCAAACCTTTTGTCATTCTTGATGATCCAGGCGCTGGCCTCGGGGTCCACAGCCGCAAACAGCTGACCTTCCAGTATCGGAGGGAAACCCTGAACCGCCACGCTGATGTTGTCGGCCGTCAGTCTGAACCGCACCTCCTCTTTGGTGACCCCCTCAGGCATGCGCACGCACACCGTGATGTCCTCCGCCGTCTGCTGCCAGAAGTAAATGGGATCTGAAATTAAAGAGAGGAGAAACACACGGAGCCGAGGTTCAAGAGTCATGAATTAAAGATCTGAAACAGCGCCGGAGTATGAGGACGCCGCTGTGACATATCCAGAGACACGGCGAGCGACAAGCTATTAAAGGAAATGAGATTTGTTCCCACGGAGACGGAGCACAAAGACCTGGATCTGTGAGGAACCTGTGGACCTTCATAACTCTGCAGAGACGTGGAGTGGGAGGTTCTCACTTTAGTTTCTGTGGATTTAATCGAGATGATTGAAAGTGTTTACGACTCGAGTCATAAACTAATTTACATTTCATGGCGTTAAAAATAAAGTTAAAGTTTGAAAAACTTTGCTGATAATTGATCAAAGTGTTGGAGACTCAATCATTCAGTTAATCAGCTCTAACGAACCTTTAAAGGGACATGACACTGTTTCTGAGAGTGTTTCTCAGGCTCCTTTACTCCACATCAGACCTTTCATTCACACAGAGGACAGCTGCGTTTCCTCCGGTCTGCTCTCACCATCACCCACTCATCCTCTGACTCAGCAGCAGGAGCTCTCATTTGAAAAACTATTATTTTAACTTTTTAACTCAATGAACACATCTAAACTGTGACACACTAACAGGAAATACCAGCAGAGAGTGAAGTACACACTCTACCTCTGTATTTCTATGTTCCAGTTCAGGCCTCAGATCTGGATATAAAATACACTAAAAGCTTAACTTCATTACAACAGCTGGGAGGCTAACTAAAGTCTAATATAATGTAAAAACAACATATTTACTGAACAGCGTGTGGTCAGCACAGATTATTGGAGGTTAAATATTCACATCCTCAAACTAACAGCAGACGATTATTTTCCCCTCTCTCACATTCGTCTGAGTTAACAGGCTCAAACTGGACCTGAAGTTTTTCTTTTGTTTGATTTTACTTTCTTAAAAATTTTTTCAAACTTCAGGTGAAACTCTTTCTGCTTTTTTTATGTACAAGTTTATTTGGACCTCCTTTATGGTTCCTGTGTGGAGGACAGAAGCCGGCCTCGGATCAGGTCGAACCCGGCCTCACAGGCTGAGTGGATTTTAAATGACTGTGTTTCTGCAGCTGATTTTGTAAACACAACAACATGTTGTCATGACAACAGTTAGTGACACCCCTGTATCTGAACATCATGATTTGACTCCTCGGTCCAGTCGAGAAACTTTAACGCTCGCCTCACCTATGAAGACGTACGCGTCTACGTACTTCCACGCGTCCTTTATGCTATCATGGGTGTTAACCATTACATCCACCAGGGGGCAGGCCGGAGTCAAAAAAAGAGTCTTAAAACAACAAACAAAAAGAAACATGGCGACTACGGCCTGACTGATTTATCAGCGAGTCGATTAAATCGGCTGATTTTAGCCCGTTTGAGACCAATCGGTGATCGGCCAAAACTCGCCACGGCGTGTGGGGGAAACTCTGAGTTAATCATCATAGCCGCGTAGGCGCACTGTGTCAGCTACGATTTGAGTTTAAACTTTCTATTGAGTTTGAAATGGAATCATCCACCATCATGTCAGGAGTACAGGAATATTCTGGGTTTGATGGGAATGTGGAGGGAACGCCTCGTTAAAGACATTAATCCTGTTTAGAGACGATAAAACAATAAAAAACAAGCATCAGTTAGCACGAGTTCAAAGCATCAAAAATACCTTTGAATACACTTTTGTACCATAATACCATGATATTTCTGAATACTGTGGTTATTTAGGTCACAATAACCGTGAGGTGGAGTTATCATACCATTACATCCCTATAAAGCACCTGTGAACCTCTGACAGCAGACTGAGTGTTTCCTTAAAGAGTTTTCAGACGATCTCACAGAGCTCAATATGTAATTTAGAGTTTTGTGTGTAAAAGAAACACTTTCCCATTTCTAAATGAACCACTGTGCTCCGTATATCTCATGGTCAACACCCCTATAGAGCCGGAGCTGTCAGATACAACACGCTGTGCAGCTGAACCGAGAAAACGGTTCAGTTATGAAGCTCCGAACCAACGAGCCAGCTCCAATGTTGGCAGCAGAGTGAGAAACTGAGACGTGGTCGTTATCATCACCTTTTGTTTTTTCTCGTCTGAATCGACAAAGAAACTGATGATGAGGAGGAGAGAGAGAGAGAGAGAGGGGCGGCCAAACCTGTCAGGGACACCGAAGAGTGTGGTCCAGCTGGTCTTACTTCATCAGTGATATTTGTGAAAAAGGTGTTTGAAGATTCATAATTATTATTACTGCAGATGAAACAGGGTTGGGTTATTTCACCATTACAGGAGGACAGGAGAGGACTGCGACGAGAGGTGGAGGTGGAAGCCAGGAGGAGATCTGGACCATCAGAGTGATCTGGACCATCAGGTCTGGATGAGTCTGCCAGTAAGGAGTTATCCAAATGTGATAAGGTCTGATCCTCCAGATATATCAGGTTCAGGTTTGAATTTAGTGTCTTCTTCGATGTTTGTCTATTTATTTTGAGTCCAGGTTCAAAATCACAGCAATCCATTAAATCCAACACCAGGACCGACCGATTTAAACTGATATCACATTTATATTCACATCATTTTTATCTGTTATAATAATATAAATGTGATCTTAAAGTCTCTCTCTCTCTCTCTCTGTCTGTCTGTCTGTCTGTCTGTCTGTCTGTCTGTCTGTCTGTCTGTCAGTCTGCGCCGCCTCTCGATCAGAGCGCCCTTCATCTCTCCGCCCTCTTCGCAGTTCCTCTCTCATCATCACTTACCGACCTGTTTGAAGATGCCCCCCTATCTTGACATCTAATCGCCGTCCTCCGCTCTGAGGAGGCAGAGCGCTGATAAAAGGACCGCTGCTAAAAAGCAGATATTAATCCGCACCGACGCACAAACACCTCGCCCTGTCTGGGTCAACGGGGCAGGTGGCTGCTTCGCTGGGACACGAGTATAACTGACTGTTAAAATACAGAAAAAACACAGAGGATATTAGGGCTGGGCGATATGTCCTCAGATCAATATCAGGATATATTGATCAGTTCACCTCGATAATGATAAATGGACAATAACTACTCCACCAGCTGCTCAGCCCCTCCCACATTAACTTCGTCTACTTCAACCTTTGACCCGTCCTCCATCTCCTCACCTGTCTTTCCCTCTTTGTTTCAGACTTTGTTACTTTTCCACCGATAAAACAAAACATTTTTAATCTGTTTCACTGACCTGTAACTGAAATAAATGAATCAAATCAATTAATTTGCATTTGGGGTTTTGTAATATTTACAAACATTAAACCCCAGATTTCCTCTGTGACTTCCTCTTCTTCTCATTTCACTTCCTGCAGAAACAAACACCCGCAGTAACAGCGTATCTGTGAGCGTGAACGAAGTCTCGGAGAGTTTTGATTTTTAGGAGGAAAATTAAAATCCGTTAAATCCATAAATTGAGCTTCAGAGGTTTTATTTTTAGTCCGTATCGCCCGGCCCTACGAGAACTCTGAGTGTCGAGACATTTAACAGTTTAGTTAATGTTTGTGTTAACTTTGGCGCCCCCTGTGGACAAAGAAGTATCTCGTATCTGTGCGTAGTCTGATCCTGGTTTATCTTAAGTCTCAAACAAATCCCTCACAGGGTCAGGACGTGAACTGAATCCTTGAGAGAAACCATCTTGAATTCTTCTAAAACGACCTCAGAATCATGAGAAATGTCTCCATGTTACCAGATAAACTTTTATAACCGTCAAACAAAGACGTCTCTGCTCTGAGTCGCTGAGACACTCGGTCAGTATGAGCAGTAATAACAGCAGCACACAGTCAGCTGAAGAGACCGCCGAACGTGCTGCTGCCCACTCAGGGGTTTCTATGACGACAGCCCGTTCAGTCAGCTCCTGCCTCTCCAAAGGTGGAGTGTCTTAGAAATGACCGCACACACGTTACTGCTGCTGCTGCTGCTGCGTGATCAATCTCATCGCCAAAGAAACCCGAGCGGCGGCGGCAGTGGTGATGTCATCACTCAGCGCAGATGATGTTTGTGTTTCACTTTGAGAGACAGGCTGCTGATTTCAGAGACTGTGATGTGAGCGAGGGAGGAAAAGATGGCGTGAAACCAGATTAAAGGCTCAGTCAGTGTTTTCTCCGAGTCTGAACGAGACGGTCGAATCTTCACAACTTCTTCCTCACTGGGAACAAATAAACCGCTTTCCTGTGACGGCTGACCTCAGTCAGTTCTTCCTCACAGTGAACAGTCAGGTTTCTCAGCTGCACCTCGGACTCACCTGTCTTCTCCACCTCCATGGGCTCTGGATCAGGCTCCTCCACGGGAACGCCGTCCACATGTGTGAAGACGAACGGTTTCTCCGAGGCCACCATCAGCCCCTTTCCCTGCGGCTCCATGGCTGCGTAGTGAGGCACCGACTTCCCCGTAAGGACTCTCCTCTTCTTCACCTCGTACTTCTTCTCCTGACCTGAGGGATGGGGTCAGAAATGTCAGATCTCATCAGTCTGTTCCTTCCTCCAACTTTAACCGTCATTCTGTCCAAATAAAAACACAAATTCAGTTTGAACGGTTGGATTATTGATGAATTTTCTATTTTAATAACTTTAGATTATCATTATTCCTGCGTTACCAAATCACAGAATTGACTTTAAATAAACCATCAAACAGGATTATTCTGTATGATGTCCTAAACGCGTTTTCATTCACTATAAAACAGAGCAGAGGATCAGTCCTCTCTGCAGCTCCGGCCCTCCGCTCACTTCTAAGCAAAGTCACTGACGCGACACATGCGCTTCTGTCTTTGTGAATTCAGAATAATGTGTTTAACTGAGTTAGAAGAGAATAAAAACTCTCGACCCGATAAAAAAACTCAAAATTTCACACACAAGACTCTCGCTGAAGGAGGCGTACATCTGTTCCTATTATCAGAGACTCAATAAAGTTTGGAGTTAACGGTGAAAACTTATAGTCTACTTTTATTTAATCAAAGAAAGACATTGATAAGGGAATCATTACAGAATTGAATCGATAAGCAGAATCAATAATGGCATCAATATCGATAAAATCTTGTCATCCCTATCTCTAATATTGATATTTATCAGCGTTTAAAGAGACAAACTGTCCGTCACTCAAACTGTATCTTCTGTTTTTACGTTTGACAGGCCTTCAGAGACACACAAAAGACACCGGACTCTTTTGATGCTGCTGTCGAGAGAAATGTGGCGCTCCAGAACAATGGACCTCCGCGCTCGTACCATCAAAACATCAACAGGAAGTGACATCACTCCAAAGCTGTTTATATGACAAAATATCAACAAACTTAAAGTCTCGCTCTCTTGCCCAAGTCTGTTCGCTCGTACTGAGAGTGGCGTTCGCTCTGCTGCCCCCAGAGGAACTCTGTCCTCGCTACATAAATCTCCGCCTACAGTGAAACATATGAGCTGGTGCTTATGGGGGATTTAAAGAGGGACTGGTTATCCCCCGGCTCCTGCAGGTCTGTTTTCACTCTGAGGAGGAAACAACTTTGAAAATGTTGTTTTGAGTTTTTCAGGTCCAGATACCTGAACACTGTTCGGACTTTAAAAACACGGACATGTGCAGATATTTGTTTCTATATCAGTCAGATTAGTTCTCTCTGTTGAATCTGCAGACTCAACGTCATTATGTAAATATAGATTCAGTCCAACAACACGACTCCAAACAAAGAGCAAAAGGGTCATTAGCCGGCCTTTCAGATATCAGAGAGCTGCATCTTTAAATCCAGCCTAATGAGGAGGCTGCGTCTGTCCGACCGTCCGTCCGTCTATTTGTCTCTTCAATCTTTGCATCATTAGCCAGAGTGCCGAGTCGTTCTCTTCCTGAAGGGCCAGCAGCTTTAATGAAAACCCCGCCTGCCAACGTTTGTCTGGGAGTGATCTAATCTCATCTGGGACACGATAATTAAAGTGCAATAAAAACAAACTTCTTTGTGGGATTCACTTAGTGAGGATTTCCTTCAGCTGTCCTGTAAATGTTGGCGTAAAAACGTGACAGCAGGTTTTTGTTTCCGAGTCTGATCCGACTGTGACGGCTCAGTGAGACCCTCACCTTGTCCTGCTGTGTTTGAGACTGTGATCCACTCCAGAGACACCGAGTACCCGCTCCCTTTGGTTTCCTGCGGGTCCTTCAGGATGCGGAGCAGCAGGACCTCCAGGGTGTGGACTCCAGCCTGGACGTGTGAGACGCTGTGCAGGACGATGAAAGGATTCCCCACGTCTTCACTGAACAGCAGCTGCAGGAATAAACCGACAAATATTTTAACTTTAAACGAAAATGATCATCGACGCCAACAAAAACACACAAGAGCATCAGGCCTGAACCAAGTGAATACAGTGGCATCTAAAGAGGAGAAATGTGTCTCCTGAAGGTTCGATTTCCGAGTCAGAGTCAGAGTCATTTCTTTGACGGAGGTCGTGATTCACTGAGAAGACGAGCTTAAGTGTGATGAGGAAATATATCGGCTTTTATGAGTTCGCTCTGAGACACAAACCGGAGCATTTGTCTGGGATCTGTGAGCGCGTCGGTCTGAAAGTAGACCGTTAGAAGTTCCTTCCATCTTTATTACAGAGTCGACTTTTGCTTTTAGAGCTGCATCCACTTCTGGGGCGGACTCTTCTCGTACGAACGACTCCATCCCTCAGATTTAAGAGCTCTGTGCAGCACAGACGCTGGTTTTCATTTACATTAGAGAGAGTTCAAGTTCTTTATTCAAGGTCCTCCAACGCCGAGTCGCTGGACACAAAAAACAACTCCACAAAAACTGAAAACTGAAGATAAGGTCCTTTAAATTATTCATACCTAAGTCCAAGTACGCCTCCTTTTGGCAGGATGTGAATCTGTCTGTAAATCTAATGTATAGAACATTTATGCATGTGGTTGGACCTGGACAGAGAGCAGGAGAAATGATCCCTACAGACACCAACACCTACACTGATATATGAGCGCTCTACGGGGGCACAGAGTGGACAAACTTAGTGGGCGGTTGCCAAGAACGAAGTGAGTATAAGAAAAGAAAAAAAAAAAGGTGATTTTGTCTTTAAATGTTGCTGCAGCTTCATGAGGGGTGAGTGAGGGAGCGTTTCCATCCAGAATCTGTCGGCTGGTTTTTCTGAACTTTTTTACAGACCGGATTAATTTTGGAAAATGACTTTCAAAATTAAACATCCGCCTCTTTATTTGAGTTTTTTCACCGGCCAAGAACCAGAGCCAAACAGAGGCTGTTTTTTTTTTCAGCAGGCAAAAACAAACTTCTCTGTCACTATCAGAAGAATTAATCAGCTTTTTCATCGAACGGTCGGGCTGCACCTGTGGACTCGGACTGAGTCATGATGTGACTCAGGACTTACATCAGCTCTGACTTGGACGCCTGGCTCGGCAGCGGTGTAAATATTCACTGTATTAGTCATTGTTCTCCATCCGGAGAGGATTGATCGAGGATTGAACGGACGCCATTTTTATCCGTTTAGATCAGCTACAAGATGGTAAACCCACAACCTCCCGGATACTTCGATCAGTTATTACTAAATCGATCTGTAATAATAAAAAGATCTGAGGAAAATATGTCACAGAAACTTTCAAATGGTTTCAGTTTCCACTTCAACACGTTTTAGATCAGACTGACAGGATCGATTATCTTGTATCAGTAAAGACTCACCTCCCACTTCATATGGGTGCTGTCTCCTCTCTTGCCGGTGCGGAGGAGGTAGAGTCGCCCCGCTCCGTCAGAGAGAGCGGCCCAGGTCGCGGAGGTGAGGCTGAGAGACGCACACAGACGATCCCCGCGCTCGCTCGACTCATCGGCGTCTAATCTGTAGACCTCTCTCGGCTTCCCCAGAGCTGTGTCCTGAAATCAGACCCAACAAACATCCATGTTTAAATCAGAGTCCAGGCGATAATAATAATTATCATATGTGGTGAATTAAAGACCGAAAAACTTCATTATTTCTAAAACACAAACTTATTTTGTCCGTTTCTGATTTTTAATCTAAACTAACATCTCAGACCAAATCACAGTGGAGGTGAGACAGATCTGAGTGTTCAGGTGTTAACATGCGCTCCAGTGTCTGATGAGAGTTAATGAGCAAACACAGTGTGCAGAGATATTAACATGCAGACAGGCTGAGAGTGTAGAAATGATGAATCGGAGTCCTCGCAGGAATATCAAACAGTGATGGAGACGGAGGCGCTGATGGCGAGGCATTACAGCGTCTGAACAATCCCAGACGTTTGAAAATGGCGAGACAATTTAAAAAGAAAGTCTGGGATTTGTTGACAAATCTATTTACTGTCGTCTGAGGGGAAAGAAAAGCAGCGCGTCTTTAGATCTGAGACAAAGAAACCCGATAAATCAGCGGCGTGTTTCCACACAAGTGAAAAGCAGAAATGGTGCAAAATGGATTTCATCAATACAGAGAAAACTGCCGTAGAGTTTTTCACAATAGGTGAGTTTGTTTTTTCCATCCTGTCTGAAAATCTTTAAGCAGTGCGGTCATGATTCGAGTTCAGACACTTAATAAAGAGAGGGCTTTGAACTACAAAAGAAGACAGACGGGGAGAGACCGCTGCTTTGATACTGAGTGGGGTACTTTAAGTCCATAAAGAAAATCTGAGCTTTCCATCTGATGATATATATAAAAACACTCCAACAACATTTACACAGGAAAATAACAACACCGCCAATCAAACCCCGAGGAACAGAGACGTGGACTTCTTCAGGAAAAAGGAGACGAAGCGGCACACGTGACTCTGCTTCACATGAGGTTTACGAGTCTTATTAGTAAGAGACAGATATGCAACCGCAGGAGCATCAATTACTCACTGCGCCAAGTAACAGGGGTTTGAAAGGACTGTACAGCAGCTGCCCTGCTGTTGCCATGGCGCGCGACACTGCGAATCATAACACTACCTGATGTATGAAGCACCTCTCAGATCTCCATGCCCCAAACAGAGAGTGAACCGCCTCTGTACAATGAGGCCCGGTGACACTCGCCAGGAGCCCTAATTATGATGAGATGATTGTAATTAGACATTTTCATAAAGAGCCGTTTAATGAAGCGGCTGAGAGGCAGAGAGAAAGTCTCGCTGGATTATCCTCTGATTATTCAGGCCAGTTTGGACACAAAGAGAGGAAATCATCTGTAATTGTAGTTAATGGTATGAAACATATAAGAGACGTCTGTATGGGAGAGGTCAGTGGACTCATTCTGCTCCTTATCTCAGCGTGGATCCAGGGATGGGAACCAAGAACCGGTTCTTGTTGGGAACCAGATCCAGATGGTTCAATCCATCGACATTAAGACCCGATCAATATGGATTTTTTGGGGCTGATACTGATTATTGAATTATTACTGATTACTGATTAATCGGCCGATTTTTTAAATTTTTTATTAAGTTCTACATACATATATATATATATATATATATATATATATATATATATGTACTGTAGATATACTGTAGGCTACTGCTCTTCACACCGACAGGAAGACTGACTGATCAAACTCGGACCAGAAAAGCGTTTTCAACCGGGGGAGTTTATAAAATCCTTCAAATGTCCTGAACGTGTTTTCATTGATTATAAAACAGTGCAGAGGATCAGTCCTCTCTGCAGCTCCGCCCCTCCGATCACTTTTAAGAAAAGACACTGATGCGACGCACGCATGCACTTCTGTCTTTGGGAATTTAGAATAATGTGTTTAACTCAGTTAGAAGAACGTAAAAACTCTCGACCCAACAAAAAAACCCCTCTAAATTTCACACACAAGTCCGCCCCACGTAGTAGTGTCCTCTTTTTAGGGATTCAGAATATGGTCACTCTAACATTTGTCCTGTTTTAACATAAACACAATGTCAGAAACTCTGAACAAATATCATTTTTGTTTGATTATTTTAGACTCTCACTGAAGGTGGCGTACATCTGTCTCTGTTATCAGAGACTCAATGAAATTTTGAGTTAAAGTTGAAAACCTATAGTCAACTTTTTTAAATCAAAGAAAGGCATTGATAAGGGAATCATTAAAGAATTGAATCGATAATTGCATCGATATGGATAAAATCTTATTGATTCCCATCCCTGCGTGGATCTGTACATTTCAGTCACTTATATAATCAAAACAAAGACCCACTCGCCTGAAACTTTGTTTTCTGCTGATTTAAACTCAAACAAAAGATGATCAAAGTTTTCTCTGATTCTCTGACTCCTTCTGTCTGCAGAAGATTTATTCACACAAGTCTTTGGTCGCCACCTGCTGGTGTGTATGAGGTATTGAATCCCTCCATCTCTTCTGATCACACATCAGAGTCACTTCCCTCTCTTTTTGGACAGACAGAAGTTTTCCACGACATCGTTAGAGGGAAAATTTAAGAACTTTGAAACGGTATAAATAAGAATTTTGCAGAAGTTGAAACATTAGGGGACCTAAAACCTTACCAGAGTGACAGTGAGGCTCAGAACGCGTCCTTTACAGTCCACAAACAGGACGCTGTCTTCATACCAAGGGTCCAAGTGGAGGTAGTTGTACATGCCAAAAGCACGCATGTGTTCCAGGGTGTACTGGGTATCGTTCAGCTTCACTTCCTCCACAGCTGCAGTACAGATAACAGAGTAATGAGAGGATGTAATGATTGTATGAATCTTTAACCCATTTTTCAAACAAGGACTTGAACAAATTAAAAAGATTCAAATCTCGGGTGGAGGTCAGTCTGCCAATTTTATCAAGATTAGCTTTTTACAACTTAATTTCCCTGAGGCAACCTTTCCAAAAGGATCAATACAGCTCTATCTCATTTAATCTAATCTCATTTATTCAAACAAACAGGATGGTAAAAGAGCAGTACTTCTGTAACAAACACTTATCAGCCAATTCCTCTCAATAACTTTATAATTTCCTAATAATTGGTCACTTGTAATTGTAGTTTTAGGTCACAGTTTTTAACCTTAGGTCAGTCTGATGTAGACTTATTATCTCCTAAAACTGTGCACGAATAAAAACCCACCCCGAGATCAAAAATCCAGTCAGTTTGTGTTTGAGGAATTTTCCCTGAAATGTTAAATCTGAGCGGGTCTATTTCTGTTTCAGTAAAAGAAGATTTGTGTCGTTTGTTTGAATCGTCTGTATAAAAGGATTTAATCAGGATCAATATTTCTGTCATCTACATTAACATTTGGTACAAAGCTGCTCTATTTTAGCCAGTGATCCTTTAACCTGTTACTTCTAAATAGGGCTGGGCAATACGGGAGAAAGGTTATCAACATATATTTTGTCACGTTTTGATGATTTAAAGACCAATATAAATATAACTTTGTTTTCCTCTGACTGTGATGATACTCAGAACTCTCTGAAGATCTTATTAGTAACTCATTCATTCATTCATCCGTTCATTTACCGTGGAATGTTGAATCACTCCCATCATAAATAGCTGTGAGCTGCAGAGGAAACACTAAACCACAGACTAACCCTTTAAACTGGTTCCTGGGTCTGTAATCTGACCTAAATCCTGACCTGACCCCCTTCAAACCCCCTCAGGTGGTTCTGTTCTTCAGATAAACTGTCCCCACTTTTATACATATTCACATTAATGACTCTAAATAATAATTCACCCTCTCAGCAGCAGTATTTATGTGATAACAGGAGTTAAAGCCCCATTATAACCTGCTCTCACTGCTAACCTCAGCTAGCTCAGCAGGGTAACTGTGAATGAGTTTCTCTCTCACCTGCATCCAGCTCCACCTTGTAGGTCGGAATAGCGTCCAAAGATAACCGGTAACTCTCAAAGCTCGGGTCCAGCAGGTCTCTGTTGACCTTCAGAGAATAATTGGCCGCTGCCATATTTAGTTAAAACCTCGAACAGTTTGTGTAAAAGTTTGTTTGGAGAGAGGAGGACGGTGATGGTGGAGACAGGCGTTTCCGGTTTGTGTGCACACGGATGCATTTCACAGCGGACGCGGCTTGTTCTCGCGCGAATAAGGTGTTGAATTTTCTCATTAGAATAATTAAGATAATTGATTAGGCTTTTAAAATGTTAAAAAATGTTATTATCTGAGTATATTTAAATTTCTAACGTTCGCACCAAAGCGGAACCTTTCTTTACCATTTCTATTCCACCCGGTCAGTTTTCTAAAGGGACTCGGTGCTCCCCAGCTGATCCATCTCGACAAAAGGGTAACGATTCTTCTGTTGATCATATTTTTGTGTGATTTTTCCCTATAATTGAAGCCAAACAGAGAGTTTGTGTGTTTTTGTGTGTTTGATCAGACAGATCATGAACAAAGACTCGCAGATGAGGGCCGCGATCAACCAGAAGCTGATAGAAATGGGGGAACGGGAGCGGTAAGAGAGCTTTTCTCCTCTTTATAACATAACATCAGCTCTGAACTCTGATCAATAATAACCAAATCTGTGGCTACAGGCTGAAAGAGTTACTCAGGGCAAAGCTGGTGGAGTGTGGGTGGAAGGACCAGCTGAAAGCACACTGCAAAGGTAAGAACAATAACAATAATAATAATAATAATAATAATAATGATAATAATAATAACACATACTCTGTAATAAGACAGTGTATTTTAAAGACATGTCCTCCCTCTTTAGATGTGATCAAAGAAAAGGGTCTGGAGCATGTCACAGTGGAGGACCTGGTCACAGAAGTCACACCGAAAGGCAGAGGTAGAGAGACTCACACACACACACGACAACATGAGGATAAACCTGAGAGTCACACACACACACACACACACATATTTAACCCTCTGATGATTCAGTCAGTTAATTTCAGACGTTATTTTCACCTACAAAGTCAGAACACGACCACAACTCTGCAGAGAGTCAGGAGTCTGTTAAAGAAACATCTTTTTATTTTGTGGTTTTTATACAAAAACTCTTCTAATATCAGTCAATAGTTATTAGTTATTGATGACAGTTGGTAATATATCGATATCTCTGTGTTCTCTTATGTCTGTGTCGTCAACATTTGAACATTTTTGAGCGGTCCGCTCTTTCTGACTGTAAACAAAGCCGTTCTCCACCTCCTCTAACCTGATTGGTTGTGAGGCAGACGCTGCTCCCCCGTGTCGTTCAGGAGCCCAAACAAAGTTAGCGTGCTACAATATCGGACAGTAGAAACCAACCAGAAAGTTCGGAAAATTGTCTGAATCCTCCTTTGGCCACGACTGCCGACACAAGCAAGAAAACAAAGTAAATACCGGAGACTCTGGAGGAATAACTGGCGCTTAAAACGAGGGCTCGAGGCGATTAAATCGGCCAATTTTAGCCCGTTTGAGTCTAATCGGTAATCGGCCAAAACTTGCCGATAAATAAAATTCGTAGAATAAGATTCGGTTTACTTTGAAAATGTTCCTCCATTTTAAAAGTTCTCCGACTTATCCTGTAGATGGCGCTACAGCGACCTCATGCCGATCTTCATCCACTAACGACCTCACAGCACAGCAGAGTGAGGATCTGAAGCAGCAGCTCAGGGACACGGAGGAGAGTGGTCCACCTCAACGGGAAATAAACCAGTTTGTGAAACACACAATAAGTCAACAAGTCTGGTCTGAGTTTGATCAGTCGGCATGAAGAGCAGTAACCTACAGTATATCTACAGTATAAATATATTTTTATAACTCAAGAAAAAAATTTAAAAATCGTCTGATTTATTGGTAGTCAGGTTTTTTTCCCCCTAATAATGAGCATTAATTGTGGCTATAGAGCGGCATTTTGGTTGAGGCGGACCACTCTCCTCCGTGCGTCCCTGAGCTGCTGCTTCAGATCCGTCACTCTGCTGTGCTGTGAGGTAGTTAGTGGATGAAGATTTGTCACTATAGCGCCATCTACAGGATAAGTCGGGGAACTTTTCAAATGGCCGAACATTTTCAAAGTGAAACCGAATCTTATTCTCCGCATTTTATTTCTGAAAATATCTGCGAAAATCTTTGCGTTTCGGCCGATTATTGAAATATTGATAAAATCAATAAATCAATAAGTATGTTCTTCGTGTTTCTCCTGACACGTCTAAATAATCTGATTGTTCTTCTTTTTCTTCCCTCCTCTCAGCACTCGTACCCGACAGTGTGAAGAAAGAGCTTCTGCAGAGAATCCGAGCTTTTCTAGCTCAGCACGCCACTTTGTGAAAGAGACAGTTCACCGTTTAGACATTTTGTACTCGCTGTAGATCCACAAATACGACCCGAACTGATGTTTGTCCCCATCGTGAGCAATGCCGAAGTGTTATTTTTATTTTGTATTGTGTGTTTTCATATTGATTTTAGTTTGTTATGCTGCAGTTTTGGAAAAAAGAAAATAAAGTCATGCCTATTTTGGTCATGGAGGTGTGCAGACTTCTTCTTCGAGCTGCGGTTGAACCTTAATGGAGGAGATAATCACTCTTATCAATCTTCATTAAATCAGTGATTTTGTGCTAATTGTGCTTTAATTAATCTAAATATATTCTTTTAGTACATTTTAAGGAAACAGAATGCGTTTCCACCCACAGTTAAATGTTTGTATCACAGGTCCTCTTCAGAGAGACAGATGTGTTTGTTCTGTCACATCTGTCTGAACCGACAGGAAACATGTTTTCACTTCATTTTTCACAGAAAAACCTGAAGCTTCGTTCTCTGACGGTGTCTTTACTCTGTTGGACCGAGTGTGTAGTTCTGTGTGTGGGCAGTGTGAAAGCTTCTGTGTGTGTGTGTGTGTGTGTGTGTGTGGGTGGCTGGTGTATTTTAGTGACTGCATACAATAGATCTCTGTGTGAACGTGATATGAAACACATGTCCTCATTATTTTATTCTTCCTCTTATTCTAGATTTATTCACCATATTGAGTTCCTCACTGACTTCATGCGACTGAAAAAGTTCTTTATTAAAACATTAAATCAACGTCGAGCTGTCGACTGTTTCAGCAACAGTTCTGCACCTTAAACATAAATATTGAAACGACATTAAAACCACAGAGAAAATATTGTGAAGTTAAAAATCCGGCAGAGAACACAAGAACACGACTTTAGGACTGGAGGTTAATGTGAAGTGAAGATGTGAAGGCTGTCGGCTCTCAGAGGAAGGAAGACCGGGTCAGAGTCACTTCATATGAATCAAAAATAAACTTTGATTTGTAAACTGGAAGAGGCCGTAAAGATGGAGGGATCAGTTTGTCTCCACAGACTGTAAGTTTGTCGTGACGCTCCGAACATTCATGACTGACTTCATTACTCCTTTTCTTTGACAGGTTTGACAGATGATGAATCTGTGAACAGCTTCCTAAACAAAAGTTCACCCCTCACCTCTACAAACGTGTCATTTTCTCATTATCTCCTCCTTCCCCGTCCTGCTCGTGTCAAACAGCGTAATTATCCGTTTAAGCCGAGAGCGACTCTTAAAGGTGACAGAACCACTTTAATCTTCGAAACACAAAAGAGGCGGTGCGTTTGAACCGTTGTTTTCTCACAGACGTTATGTAAGAAAGTACGACGACGATGATGATGATAATCAGCCTTTTCCTGTCCTGAAGCACGTGTGAGAACATCTCTGCAGGCGTGTGAGTGAAAGAGCAACAACGACGACAACAACAACAGAACGACCCCCACTGAAGACATGGAAAAGATGGACCTAAAACACTAAAACATAACTTTGAACATTTTTATATTTGTCTCTTTGTGTCTGAAAAAGAAGTGCAGCTCAATGAAAAGTGATATTTGACTGGATAAAAGCAAACTGGAGTTTTGGATATATATATATATATATATATATATATATATATATATATTAAAATACTCCTAATGAGAATTTGATTAATTTAGTGAGACTGCTTAAAGGATAAAAAGCGAACAAAAATGAGAAAACAGAGAAAACCAAGTGTAGAAATCTTTAAGAAGATAAAAAATAAACGTGTTTTTCTGAACTGTCTGCTCTTCAGTTTTGATGAACCCGCAGTGATGAAGGAGTCGAACCCTCACCGTGTAAATGAACATTAACAGTTAATCTTCATCCATCTTCATACTTTCCGTCCGTCACCACTTGAGGTTGCTAAAGATGCAGATTTGAAGTATCTCTTGATCAGCTGATTGGATCTCCAAACCTGTCTCCGGACCCTCTCTGCTCTGAGTCTGTGAGGCTCCTGCTGACAGAGTCGTCGTTGTGCAACAGACTTTTAGGTTTTCACCTGTTTGCATTTCCAGGAGCTGAAATCACGAAAAACACGCAGGAAAAATCTGCTGAAAGAAAGATTGACAGTATTCTGTGTTTCAGATCCTGTTACTCTCGAGGTTAAAGCTGACATGTTTAGTGGCGATGACACCGTGGTGAAGGGAAACCCCCTGACGTTCAGAGTCTGGTCCGTCAGTGATTTCAGATCAGAAACGTCATGTTCCTGTTTGATTAGATGTTGTTCGGCGTGTCTGAGTGTTTTAATCGTCCTTGTTTGTTTAGTTTGTTAAGTCTTCTCCGTCTTCGAGGGTTTAACTCTTTGGCAAACTTCCACCTGCTGACAGACGTTTAAAATAATCAGATTCAAATCAAACAAAGAGAAAAACAACAGTCTGGTTTGCTTTAGCAGGTCAAATACGGCCTCGATGACGAAGCTTAGACTCGTGTTTGTTACCTGAATGTATTAACCTTTAACTCCTGTTCTTCAGTGAATGACCAGAATAAACTGACAGACACAGACCCTCTCAAAGATAAAACTAATGACTTTAAAAATGACAGGCGCACAGAGAGTTTCCATCAAACCCTGTTTTTCTCACATTTTTGATACAGAAATTGGAACATGACAGAAATTAGGGGTACTTTTTGGCCACAGGGGGCGCCAAAATCAACACAAAGAGAAAATTTCACATGGGAGCTTTAAATGACAAACCTTTCTGCAGGATGTGAAGAGGATGTGAACATTTATGAAGTTCCAGGATAGTTGAAAAAAGGACAGACGACATGTGGAGAGATTTTATATATAAGTTACAAAACATCTGAGCTGTTCTGGAAAATGTGTTTTTAAGTCATTCAATCATCCTGATAATTAAAGACACTTGAACTTGATAAATTAGAGTAATCCTATAAGAGTTACTGTTTTATGTTTTTCTGATTTCACCTTTTAAAACCGTCTCAGAACTTCCTCCTCTCCTCATCACGGTCATGACTCTGATGTCCGCACATGAAGATGTCACTAACTCAGCGTCTCACTCTGACATTAAATAAAAATGTTTGCTTTGATGGGAGCGACAGATTAAGAGTGTGGTGAATATTTGCTCAGATTCCAGATGACGATTCCTCCAGTCCCCTCCCCCTCCCTCAGGTGAGAGGTGGGACACTGACCGGAGTTATAAGGAGGCGGGCAGGTGAACGCTACAGGCAGACTCTCTTTCTTGATCTCCTGTCGACACCTGAGATAAACGACAGTCCAACAGCATTTTTACAGGTGAGTCCAATTTTATTTTTCATGTTTCATTTCTGATGCAGATTATTTGTGACAGTTCAGCGCCTTTTTTTACTCTTATTGTCTTATTTGGACTTTCTTTAAAATCAATAATGTTATTTTCAGATCTATCATCACGTCAGACTGCAGGTGAGAGAAGAGCTGAATCTGGGAAATCCCCAGGATGGAGTCCCTGCTGAAGCTGGTGGCTCTCCTCCTCTCGCTCTGCTGCTGCTGCGGTCAGTAAAAATATCTCCAGGTTCAGTTTTTATGCTCCAACAGAAACTCAGATTTACTGATTTAATATGACTGAATATAAATACACCTGCCTCTCTTATAATCTACTCAACGTCTCATTATGTCCATTCCTGTGATCCAGATGAGTCACCGTGACAACAGAAACATTCATCCACAGCTTTCTCCACCCATCTGAACTTCTCTCTCTTTTTTTCCTGGTTGTCTCAGGAGCTCAGAGCGTCTCCTTCATCAGACCCAGATATGCGAGCGCTGCCGGAGCGACACACCTGACCATTTTTGGAAAGGGTAAGGGTCCGACACCTCGAACTGTACTGCTTTGATTCACTGAAACTGATCCGTGTGTGTTGGATGGATCAAGGTCATTTAGAGACTCGTCCTTCTTGGTAGAGTCGGCGTCATGAGTCTGAACAGGGTCTTCAGTCTGACTCTGGACCTCGATCCTTTAACCTTCTGCTGGAAAGTGATGATTATATTGGGTGAAGTGACGGTGGTTAGGAAGCTTTTATTTTCTACTTCTTGGAGTCGTTTTAAAGTCGTTGGACTGACTTAAAAAAAAATACAAACTTGACTGTGAATCAAATAAATCCTAATGTGTCCAGTTGGTTTTACTCTAATAACTGTGAAAATCTGATGGAATCGGTTTATTTCTTCGTTTGGTTTTTCCCTCCAGGACACGTTTTGGGTTTATCTTTGTACAGTTACTGGTTTTGACTTTTTTTTCCAGGTTTTTCCCAGAAAAAGTTCCAGTTGACCGCGAAGGATGACAAGTTTGGGAACACTGTGGTTCTGGTTTCGGACATAGTGACAGTCCCCTGCGACGTGGAGGCAGACTCAACGCACGGCAATCAGATACTGTGTTACACCAGGTAACCTGGAAGCCAAAGAGACTTTTTTAATTCAAAGTTGACATGTTGTAAAATAAAATGGAAATTTAAACGTGTAAAATGTCGTCATCACAGAGCCCTGAAATATGGTGACTATGCGGTGCGTGTCATTGTGGACGGCGTTCCCATTCCTGACCGTAACTTATGCAACGGAAATCCGAACTCCTATCACTGCAGAGTCATCGTGAGTCTCCGTCATGTTGAAGTGAATGTGTCCTCAGCTCAGTCAGTTTTTTTAACAGTCTCCTCTTCTCTATAAACTTCCCCAGGTCCGCTGGTGGTACACGCCTGATGTCAGTCATTTTTATCCCAACAGCGGCCCCCCAGGTAGAGCGGATCACCTGTACAACATACAGGAGGTCTGATGTCCGGCTTTGTATTAACCGCAGCTTTAAATCTCTGCAGGAACCTTGGTGACCTTCGAAGGACTGATCCACACCGACGTTTACGGGAGCAACGAGAAACTGGCCTCCAACGGCCTGAACGTCCAAATGCTGAGGTAGAGAAGTTCATCCATGACCTTCATTTCTCTGTTAAAGATGTTTGTCTCAGAAACACGACCGACTATCACGGACACGTTAAAGAAGAAAACTGAGAATAAAGTCAGTCAGATCTTTCAAAGTTAGTCTAAGTCCACGTTCAGACTGCAGGTCATTCTGATTCTTTAACCATCTGTGACTCATATCTGATGTTTTCATCTCAGTGTGAACAGGTCAGTTCTGATTGGTTCTGGTCTGACCCAGGCCTCTTTTCTATGTGGATATAAATCAGATATGTATCTGATGTGACTGCAGTGTGGACGCTCAGGTCGAGTTTATCCGACCTTTACGTCATCAATATGAGACAAACGTCACCGTTGTTCGACAACACAAACAGGAGCGGGAAGTAATTTGTGCTTTGTGTTCATGTGGGTCACTTCACGGACACATTCAGTTCACATTAGATGATCGTTGTTGTGACGTGAACGACCGCACAGAAAGATCAGATTGAACAAAAAATCCGAATTGTGCATCAGAACCTGCAGAGTGAACGTAGCCTGAGGAACCGTGAACCAAACCCACGACTTTATCAAAACTTTATTCTTATAAAATGATGACTTTTATCTCAAACTGTTATTTTTTACTACAATTTCGTATTTTTTAATAATTTTTATGAGAAAAGAGGAGGGAAATTTAAAAGGAAAAAAAAGAAAAAAACAGTTATATCTTTATGTATTTTCATATGAATGAATATATATATTTATTTATTTCATTTTTTCTTTTTTAATTTCATCTATTTAGTTTTGGTTTTTTTTGTTTCTTTGTTGTCCCATTTTTCTTTTTACTTTCTTTTAAGTTAAACTGTTGTCCCAGCTTGTGTCTGTCCTGTCTTGTCTCCCCCATCTGTCATGTTTTGTTTTGCATCACTTCATAAAAATAAATTAAATTAAATTAAATAATTAAAAAAAATAATAATAATAATTTGACTTCTTGATTTTCGTATGACTTTATTTTGGTCATACAAGTCCAGCTCCTCCAACTGTCCCTCTGATAACCCGACCCGTTTCAAAGCTCGGTTCACAGTAAACGTTACAGTCCTGACTCTGATTTCTGAACCTGATCTTGTAAACTGCAGAGCCTTCGTCGCTGGGATGCCATGTGAGCTGCTGAAACCGAACTCAGATGAACTGTGAGTTACTTTTTTAACGATTTAACCATGTCACTAAAAGTTTTTTCATATTTTCTGATCCACGTTTTCTTCTCGTTGTATTTCTGAAGGTATCAGCTGAAGCTGAATTCTGAGACATCTTGGTGGGGCGCCCTGAGGTGCAAAATGACTGGGACTTATGTTGGTACGCAGGCTTTGTTCACAAGTACATGTTCATCTATCCTGAACAAAAATAAAATATGAAACTGAAAATAAAGATTTTTTCTCACCCAACAGGGAATCAGAACGGGTCGTTCATCAACACATATGGAAGGTAAAGTCTCGTTCGGACGCTGAAAACGATCACGTCGTTTCAAAAACAGAGAAAACATCTGGGAGAGATAAAAGAAAACACGATGTTGTTGTGATTGATTAACGATATCAAACATTTTCCTCAAACTGCAGGAACGTCGTCAAAAAGAAAGTGTACAGAGTACGCGCCGTTTACAGCTCACCGCCAAAGCAAAGTCTCGCCATGTTTCAGTCCTTTGCAGGTATGTTGGACATTTGTTTCAAGGTGATTCAGACGTCGTCTCTGGTATCTAGAACCTTCTAAAAGGCGAATCTCCTCCTCAGAGGTGACAGGGGTCTCGCCACCTCAGGGAAGCGTCATGGGTGGGACGCTGTTGACTATCGAAGGACGCTTCTTTGATGAAACCAACAGCCGAGCGCGAGTTCTGACCGGAGGTAAGCATCGGCTGAAAAAATACTGAGTGGCTCTTTTTATAGATCTATCAAAGGTATTTGACACTGAAGACCATAATCTGCTTTTACGTACACTTCGGCAAATCGGCCAATCAAACCAAGCAACATCGTGGTTTGCAGACTACCTACAGTCTAGGTAGTCTGCAAACCACGATGTTGCTTGGTCTGGGTCCTCGACAGTAGGTCACAATGTGTCCAGATGGCTGGTTCTACTTCTACCCTTCTGAAGGTCTCTAAAGATGTACCTCAGGGTTCGATCTTGGTCCCTATTTCATTCTCTGTCTATATTAATAACCTGTGTATCACTTTTATGCAGATGACACCATCATTTATTGTTGTTCATCATTTGAGTTTTTACAGTCTGCTTTTGATGTTGTTCAATCTCGACTGCAGAAACTCAGAATGGTCATGAACACAAACTCCCGGGAACAGGTCATTTTCTTCTTCTTTAATATTATTATTATTTATTATTGTGATGTGTGCTGCCGACCTCTCGGCCAGGTCATCCTTGTAAATGAGATCTCGATCTAAACAGGTTCTTACCTGGTTAAATAAAAAAATCTAAATAAGGTGTAAGACTGTAAACTACTTTACATGTGGAGTAACCTCAGATAACCAGACCACGTCGGTCTATTTCAGTCGTCCACCGTCTCTCCTCATAAAAAGAACTAAAAACAGACATGACTCTGGAGTGGAAACCGCTGCATTGGGGTGTTTCTGTTTTGTGAAACTGAGAAATGTTGACGTTGAAAGTTCAGATCCTTCACAACACCGGTCTGTGAACGTAGGTGATGATGTGAAAACGATGTGTCCTGTTCCCATGCTAACAGTGTCGAGCGTGAATACATGTCTGCAGCCCGTCTCCAAAACAAAGTCAAACTCATTGTTCGGGCCCCGAGACGTGCAAAGGTGATAATCCTTGTCAAAGCTCAAGAATGTGTGTACACTTAAAAGACCGAACAACAAAGAGAAGTTCAGAAGTTGTCACACGGCAGAGGAAGGAATCTGGAGAAACCTTAGAGGCACAGTCGACCATGAAGAGAACAAGCTGATGTCTTGCATAAGGCCCACGGGTCATTTCACGTGTTTTAGTCGAAAAGTTACAGGACGATTAACTTATAAGTCAAGTTGGTTTTATTTACTTTGCACTTCATCACAAAAGAGTGTTTCTGAGGGCACCTTATCGTACCAGAAACATTCACAAACCTGGACTGCTTTTTCCTAATTAAACGCCTATTCCTGAACTCCAATGAGTCCAAGTCAGGAGAAACTTATTAAAGTCAGAAATTTACTAAAGTCAGACCGTGTCCGATGTGTCCGGTGGCTTTTCTCAAAACTCAAAACTACCATCTGAACATTTTCTTTCCCGACACCTGATTTTGTCCCTCCACAAAAAAATACAAAAATATAAAACGACATATTTAGAGAAAAGTCAGCTGAATATGCATCTCTGAAGGTAGTTTGATAAATGTCACATAAGGTCTTAAAGTGCTCACAGAGATATCAGATCAGGCTCCTTTTCAGTACAGTTCTCTAAATAAAACACTGTACAAATCTAACAATGCTGTTTTATTCTCCAGTGAATAAAAGACCATTTTTAAAACATAAAATCAGCCTAAAAAAACACAAAAGTAGCTCTGGATGTCCATCAGTTCGTCTCTTGCTTTGGCCAAATCCTACACTCACAGTAACTCAGTCTGGTTGTAAATCTGCATTTGTTATCGCTTCTATAACGTTGAGAAAAACCTGCAGAAAGCTGTTGACAGAGAGCTCTGACTGCACCATGGTGTCTTTCTCAGAGTTGTAGTGATTCTCGGGTTCATGTGGTTGTTATAAAATATTGTTCTTGTCTCAAAATGTTCCCAGTCTGAGAGCGTTAACGATCGTTATAGATGTTCAAACTCATGCTGCTCGTCTGTTTGAAGAAAACAGCAAAAAAAAAACTCTTAAAAAGAACTACACATTTCATATAGTAAATATCTATAGACTTCCCACTGAGCAATAGAGGACTCTTACACATCCAGGTTTTATTTTAGACATAATTTCAACGATCAAGAGTCTGTATATTTAGACAGAATTTAGACTTTGCACTTTAATCCGTTATTTGATAACTATTTCTTTCAAAGAGCAACTTTGAGTCGCGTAACTGATCTCCAAGTACTTCACCAAAATAATTTTGATAGCCATTGAGCAAAATACAGTGTAGTATAGATAAAGATCAGATTTAGACTTGGTCTAAATTTAGACGTCTAAAAATCTGTCTTTTTTTAGACCTGCAGTCGCCTGATTTTAGTCGTCTGGGCTACGTTTAGACGTCTATTAGACCTTCTTTAGACCAAAAAATGCTCAGTGTTAGTTCACTCATGTACTTTTAACTCCTTATTACTTTGCAAAAGTCAAACAGAAGCTGTTTTATTTTTTGATTGAACTAAAAAGAACAGAGATAAAATTCCCTTGTATTTTTAACGGAGCGTACTCACACTGACTGAAATCTAAAACCTCAAAAATGCTGCTGGAGTTGTCAGTAAACACTCCTGAGTCTGTGAAAGGACGCAGAGGTGAGTACATGGTGATTAAATTGTCACTTTGCGGTTACCTGTTACCTCCTATTGTGTTTCTGAATCTGTGGAAAGCCTTTGTGAGCCTTCAATCACTCACACTTTGTCTTCTCCTCAGGCCTGCCGTGTGACGTCCTGAATGTGTCCGATGACAAAATTACCTGCAGAACCGCCAAGTATGAGACGAACAACAATAGGAAGATCTTCCCAAGTAAGGAGCGAATGCACCTGTTTTTCTTCTTCTCTTTGTTCCATTCAGCCAGAGCTGATCTTGATCTGTCATCTTGCTCAATATTGTACCGTGATGGTATCTGTGCAACAAGTTTACAGCAGAGCTGTATACCTGGAGGATGGCAGGAATTCAAAGCATCTCTTTAACTCGCTGACAAAACTGTCATCTTTAAGACGACGGATTCGTCCCATCACCTGTCAAAGAGACTTTGATGTGCTGTGTACTGTAACAAGATTGTGTATTATCTGATCGAGAAAAGTACACATGAATCATACTCTATGACAACAGCAGACCGAGCTTTTGTTTCTCTGCTACTGTAAAAATCCAAGATGGCTCCTCAGACCGCTGTGTGTTTCTATCCTGCGGTCGTTACTAAAGTTAATTTTTTGCCAGAATATCCCTTTAAAGCTCCTGTAAGGAACTTGTGATTGCGGGTGCTTTCATATGTCCACCTTGGCTTGAATTTTCCTTTGGTTCTCAATTAAGTTCTTCTTCTTCTTCTTCTTCTTCTTCTTCTTCTTCTTCTTCTTCCTCTTCTTCTTCTCTACACACAGAGGGAAGAGGCTTTTTCGTGGAGATATGGAACAACACAAAGACCAGATCCCCTTCTGAGATTGCCGCATACACTGATGAAACACCAGGATACTGGAGCATGTGGCGGCAGGATTTGCCTGTCACCTTTCCTCAGGCATTTGACAACTTCGCCACACGAACCAAAGGCCTCTTCGCCCCTCTGGAGAGCGGCAACTACAGAATGACGATCAAATGTGACGATAAGTGTGAGCTCTACCTCAGCAACTCCAGCCGCCCAGAAGACAAGGTAGGAAGAGAGTTTGCTTCAAAGCTGACGTGGCGTCCAGTCATCATTTTGGTTTCCTGCTTTAACATGTTTTTATTGAAACCCGTGTTTCAGGTCAAGGTTGCAGAACAACCTTATTATACCGCAGGATCAATCAGCTCACAAACATCGTCTGTGGTGAATCTAGAGGCAGGACAGAAGTAAGTGAAGGACACACTTCTCTCCATCAATAATTCTTCACTGAAGCCACAAAGTGAGACTCTTTTTTTCCCTTTAGCTACTACTATGAGCTTCTGCATCAGGAATATGCCGGTGCAGCACATTTCACCTTCGGCTTTAATTACGAGGGCAGCTCCTTCACTGAGGACCAGACGGATGATGCCGTGAACGAGGTTCAGCAGATTATAGCTGAAAATCAAGTGTTTGATGAAGAACAGGTATGCTAACTGATCATCTGGATCCGTATATATAAAGGACCGATCCCAATTGTTACTCTTATCCCCCTCATCTTAGCTATTTGAGGGCCAAGGCTAAGAAACGAATCGCTGATCAATTCTCGCTACATCATCATACTTTTCCGCTTGCTTGCTGTGTTGTAGGCTGATGCGACGACACCGCTGAACAAGTCGGAAAGCAATGCCGTTATAAGCTATTATTAGCACGGCATAGCACGGTATTTCACTCATAAAAGAGCAGAGGTAGGAGCTCCTGATGTAGATTCTTTGTTAGAGGTTATCGATGTTCTGAACGTAGCTTACCTGTCTGACCATTCTGCCAAATCATTCATAAAATACAGAACATTGTTGTAAAGTCCACTTCCTGTGAATTTGTCACCGGAGTCTGACATCAGTGTAGCTATCATTAGCGATAGCTTTGTTAGCTAGCTCATCATAACACGCGATCATAGACTGTATATACTATGGACAACTCGGCTCCACTTTCCAGCATTGTTAGGGTGACCATACGTCCTCTCTTACCCGGACACGTCCTCCTTTTTTGGGGGGGGCTGTCCGGCCTTGTCCAAGTTTATAAAATTCTTCAACTGTGCGGGGTTTTGTACGAAAGTTCAGAGTTTGTGTCGTGTTGACTTACTGAGTAAGAAACGCGTAAAAGATACTCGATCCAACCTGAAAAACTTTCAAAATTAACTAGGCGCAGCTCCGTGACTCTGCCCCCATGTAGTCGTGTCCTCTTTTTGGTGATTCAGTATACGGTCACCCTCGTCGTTATACGAATTTGAAGCCGAATTACTTTCAGTATTTCCAAGATTTTCTCCACTTCCTGGAACCACCACTTGTGCAGCAGCGGTGTACGTATTCGGCGGAAGATTGGCATTGGCCCTTCATGTTCCATAAACCTTCATGGGTGAAAACAAAACCCCTTCCTCTCCCTTTCTGCACCCCTTTTTTGGTATGTCCAGGTTGTTTCCTTAATGTCTTGGCCCAAGAGCGCTTCCCGCATCAAGGAGGTCCAGAAGTTGACCGTGAAGAGCGACTGTGCCAGCCATCTCTGCGCGAGCACCTTCTTCAGCCTTGGTTATGGAGAAGCAAAAACAGGTGAAACGAGAAGGCGTTAAAAACCCTAAACCCGTCACTCACATGTGGAACGAGTTCATCTGTGGCTCACATACTGTTTGTGTTACAGGACCAATCCCAGTTACCGCCTCGTCCGATATGGTGGAAGTGTACCTGAACGACCTTTTCTCGATCAAGCCCGACACTGTCCAGGTCACCAAGCAGGGGGACGACTTCACGGTCACGTTCGATTCTGACAGAGGTATGAGAAACAGAAATGTGACTATTCAGTGGAAAACACGAGGAAGTCGATTAATCGTGAGTCTGTTCTTAATGTAGGGGATTTTGAGCTCCTGAAGTATGAGGTCTTAAGCCCCGACATCAACATCACTGTTACTGAGGTAACAAAGGGGGAAAGCAACATGAAGACCTTCACTCTGCTCTTGGATGGACTTCATACAGAACCCATCCCCTACAATGCAACTCAGTCTGAGGTCTGTCCAGCAAGTCCACTTCTCAGTATCTTCTCAAGTCTCTGTGATAGTTTGTCAAACCAGATATCAGCGTGAGTATCTGCTTATCTTGTGAGCAGGTTCAGTCGGCTCTGATGACAGCTCTGAAAGCTGACTGTCCCGATGAGATCGAGAGACCCGAGGGGACTGATGTGGCTTTCTATAAAGACTATGAAGATGACAAATCGAAGGTGAGTGGGGACAAAAACTAAACCTGAGTCCTGCAGGTCCAGACCAACGCACAGAAGTGAAGTTTTCTGTGTCTGAGTCTGTTCTTCTTTGGTTCTCACCAGTATGACAGTGCCGAGACAGGGACTCGAGTGAAAACCGGTTTCTGTGGCTTGTGGTCTCTGAAGAACCCCGGAGCTCCTTTCAAGACCAGCTACATAAAAGACAATGGTGAAAAATACGGAGCGATTTCTCTGGACGTATTTCCCTGGGTAAAACAACCACGTCGTCTTATTACTCGTGTTTCTGTGCGTTTTAAATCTGCCGCAGTGACGTAGTATAAAAATTCTGTGTGTCCTCGCAGATCTGCTTTGCATACAGGGGGGGACTCAAGGATGAAGTCGGAATAAAATTCACTTACAGCAACAGCCAAGGCCGAGCCAAAACTGAGACGGCCAAGATCACTGCGGTTTTCAACAAGGAGGACAAGTCAGTGAAAACAAATGACCGATTTGTGCGATTTCAGCAAAATTTCCAGCATAAGAATAAGAGTGTGATTCTTTCTTGACAGGTGGAGTTACAAATGCATAGACCTGAAGATGTCCCTGCAGGGGGAATACACCGGGGGCAAATTTAGTATGCAAGAGCTCCGCCTCTACAAAAAGGACTCGGACGTGGATTTCTTCATGGATGCCCTTTACATCGGAAAAACTCCCACCACAAAGAACGAAAACGGTACAGTGCACTTCTGATTTCTTGATGTCCAATCAGCTGTTTTTGCAGACAGTTCAGTCCTGTTCAGCCCTCAGTTGATATCTCACGTTGATTCTTACAGCCGTCCCTCTCAAGAGGAGACCTTCACCTAATGGGGAAAAAACCTTTGAGGGGATCAAAGTCAGCCGAGAGGAATCCTCCAACTCCACAATCAGCTACAAGATCAAAATGACGCCAGATGACTGTGCCTCTGGGTTTCCGATGCTCCAAGTCGGCTTCTCCCAGGTCCGTTTATTTGTCTGAATTATTGACGTTATCGTGTAGAGGCCGAACAGACTGACGTATTTGACTGATCCATCAACCTTACTTTGGCATAATGTATGTGCAACCCCAATGAAGGTGAGATGTTGTCTCATTCTTGCCTGAGCAGTTCAGTGTCATGGTTGTTGTGTTTTCCGTCAAATTGCACCAAATGAATAAAAGTCTGTTCAGCACCAGGACCCTTCTACTACAGAGCCATACAGCAGCATGACTCTGTAGAAGGAGGTTTTATCCACTAAGATAAACCAGCACCCCTTCATTTCAGTGTTCCAGAAGTTCTGCCAAACTCTCCTATAAAAGTGTCTGACATGAGCGCGTCGTCACGTTGTAGCTGCCCGGCTCGCTGTGACTGTTCAGGCTGTTTTGTTTTTTGTTCAGTTTCTCTGTTTCTACCGGGCGCCACGTGATCCACTTCAGCTCACGTACCTTCACCATCAGTGGAAATGTTCGGCTCGTACGAACACAATGACTGACTGAAAAGTAATTTGTCATTCACACCTTTATGACAGCTGGAGAGAATATTTCCAGGAGGCACGACTCCTCCTTCCTGACAGATTCTGAATCACACGACTCAAACGTACCGTGTCGGGCGACATTTTGACGACTGATTGTCTTTTGCGCAAATTTAGATGTCAATCAAATTGTGTGCCGACACTCCCACGCAATCTCACAAGCTGTCGAAAAGGTCGATTATGCACTTTATCTTTCCTAGCTCGGTTTCAAAATGTTTGTGAAATCTTGTTTCATGAAGAAACTCAGACACGCACTTCTGATCATGATATCGTGACTTTCAGGAGGTTTGAATGCTGAGCGTCGCTCTGCTGTACAGTCAGGGTTTGAGTGATGTGCAACAGAAACTGATCACAAATTGATTATTATGTTTTATAGATGTCTGACAGCGGCGAGGACATGGTTGAGTACAACTACGGCCAAGCCTCCATAAGAGTCAGCCGCAATCACAGAGCCACCCCTCGTCTGTCCGGCACCTTTGACTTGGGCTTTCAAGACTCATGGGTTAAAGGTATTTCTGAGAAGTTTATCCTCGTACAAACACTTAACGAACTCCAACTTTGCTTCATTCACTCTTGTGAAGTGAAAAACCATCAGTCATTGCCTTTTCTCAGATCTCTCAGTGGACATCAGTGCGGAGGACCTGACCTACGTCCTGCAGGGAATTAAAGGGATGGGTCAGGTCAGTGTTAGCAAGCAGGGAAGCTGCAGTCGACCGTTGTGGAGGATAAAATGGCTCACAAACTCTGGAAACCAGCCGGAGCTACAGGTCAGACTCTGAGTCTTCTTTCAGTCTCTTTTCTGAGACTTCTTTCTCCCACAGTTTAAACTTTGTTCTCATGTTTCATGAATTCATACGTAAAGAAAACTATAAGTTGGATTGACACCTGACTGTGATTTATTTCCACGGCAGATTAACGGCTCAAAGATTATCGGCAACAACGTGAAATCCTGGGTCCGTGAAAGGACAGGTGGAGGACTGAGAATCAAGAGCTTGACAGGAGACTACACACGTTTCTGGGGAACAAAACCACAGGTAAACCAGGGGTTCGAAAACATCCGGGTTGGGTTTCGTCAGATGTCTGCCGTCTGTTCGCTGTGTTTGCTTAGTGCACCTCCGGCAGAGCGAGTCCTATTTTTGTCTGTGCTGCTGCGTTCGTACATTTCGTGCCTCGAGGCAGGAGGAAGGATTATACTGTCATGTTTGCACGCTACTAAATAATTGCTAAGAATTATGCACTACAGGTGAATGGCAGCTTCTGCAGACACCTCCATCATTATTGACAGAAGCAGTGCCACCGTTAGTCCTCACTCTAACCCGGTGTGGTTTTTTCTTTTGCAGGTTGAAGTCTACATCAATGGTATCCCCTCGAACTGTGTCGGTGATTGTACGTTTGAGTGGTCGAAGGACAAGACCCCCGTTCTGACTGGAGTCAGCCCACCCAAAGGTGACTCATTTTTTCTGTCAACATGAGGTGGAATGTTTTGAGCTGAACAGCTTGATTCAGACGGACAGTTATGGATCTGAGGAAAGTCAACAGCTGTGGACACTTAAATATTCAGAATTAAGTATTTTTGAGAGATAATGAAGAAGCACTTATTAGTTGGAAAGTTTTTGTGATTTTCTTTCTTAATGTTTATGAAATAACTTCAGATACTTCTGGAAACTTTCAGGATCAGACCACCTGGGGACTCCTCTGACTATCACTGGGACTAACTTCAGTAATGAGAAAGCAGACGTCTTTGTAGGGAACACCAGGTGCCATGTTGAAAAGTTCTCAGGTCGGTGTCTCAAATACTAAGTTGCTGAATTGTCATTTTTCTTAAAAAGGAGTTTAATCTTATATTTTTATTGTTTTCCAGCAAACACTCAGGTGTGCAGACTCGGCAGCTCCAGCGCAGGGACCTACCCCGTGTCAGTCAGCTTCCCCTCTCTGGGTAACGCCAGCACCACAGACGGCAACATCTTCTACTTCACCTACGAGTCGGGTATTTCCTCTTTCTCCCCGCTCTCTGGAAGTCTGGCAGGTGAGATGTCAATCCTGAGTAAACCCGCACAAGTCCTGAAAGCATTTCAACCTCCATTTTCTCATTTTTTAAAATCCTGTTTTCTTGTTTGTTTTTTCCTTAAAGGAGGGACTCTGCTGACGTTCCTCGGTTACGGCCTCAGTCTGGACTCCACAGTTACTGTTGGTGGTGCAGAGTGCAAAGTGGTCAATGGCAATGAGACAAAGCTAACCTGCAGAACACCAGCAGTAAGAGCTTCAAACTATTATCAGACATGTCGTTTTCCTCTGCTCTCTAAAAAAACTGATTTCATGTGCAGATTTCGTGGTCCACACATGTTTTAAGGTCCTCGAGGCACCGGTTGCTGATTTGATTCGTTTTGCTCCATCTTAAGGCGGCCCTACGGCGTGAACAACAACCCACAAAAGACCCAGTTACTGAATAACAACACTGAAAACCTTGGAAATTAAAAATCATGGGATTTAATAATTTAAATACAAGTAATAAAATCAAACTCACACATTTATTTTGTCCCTTTGAGAGCAGAGATCTCTTTCCAAAGAGGGGCCTGAGTATGAAAGCAGAACAAAGTTTCAACAACAAAGTTTTTAGACTCTCACGGTAGAATTAAAGAAACTCATCAAAGGAATCAGACAAACATTTTTCCTCCGGACTTTTCACTTGGGGTTTGGAAATGTTCGGGCTCATTAGGTTTCTCAGATTCTTCCAGGAAGAAAGTGCAAAATACCAAAAACGTTCTCCTCTGACTCAGTTTGGACAACAAAGTGCTCAAAGTTTAACAAACAAAGGTTGTGAATTTGCCCAGAGATGAAGATTAAACCCAGTAAGAACATGTGACGTAGAGAGAGGCGCCTGGTTTGACCTGAGGTTGAATCATGTCAGGTGGAAACTCAAGATAAACCGATAAACCGGGTTCTCGGACGCTCTGTCGATTTTTAAAACTTCATCATTTTTCTATTTTTGATCCATTTGGCTTTTATGTATGAAAAAAATCTGATCATGTAGTTTTAAATGATGAAATAAAATAAGTGACCCATTTTAACAAAGACTGTCATTCAGACATTTCAGCTAAAGTTCGCCATGAGTCACCGGTCAGACAAAAACAAGAGTCCTTACAAAAAGATACCAGACCAACAGTCAGAGCACTTTCTATTTCTGTCACTATTTTTAATAGTGTGTGTCAGCGCCGTCACTGGGTCAAGTCTGATAAAGCCATCGATGACGTGAGTCACATAGCATGACAAAAGGAACATCTTTGACAGATTAAAGAAAGCAGGATGAGCTTTTTTTGTCTTCAGACAATACCGTCACGAATGCACAGGACACAAATGACACATATCGAAGGCGCCGCCTGGTCTGAGGGTGTGCCAGTGTCGTGCCAGGATTAATCTCATACGAAGCTAATCGGTTCAGCGGCGAATAAAAGCTTCTGTTGTTTCAGGGAACTGCAGGTTCAGTGAAAGTCGTGATGCAGGTGGGAAACAAAAGTCTGACAGCCGGCAGCTTGTTCACCTACAACAGTAAACTCACACCTCAGATCTCAAGAATGGGTCCCAACACCGCCACTGTGACAGGTGAGTGAGTGGGGCCAACCAGTCAATACATCCAATAAATCCAGCTTGTTTAACTGAAATCATGGTAACACTTTACAAGAACCATAACTTATTAATGGTAAATAGACCATTGATAAATAGTCAGCAGATACAAAGAGATACTGACACACATTTTAATCTAGATGTTTTACAACCAATATTTAAACCCTATATAAACCTTAAATAAACAGTCAATTTGTTAATAAACATTAATAAACTATCTATTTGCCATTTATAAATTACTGTCCACTGTCCACTGTCCTTCATTCTGACACCATTAGTTTTGTTCCAGTCCACTGAAATGTGGACTTGCAGGTTTTTTCTGTTTCTGTCCTCCATGCCAACTGAAGACAGTCACTTATAATTATAGTATGCCTGTGTGGAAAGCATCACCACAATGAGAATGCCTGTTAATACAAGATAACATGGAATCAATGAGGTGACAAGTGCCAATTATCGCGACTCTTTAGCCTCTCAGCGGAAAAAGACTGTTGACTCTTTGTGGCGTCTTTATTTTAGGAGAACAAGTTCTCACCATCACGGGTTTGAACCTGGGAGGACAAAGCGATGACAGTATGGTGCTGGTCGGCAAGAAGGAGTGCATGATAATGAAGTGGGTTGACACCGAGATCAAGTGCCTTCTTCCTGTGCTGCCACCTGACCTGTACAAGGTGTACGTGCAGGTTGGCAACAATGGCTACCCTCAAACAAGGTGAAGCTCGAAAGTACTCTGAAAATCAACAGTATAAAAACAAGATGAGATACCAGCATAAAATAAGAGGTCCTGCTTTGTCCACAGGGGGCGCCAAAATCAACACAATCAAAATTATTTCATCCTCTGCTTTTTTTTTGCAGGGACAATGTGGTCACCGAAATCAAATACATCTTGGAGATCTACAGCGTCTCCCCTAAATTTGGCTCTTTGCTCGGGGCGACCAGACTGACCATTCCAGGATCTGGTTTCAGCTCTAATATCCTTGACAACAAAGTCTCTGTTGGTAAGCAACCATCAGTAACTTTTCAACCTTGGTGGTAAAATACGTGAGTACATGATCTCACTTGTCTTTCCGTGGTTTTTGGTTCAACAGGAAAGGCTGATTGTGAAGTGAAATCTGCCTCAGAGGATGAACTGCAGTGTGTTTTGCTATCGGAGGAGAAGACCCACATAGTTACCAACCAGGGAACGCACCACAGTAGGTTTAGTTTTTGTTTAATTAGTTTGACCCATCCTGATAACCGCACATGCGTTTAAACAGACTTCTTATATCTGCGTTTTTCTGTTTGTCGTAGCTCACGGACAGGGGTATGCGTGGGAACCATCCTCTCTGACAGTGTATGCTGGTGACACAGTTACGTGGCGTATGAAAGCTCCAGCCTTCCAGCAAGGCAGGCTTCGAGTATTCAGTGTTTCAACACCAAGTGGTACCACCTATGAAGACGGGCCGTTCAACAGTGGTGATATCGGGGTAGTAGAACAAGGTAGAGCACCTTGTTAACAGTAGTTTTACATGAGTATTGACAAACTCGCTCAGCTTGATGTGTTTTAAAATGGTTTCAGCTTCACTGTGAGTTGTAAGAAAGGACGCCATGACTGCAGACTCCACGTGTTTGAATCAGCACTTCAGGGTTTGTATAAAAACTTCCTCTTTCTTTCTCTGAACAGCAACTTTCAGTTATCGCTTCACCATCCCCGGTACCTATTACCTCAGCGGATATGTTGACACCAAAGACAAGATACCTTTGCAGGGATCTGTGGTGGTCGTAGATCGAGAGGAAAAGACCGAAGAGATCGACGTCGCTGTAAAAGGAGTGGAGGCCAAACATGTTAAAAAAGGTAAATTTGAATTCGTTCAAACAGCGCAATTATCCAGTGAATCACACCACTTGAAATTTGTGACACTGATGGATTCAATCGTCTCCCCTCAGATTCTAACAGCCAATCCACAACAGCCCAGCCGTGCATCGCCTTCATACAATGTTCACACACCACCAACACGTCAGATGACTTAACATTCAGATTCACCGCCTGTGCCACGCCCAAAGTCAACTCCATCTCGCCCAACCAGGGGACATACCATCAGGTCATCCACATTAAGGGCTCAGGATTCAGCGACACAGCCTGCGCTAATGAGGTCAGCGGTAACTTAAACGTAAACATAAAAGCACGCCAATAAATATTGAAAGTTAACATGATCACATGTCTCTGCGTAGGTGACGGTGGGAGGTCAGCCCTGTCAGGTGATCAACAGCTCCAATTCTGACATCTACTGTCGACTGAGCAAAGACAGTGGGCTCGCCATCGGTGTCCCTCACTCTGTAGCTCTCAGGGTCAACAATATTGGAGAAGCAATCATCGCCGTGCCCAAAGAGCTGCATCGCCGTTTCGTGGTTCTGCCTGTGGTAGATTCACTCTCGCCTCAAATCGGCAGCACTACCGGCTACACTCGAGTCCTCATCCTCGGTTCCGGTCTCTCCGAAGGAAAAGTCTCTGCGGCCAACATGCCGTGCGCTGTTGTTGCTATGAACTACACCTCCATTGTCTGTGACACCTCTCCTTCAGCGCCGCGAACTGGTGATGTGGTCCTCCATATGGGCCGCATCAAAAGCTCCTGTCAATCAAGCTGCTCCTTTGAGTATTCGCCCTCCGTCACTCCTGGGGTCAAAAGTATTTCCCCTGACAGCATCAGTGGGCCCTCCACAGTCACCATCTCTGGCTCTTCGTTTGGTACCGATAAGGACGGCGTGGCGGTGTTTGCCAGTGACACAGAGCTGGAGGTCATCACAGTAACCGATGACAGCATTTCAGCGAAAGTCAACTCTCTTTCTGCGGGAAACCATCCAGTCCAAGTAATTGTGCGAAGCAAAGGTCTTTCGTCCGGCTCTCTCACCCTGACCAGCGAAGCTAAAGCCGACGTCAACCCTGTAGCGGGAAGTCTGGAAGGAGGAACCCCTGTGGTCTTCACTGGAAATGGCTTCGCTCCCGGAAACACAAGCGTGATGATCGGCGGTAAGACCTGTGAGATCATGGAGGTGACGACAGCGCGGCTTCGCTGCTTGACACCTCCTCATGAAGAAGGGGAGCAGAACTTCATTATCCAGGTGTTTTCGGTGCAGTATCCTGCTCTGGGCTTCAACTACTCTCTGGAACACACTCCCATCATCCGCTCTGTCAGCCCTGCCAAAGGTAACTATGCTCCTCTACCTCCTCTTGATTTCAGCATTTCCCATCCATCTTCCTTTACCTTATCTCCTTCCTTGTTTGTTCCCTACAGGGACGAGCCTGACCGTCATCACGCTGACAGGTTCAGGATTTGGCAACGACCCTGAGCAGGTCCATGTCCCCATAAATGGCGTCCCCTGTGCGGTATCTGCTGTCTCTGACTCAAAGTTGACGTGTACAGCAGGAGAAAGCCCGGGGGGAACGTTTGAGGTTGTGCTGCGTCACAGTGTCGATGGTTTTTCCCAGTCGAATGTCACGTTCCAGTACGAGCTCAAACTGGACAGTGTGCAGCCTAAAGAGGGTGAGTGGAAAGAATTACCCGAACATTTTCCCAGTGTTAAATGTTCCCAGTAAAATCAGTACAAAACTATACTATACGATACAATATGGAACAATACAGTATGATACAATACCATATGACATGATACAATACAATTTCATACAATACAATATGATACGATTTGATATGATATATGACAAGATACAATACGATACATTATGATACGATATAATACTTTAAAATATGTTATGATACCATTCCATACCATACCATACGGTTTGATACGATACAGTTTAATACGATACAATATGATACGATACGATACAATATTATACTATGTGATTTAATCTGATATGACAGGGTACATTTTCATACTCCTGGAAGCTGCGCCCTTTTTGTAAACTTGTTTTTAATTCCATAAGTTATTTTTTGTTTGTGGTACAGGCAGTTTCGCTGGCGGCACTCCGCTGTCTCTGCAGGGTTCTGGCTTTGACCCGCTCAACTCTGTCGTGAGTATCTGCACGGAGGAGTGTAAAGTGGACCGGAACATGTCAACATCGAATCGTCTTTACTGCGAGTCTCCATTCAACAACGGTAAGTCACTGAGATTATCCAAAATCATGAATGCACAAAGATTAAGTCAGTCCCTTCAGAGGCTAACCTCACAGCTGGACTAGTTTGTTCCCATCAGTCAGGAGCTAAAAATATCAGAAACCAGCAGGAACACATTCTTTCTAGGAAACATGACAGTTTGACCTTTCTTAGAAAGAGAGGATTAGGGAATTTTCTTCAGAAGCTGTTAGATAATGAGTCGGAATCTGCAAGAGTGCAGCTAAGTATTTAAAGTGTTTCATCTTAGTAAAGGACATTTTGGAGTAGAGCCGTGTGAAGGTGTTTGAAGACCTGGAAACTACAATGTGAGGTGAACTAAAGATCATAGTTACAGATGGAAATGTCTTTGCCCTTTTATTTGGCAGAGGACATGGAAAGTGGTCTGAAGTAGCTTGTATGACAACTAATTTGAACAAAAAAAGACAGTAAACTCTTGTAAATCCCCAAACTACAAATAATCGATTCAAGCTGTAATAGGCTCCTTCTAAACAAAGAAAGGTCTCCTTGGTTTGTTGTAGTTTTCAATAGAAAGAATGTGTCCCTGCTGGTTTTTATTTTTAGTCCCTGACTCATTATAACAAACCAGTTTTGTCTGAGTTGAACTTGAACGGAGACAGAGAGGAATGCGATCGGTCTTTTGTATGTATAGATTGACGGCCTCGTCAGATCAGACAATGTCTCATCATCTCAGACTGTTTGTTATCTCTGAGCACTCGTCCTGACTCCTCTCTTTGTTGTCACATGTTTCTGTCCGTCTGGCGGTCTGGGCGTCCCGTCTTCTCTCAGGCACTGACTCAGAGTTGAGCTGCAGCATCGTCGTCTCTACAAAGAATGATGCCGTCACAATATCAGGTGGCTTTACCTACAAATCTCAGCTGACTCCGGTGATCACCAAGGTTTCTCCGCGCAGAGGAGGCACTGCTGGAGGCACGCTGCTCACAATCACCGGCTCGGGTTTCAGGTGCAGTTGAGCGGAAAAATCTCTGCAGAGAACATTTGACACAATGGAGAGCCACACCTAGATCATGGACCACTGATCGAGGACTAACAGTTCAACTTACATGTACAATAGTTTTCAGTTTACAGGAAGTCTTTGTTTTCAATGGGGCTTAATGTGAAGACACATGCTGGTGGTTTTTTCCACACTAGATCTACAAAAACAAAAACTTCTCAAATCAAACATCGATTTATTCAGCACTTTAAAGCTTCTTTTAAACTTGGTAGAAAGTTCAAATCACACAGTCCATATAACAAAACCTTTTTTATCCCAAAATGAATTTAGAACAAAAACATCATTATTCTGAAACTCTCTTTAATTTACACAAATTTGACTCACACATTTATTTTCTCTATAATAACTTTATATATGACAATAATACAGACATTAGCCTTTTCCTGTGTAATGAGATGGTGTGTAGATGTTATGTAATATTATGTTATAATAATGTATATGATGTAATATATTTTCATTGTTTAATATTTTATGTAACAATACAAAGTACCTTGATTTAATTAATATATCATATTAGATATATTATATTATTAACAATATTATATTATTTTAGATGAGATGAGTTTATTCTTTAAATACTAGAAAAGACTTGGACATATTTCAAATATACTTAATTAAGTTTATAATCATATCTTATTTATTCTGTTTTGAGTTAAAATGTTAGCTGCATGTTTTTTTTTTATCCAACTATAAATCATTAACATTATTTCAAACTTATTTAAACCTGTAGTTGACATGTTAACACAGGATTATATTACCATTTTGAAAACTGACTATTTATAAATTATTGGATTTGATGGTCAGAGGGTTTATTTTAGAAGCTACAATGTTTTTTTAAACTTATAAAACATATAAATAATCCAAGTTTTTTAAACCTCAAAATTTATGATTCACTGTTTTGTCCTGTCTTTAATATTATTTAAACATTAAATATTAATATAAATTTAAAAATCATACATTGTTTTTATTTTCTCTTCTCTATACCACAGCACCGACAAAAGCAAAGTCACTGTGACTATCGCAGGGTCCGTGTGTGACGTGAAATCTACCACCAACACGAAAATCACCTGTGTGACCAATTCTCAGTCACAGTCCCAGGAAGCCAAAGTCAGAGTCACCATTGGAGAGCAGGGCGACGCCAGGCAGGTAAGAGAGGAGAGTCCTGAATCCGCACATAAACCCCGGCTTCACTTCTGTTAGAGAGAGAATGTTGAATTTGCACCGTTAGAGTCCACCGTCTTGTTTTAGCGCTGCCTCTTTTTTCAGGATAATGCAGATTTCTTCTACATTGACGTGTGGTCATCCAAGTACACATGGGGTGGTCAGTCTCCTCCTGAGATGGGTTCATTTGCCATTGTTACCAAAGGCCAGACCATCCTGCTCGACACCAGCACCCCAGTTTTAAAGATGCTGCTTATCCAAGGTACAAACACTGAAAATAATAAATCTAAATCTTTGTTTTTTCATCAGCATTCAGGATCTAACTTCTTATTTCTGAGCGCAGGAGGGACGTTGGTGTTTGATGAAGAAGACATCGAGCTGCAAGCAGAAAACATCCTGATCACAGACGGCGGGCGGCTCCAGGTCGGCACAGAGGAGGCGCCATTCCAGCACAAAGCTATTATAACACTTCATGGAAACGTGGGCTCACCTGAACTACCTGTTTATGGAGCCAAAACCCTGGCTATCAGAGAGGGAGTGCTGGATCTACATGGTAAGACCCATAAAACACTGGGGCAGAGCCGGACTGCCAGTTTATAGATAATGGTTAACAATACAGAAAGCGATACAGATGACCGCAGTCTTCCTCCTTTCTCTCATAAACTCTGACGAATTAAAAAAACTGAAATATCTGTGACCCAATTCTTCCAAATCCCCCAGATTAAATGTCATTATGTCACATAAGAGTGAAATGACAGAGATATGCGAGTCGTGTGTCCTGCAGGGATGTCATTATCACTCACACCTCGCCTGCCCTCCTCAGGTGTAAGTCTTTGTTGATGACCTGTTTCTCCAGGTATTCCAGTTCCTGTCACCTGGACCCACCTTGCACAGACAGTGAATAAAGGATCCAAGACACTGACCCTGAAGAAGGCGGTGACATGGAAAGTTGGAGATGAGATTGTCATTGCCACGACAGGTCACAGGTACATCAAAATTAATGTTGGAAGATCAAACTGACAGATTTTGTTCAGGAAATATATTTAAAAGTACAGAAAATGTAACGATTATTTAGTTTATGTGTCCAAAGGGAGTGGAAAGAAGTGTTTTTTTCAATATAGTTGCAAAATACGTCGCTGCAGCCTCTCAGTTACTAACTTTATCACCCATGCAAGGATCCACGTGGGAGAAGATGCCACAATAATGAAGTTCTGCAATAAACTCAATAAAGAGAAAAGCATAAGCAGCCTGATATCTTCCCTTGATCACACAATTTTATCCTCTAGAGGTATCAAAGTGCTCAAATTTACTCCGTCAGACTTGAAGTTATCACAAAGTTCAGCGAAAAAGGACTTCTTGAACCTGCTACCGCTGCCATGTTTCATACTCTTCACTCAAAAATCCTCTTTTTATCTCTCCAGGCACAGTCAGAAAGAAAACGAAGTGAGGAAGATTGCTTCTGTGTCTGATGACAGTAAAACTCTGACCCTGACTGAACCTGTTGAGTACTCTCACATGGGGGTGACGTTGACGCTGCCTGATGGTACCAACTTTGAGGCCCGGGCTGAGGTGGGGCTCCTCACCAGGAACGTTGTGGTACGAGGTGCAAAACACGACGAATGGCTGACCACGATTAAAGCCTGCCCTGAAGGCTTCAACACAGGTACTGTTTGATTGTGAAGTACGAAAAATAAGTGAAATCTTTAATATTACTCTAATAATAAGAAGCAGGGGTTAACGTTGTTCTCTCCTGCAGGTCAGTTTGCCACCCAGACCTGCTTCCAAGGCAGGTTTGGAGAGGAAATTGGGAGTGACCAGTTTGGGGGCTGCATCATGTTCCATGCGCCTGAACCAAATAAGAATCTTGCAATCGGCAGAATTGGACATGTTGAGGTACAGACTTGAACATGTTGAATCTCTCTCTGCAGTCAAACTGAAATGGCAAACTTGAAAGTCTTGATGCTCTGAAATCTGCAGGTGACTCATGCAGGACAGGCCTTCAGGCTCGGGCGGTATCCCATCCACTGGCACCTGATGGGCGATATTAATTATAAATCATACGTGAGAGGTTGTGCCATCCATGGTACCTTCAACAGGGCTGTCACCATCCACAACACCCACAGGCTGCTTGTGGAGCGCAATGTCATCTACAACATCATGGGCGGCGCTTTCTTCATCGAAGACGGCATCGAGACAAAGAACATCCTGCAGTACAACCTGGCTGTGTTTGTCAGGCAGAGCACCAGCCTGCTGAATGATGACGTCACCCCCGCTGCCTACTGGGTAACCAATCCAGACAACATCATCAGACACAACGCCGCAGCAGGGGGCACCCACTTTGGCTTCTGGTACCGTATGCACAACCACCCTGACGGCCCGTCTTTTGACCCGAACATCTGCCAAAAAAGGGTTCCTTTGGGTGAGTTCACCAACAACACAGTGCACTCTCAGGGCTGGTTCGGCATCTGGATCTTCCAAGACTACTTTCCCATGGTTGGTGGAGGCTGCCGTTCCAACACCCCAGAGCCAGCTGTCTTCCACTCTCTCACCACCTGGAACTGCGAAAAAGGTGCTGAGTGGGTCAACGTGGGCGCCGTGCAGTTCACTTTCTTCCTGATGGTCAACAATGAGAAAGCTGGCATCGAAGGCAAGCGTATTGTTGAGTCTGCTGTGAGAGGCTTTGGGGGGACAGTCGGGGCGATGGTGTCCAACAGCACCATTGTGGGCCGCGTAGACGGGCTTTTGGAGCCGAAGACCAAACACCGAAATATAGGTGTGATCCTGCCATTCGATGATGGCATGAGGGTCGAAAACACCAGGTTTATCAACTTCGACCGCAGCACTAGTGCAGCTATTGGGATCACAGAAGTGGACGGGACATGCCTGGCGCTGTGTGGTGGCTGGCTTGCTGAGTTCAGTGACACTAAATTCATGAATTCACCCAATAAGGCTTTGTTCAGGTGGGAGCACGAGGGGGTGCTGCATGATATAGACGGCTCCCTCACAGGTACTTGATTTTTTCACTCTCTTTACTCTGTTTTCTTTCCTCTTCTGAGAGTCTGGCATTTATCACGTTGGTGTTTTATAGTTTGTTGAGGACATGTGTCATAAGAATGCTGTTATCGCTTCATGACACCTTGGAAATGTCTCACTACAGATAAAATACACTGCATTTAGTTTCTATGATGACCCAAGTTAATGTGTTAAAGGGATCCCTTCATAAAATTAGTTTAAGGTAAAACACACCATAACACAGAGTTAGACACCCCCTCCAGAGATGAATGTTGCCGTTTGTTGAGGTTTGAGTGTGGTTCCATAGACCACTGTGTATTGCTATCCTGCGGTTGTTACTAAAGTTGGTACAACTAGAGAATCAAACGGTCCACAACATTCATCTCTCGAGAGGGGGTCTAACTCTGTGTTGTTGTGTGTTAAATTAATTTTACGCCGGAATACCCCTTTAATGGCTCCAGCTCAGTCTTGTCTCTGTTGTTTTCAGAACATATTGGCAACAAAGTGGTTCCTCAGAGCCCCTTGCTGGACCCCTCTCACTGTAAACCGAGTGCAGAGTGGAGCAACAGTTTCCCAGCTGCTGTGTGTGACCAAACCACCGATTTCCATCGTATGGCTTTCAACAAGGTTTCCCCACCATCTTTGGATGCTAAGGACGTCCTGCTCACCAACAAACATAGTACTGAAACACACATTCTTCTACTTCTTCTTGTCAGTGTGTGACCTGTGCTGACCTCTGCTGGTTCATAGTGGTAATGCTAATCAGCTGGTGTCAATAAGCACGAGTTTTGGAGGACTTAACCCTCGCTTCCTACTATGTCCGTTTTAAGGACATTTGTCTTTTTTTTTTCATCTTTATTTTGAGCTGACAGTCACATTTTTAAAGATTGGAGCATCACATTTGGTGATAGTTCTTATTTTTCTTCATATTAAAAAAAAAAACCGCGTAATCATAATCTCTTTTAAAAATTGAGCTTTATAGAATTTAACCAGGATTTATCTGAAGATGTGCTGAGACATTTTGACATTAATGTTCTGTTTCTAAACTCTGTCATAGACACCAGCCTCGTTCCCTATGCTGTGAAGAGACTGACTCATAAGCCCGGCTGGCAGGCCTTGTTACCCTCCAAACAAACATACTTCATGGCCTTTGAAAACGCCGAGCACATTACCAACATAACATACTCTGCAAGATTTTATGGTTTCAAGGTAAACAACAGATTCTCCCACATCATGAATAATAAAAAAAATATTGAATTACGGAACAATACTGTGAAAAAACACTTCCGCTTTTTACCTGATGAGCTTCTTTTCTTTATTTTTTTCCCCCCAACACAGCCGGATCAATATGTGATCATCTGTCACAACTTCACTCAGAGTCCAGACAGTTTCAACATCGTGGACAGGAGAAACGGATCCAAGACGCCGCTCAGCTTTACTGAAAATGAAAGTGGGGACTGGCACTTTGACGACACCACCAACACCCTCTGCTACATGGGTTAGAGACGCCTCAATCTTTACATTTTTCTACCTAACCTCTCATCTGTGTTAAATCATCAACGCTGATTGGTCGAAACCCCCCTCTTACAGGAACAGTAAGAGCAAACACCTCATAGGAAAAGAGAACCGGCACACTTAGGTTTAGAGAATAAAGAAGGATTAAGTGGGCCATGAACAGATGTTAATTCTAATGCTAATTTGACTAGCATGTAGGATGAGAAGATTACCAACCCTAATAGACAGTTTCTTTTAGCCATTTTGGATACATTATCTTTAAATCAATTAAATCTTCTTGAAATCAGTATTTTGTTTGACCTTTTGAGTACCTGTAGTTGGATAATGGACAGGAAAACGTGACCTCCAAGGAAATTTATCAATATCATTATTATTATTATGAACTTTATTTAACCACATTTGTCCCGTTGAGATCCAAGATCTCTTTTTCAAGAGAGACCTGGCGATGAATGGCAGCACATACAGTTTCATAATTACATTGATCATAAAGAATACAAAGAATACATACAATAATTGAATTTGATAATAATTAAAATTTGTGTGCCCTCTTTAATTTTGACCTTATTTTCTCGACAGTATCCGGGAAGGGCAGCCCGAACCGCCGTAAAGGCAGTGTCGACCCCTCTGTGAAGGACATTGATGTAAACTTGAAAGTCCACCGCTGCTTCTACCCCAACTGCATCCCACCAACACCCCCGCCGCCAGCAACGCTTCCGCCTTTACCCACCGGCCGGCCGGACAACTACATGTATGTTTCAGCCCGTCTGCAATATGATACGATAAGATACGATATATGACATCTCCATCCATCACAAACTGACGTTGGCTTTGTCTTCTGTCTGTTCTCTGCAGTCTGTGGTCTAACGCCTCTTTCTGGAAGAACTCAGCTGAAAATAACTTCACTGTACCAGCAGAGGGCACTGATGTCGTCATCCCATTAGGTAACATCCAGGAGATGATAATTAGGGGCGGTGACTAAACCTTCTACAGCTGCATAATTCGTGTGATTTCTTTCTGATCCACAGGTAAGTGGGTGGTTCTGGACCGAAACACTCCTCCCCTCAACAAGCTGACAATCAACGGCGTATTTGAGATCCCTGACACACCGATGAACGCGTCCAACAGACAAAGTCGTTCTGCACCAAAGTACAGCTCTGTGGTGGTGGACGCCTTTTACATCTCGATCCAGGTCAGCACTTTCCAATAAACGCATTTAACCTCAGTTTACGAACAAGTTAAGAAGGATAGGTGATGGCTATTGATAAAGCAAAAGAAACCAGGAGCTCTGAAGAAGTTATTTTTCTCTGTTTCAGGGAGGCAGGCTGATTGCAGGGAAGGATGATGAGCCGTTCAGAGGTCAGCTGCAGTTCAAGCTCAGAGGGAACCACCGCACCCAAGACTGGCCTCTGCCAAACGGACCAAACCAGGGATCCAAAGTCCTCGGTGAGATCAAGATATAGGAAATCTAAATGTGGTTTATTAATCATCTTTGTCTATTCACATACTTAAAAAAAGACATACTGTTGAACCAGCTCAGTGTGTTTATGTTGAACCGCAGGTGTGTTTGGCACTCTGGAGCTCTACGGACAACCTCACAACGATTACCACACCAAACTGGCTGCCACCGCTGACGCCGGAGCGAAAAAGCTGACCCTGACGAAATCTGTGGACTGGCAGGTCTGACATTTTACTCCAAACTCAGTTTTTGTGCGTTAAAATTAAGGACTTGCATTTTTTATTGTGTCGCATTGTTTGTTTGTTCTGACCGCAGGTCGGCGACGAGATCGCCATCTCCTCCACCAGCTACAGCGCGTGGGAGACGGAAAAAAACAAGATCGCAGACGTGTCGGACGACGGTCTCCAACTGACCCTGGAACAGCCGTTGACCTACAAACACATCAGTGAGCCTAACAAAGTATATAAAAGTCAGTGGAAGGTTAAAAAGTCAGCACATACTGACGTTTTTCCTCCTCCTTCAGGTGAGCGCCACTCTGTTCCGGGTACGTCGTATTCCTACACTCTGGCGGCTGACGTGGCTCTCCTCAGCAGAAACATTAAGATCATCGGCGAGGAGTACGATGAGATGATGAAGGAGTCGTTTGGAGCCAGAGTGTTGGTGGGCACCTTCACCTCAGATGGAATCACGTACAGAGGTACTGAGGCGTCCTCATCTCGCTGTTTGAGGTCATGAAATCTGAGGTCACTCTCATCGATTTTTGAACGTTTTTTCTCCCAAAGGTAAAGCTCAGATCAAGAATGTTGAGTTCTACCGCTCCGGACAGGAAGGCTGGACCGACCCCTCTGACCCTCGTTACTCAGTGGCCTTCCACAACCTGGGACAGGTACAGCAATAAAAACCGTTGGGGCTACCTCCTCTTCATTATCTTTCCTCTGTGGATTGCAGTACTGAGAAGAAGAGTCTTGATTTTTTATTCAGGTGATGGAAAAAGTTGATTTTTTTTTTCTGCTTTAAAAGGTCGCAGATGAATCGTCCCTTTGGTGTTGTGCTTTCCACAGCGGCTTCTCTCCAGCCGTTGGAGTGTTTGGAACGGACGAGCTGGAAATCGTCAGTAACGTTATCCATCACACAGTCGGAGAAGGTAAAGATTGAGCTGTTTCATCTAAAGCAACAATGAAGGACCTTTATTAAGGTGTCGGTTTGGCATAGGTGGTAAAGGTGTTTGGGTCAATTTTTCTTTTTCATTTATTTTCTCTTTTGCATCGTTGCTTGCAGGGATCAGAATTTGGGGCAACAAAGTAACTCTGACAGGGAATCTGGTGATGATGACGCTGTGGCCTGGATCGTATCAGGACAGAGAGGAAGCGTTCAACTTTGATTGGACCGCCTCCATCGAGGTCAGAACAAAAATGGGGAACAGAGAAGAAAAAATTTAACAGCATTTTCAGCTTCAGTGTTTGATCTGTTTGGTTTTGGTTTTTAGACCAACAAAGGCACGAATGTCATGATGCAGAACAACATTGTCGCAGGTTTCGAGAGAGTGGCGTATCGGGTCAACGGTGAACCGTGTCCAGGTAAAAGGAAAGGTTTAACCAAAGCGATGTTGGTCAGAGGACACTCGGGAGAGAGACTGACTTCAAAGTGTTTCTGTGCAGGTACGAAGAACCCGGTGAAGAGTTGGTCCAACAATGAGGCTCACAGCGGCCTGTTCGCAGGGGTCTTCATGGACAAAGACGGTTTGCCGAGCTGCAGCCTCATCCAAGGCTTCCAAATATGGAGGAGCTTTGATTTCGGCTTCTATTTTCAGGTACTGAACTTTACCCAGTGGCATGTGTTTAATTGTGAAACACAAACCTTTAAGGATAAAAGTTGAAAAAAGTCTGAAGACATGAAAACTAACCTTCCTCTCCTCTTTCCTCACAGACTCCCAGCAGTGTGATTGCCGCCAACCTCACCCTGGTGGACAACGGGATGGGCATCTTGCCACTAATCTACGGTCCTCCATCTGCCGCCAAGTTATTTGCTAATAAATATGCGCACATCAGGGTGAGAGGGTGTTTTTTCCTCATGTTTTACCACCCACTTACACTGTGGTAACTTTTCTAATACTGGCATTGTTTTGTTATTGTTTCTTTTTCACCAGGACTCCTTGATTGTTGGCAGCAGCCCTAACTTTGATTGCTCAGCGACTCTGCCCAACAGCGATTTTAATGTCAGAGGCAGTGAACTACATCGTGCTCCTAGACCTCTTACAGGTACATCAGAAACACAACTTCACTGCATCAAAGTACATGTTATGTTTTGTGTTTTAAAATAATGATTCCAGGACGTCCAGTTTTCTTTTCCAACCTAAATCCTGACAGAAACAGTTATAGTGCCTAAGATGACAGAACTTTGGTTTTAATTAGTTTTAAAACTCCCAGTGTAAAAACATGAATGGTGAAGGGACTCTGACCCACAAGTCACGGTTTTAGGCAATAATTACGCAGCTTTTCTTCTTAAATACACATCAAAGTCAAGATGGTTCATAAATTTTAACAAATTCATTTGATCAGGACACAAGTAGAATTTACTTCACATTGTTAAAACGTCATTAAATAAAACCAGGCAAAAAAAACCAAACTAAATAAACAGAACATATCATGACGCCTCTCTTACATTTGTTTTGTCTTTTTTCTGTACAGGTGGAAGATCTGGAATCTGTGCGCCAACTTTTATGTCCTCCCACAACGGCGCTCCGGACATGTCCTACGTTCAGAGCAGCAGCTACAACGCCATCGCAGGGCTGATGACCGTGACGGGTGAGCTGAGGCCCCTTATGAGATCAGAAAGTTTTGTCCTGATAAATTCTACTGAAAAAAATGACCTTTGTTTTTTGTTTTGTAGACACGACATTTGTCAGTTTCAAGAGTGTCTGCTCAGGCGAGAAAAACATCATTTTCTCAACCAACCCACAGAACGAGGACCTGCATCACCCCACGCATATCTCAGGCGCAACTCTGGTTGACTGCACAGAAGACGCAAAAGTCTACATCCTTAAGCCAGATTTGGGGTAAATCTCTGAACATCTAGAGATTCAAGACTTTTGTAGACAGAAGGCTAGAAAGAAGATACCCAAATAAGAGTTATCAGAGAATCAAAGAGATGTTATCTTAATCTTTAGGCAAATTTGATTTTTTTATTAGTCACTTGGCAGCCGACAAAAGTCCAATATTTCTGTTGTTACTACTTTCTCTCATAACTTGAAAATAACACAAATCCAAACACTCCAGTTTTAGAGATACAAAGGGCAAAATCAAAAGTTTGAACAGCGCCTCGGACAACTTATTAACCTCCGAGATAAAAAGCTCAATCTGTGTTTTTGTCCTTCAGGAAAGTCAACCCCTCAGACTGCGTGGACATGAGCTGCGATGGCAAGAGGAAAACCTTCTTTAAGGACTTAGACGGTTCCTTCCTGGGCTCAGTGGGAACCATTCTGCCCTTCTCTGAGTTTGAGTGGGACGGCGACGCCAAGTGGGGGCTGGGCGACTACCGCATCCCTGCAGTCATGCTCACCGACAAGGACGGCAGCCGCATCCCTGTGGACAAGATTGCTCCGAACAAAGGTAAGAAGAACGGAGGAGCAAGAAAGAACCAGGAAAAATTGCAGACATTACCCACTAGTGGTCCATCCGTGGTAACTACAGGGAAATAAATCCACTTGACATACTTCTTTAAAAAAACGCTCAACGTTCCTTCATTCCTCCTCAGGCATTATCAGAAAGGGCTGCAAATTCATGACTTCCTGGAACGCCTACAAATGTCCCCCTGGGCTGAACTACAGGATGGTTTCCATCGAGAGTCTGGACCCCGACTCAGAAACAAGACGTTTGTCCCCAGTCGCCATGTTAGGAGGCGGTTTTGTGGATCTGGTCAACGGTACTTTGATAGATCTGAAAATCTGCACGATCTCTCCAAAAACTGTTTTAAAATAAAAGAATAGAAACGTATTTTAAGGTTGAGTGTCTTTGTTCTCAGGTCCTCAGGATCACGGCTGGTGCGCCGGCTACACCTGCCAGAAGAGACTGTCCGCATTCCATTTTATCATGCCCGCCAAAGAGTATGTTGAGATTTACTTCAGCAGCACCAGCCCACAGAAACTTCGCTTCATGATGCTCAATGCCAAACAATCCGAGGTTAGTGCGTGATCCCTTAAAACTCTGATGTACATTTAAAGTGGAATCATTGTTAAAAAAGAAAGAAAAGTACGGCTATGGATGACATCCTAAAATTCCCTCTAATTTAAAAGGCTTCATTGTGAGAATCCCAAAAGAGAAATGGGAGGAGGAGCTTGGGGATGTAATACCGGAGGAATTCTAGACTGAAGCTCTGAAAAGAGTTAATACAACTACTTCATGTGCAAGACTAGGTGTAATTCAGTTTAAAATTTTGCACCGTACCCACCTCTTCAGGTGTGGGCTGGCCTGAATTTGCCCCAAAGTGGATGAGAATTGTGGCAGATGTCATGTTACCTCTGCAAAAATAACACACATGTTCTGGTCATGCTCTTCCCCTCTTTGATTACTGGTCAGCAGTTTATAAACTTCTTTCACAAGCCCTATACTTAAATGTGCAACCTAATGCTTACTCTGCCATCTTTGGTTTAGTTCCAGCTAACCAACATATCACCAATGAGCATATGGGCATTACAGCATTTGCTCTTGCCCGCCAAAGGATTTTGTTGCACTGGAAATCCTCGAAACCACCCAGCACCTCCTTATGGTTGAGTGACTTTATGCTCCATTTAAGTCTTGAAAAGATAAAATACACACTTAGAGGGTTGAAAAACCTTTTTTACTTCACCTGGAACCCAATAATCTTTCATAATCAAACTCAAAACCCTCCCTGACAACTCATGAATCCACTAGTACTACATTCTGAAGGGTAAGGCGTGATGCTGCTCAGCAGGCACGGCCTTAATTATTCATTTAATCTCCTTAAAATGGGATAAAGTGGATATTGTGTGTGTTTGTGTTCTGAGAAAAATAAAAAAAATAAAAATACTGTCTCGTTACATCACTGTTTCTTTGTACCTTGTTCTCAATGAAAAGATTGTTGAAAAAAAGGGCACAAAAGTAAACTTTTTGATCTGACTTTCAGAGCATCAGGTTGGGCGTTTTCTTCTCCAAGCCACAACGGACGGATGTTTACGTCAACGATAAGCTGATCGCTCCGACTAATGCTGAGTGGTATGAAGACAAATCTGACTTTGAGCTGAAGAAGCCCATTTATCCAGGTAATTGACCACATCCTAACATGATTTGTAAATGATGGCGACTTCTCTGGGATGAACTGATTTAAGGGGTCCATGATTTCCCTTTTGGGAATCATGGACCCTGAATCCACATCTTTAAAAATAAGAGGGACCCCCCTCTACAGCATCTGTCTATCTTCAATCCCTCCAGGTCAGTACATACCTCAAATGAACGCCTCTACGGGCTCCAACTTCTTTGACCCGGACACCAAGATGTTGAAGTTCATCGTGAGAGGGTCTGATCCCATTGAAGTCAGAATCTCTCCGATTCTCTTCCTCTCCTTCGATCTCCCCACCATGACTGAGGACCAGTTTTTTGAAGATGATCTGGTCAATAACCTTGCCGTGTTCCTCAAAATTCCTGCAAAAATGATTCGAGTCACCAACATCATCCGAGAGGGCGGAGGTGCTCGGCGCAGGAGGAGATCCGCCCAAGGCCTGCAGGTGGAGGTGGAGATCAAGGTCCCCCCAGTCCAGGAGACCAACAACAGCACTGACAGTCAGTTTGAGAAGAATCTGCTGTTGATTCTGACTCTGCCGTCTCATAAACATGAATTTAACATCCTTGTGCTTTCTCTTTCTTTCTCTCAGATGAGAAGGACTTCACGCTGCTGAAAACCGCAGCTAATGATCTGGGTCAGGCGGCGGTTTCAGGAAACCTGAGTAAATCCATCGGCTTCAACGTGTCCTCACTGGGCGTCATCGCGCCACCTCCTCCATCATCGGACCCCAGCTGGCAGGAGGTTAAATGGAGATTTGGATCTTAGTGTAGATCTGTGTTTGCCCGTTGAATGAAAAGACAATGAAACCTGGCTGTGGATGAGAACCTGATTTCCTAATGTTTTCTTTGATTTTCAATCTCAGGAGGCCGCAGAAGAACAGACAAAGACGAAGCCCACAGTCAGCTTTGTGTCCACTGTGTCCAACCTGATACTGATGGAGGAGCCAATCGCCGGGGAGTACGTGGGTCCTCTAGACCAGCAGCCCAGTCTCATGGCTGTGGATGAGGAGGTGGGGCAATGGTGCATCTAAGTCCACGGCTGCTGCTTAATCGTGTGTCTCCGGGGCAATTAAAGATCCATAAACAGGGTTGCTGGTCTTGAGGGGCCCTTACTGCCCTTTTACGACAACTCCTTATTGATCAACCCCTCATACAGACATAAACTCCCAAAATATGATTCAAAATGGTCAATGTTGGAGTAGTTTGTCCATGACATAATTAGGTGGTCACCCCCCAGAGAAATAAGTATACAGTTAATTTACTCAAACCTCAATTTTAAAGTCTGTTTATATTTGTTTTGTTATCTGAGCTTGAGTATTTCAGATTAAAAGAGTTTTTTTCCGTCTGCAATCATTGACCTGTGTTGATGTTTGTAGGGTAACTGTGTCTCTGTGGGAGTGACCACTCTCACTGTGACCGCCACCCTGAAAGACTCCAGTGGAAACCCTGTCAGTGGACTGGATGGAAATACCACCATTCTGTTCAAGACCTGCTGGGCAAACTACACCGACCTCTCTATTCTCGACAGCGGTATGTCTTGATAAAATTCATATTTTCTTTATTGTGCATGAGTTTTATTTCCTCTGAAGCACCGACATAATAACTCCTCCTTTGCACGCAGGTGAGAACCTCACCATGGTCTTCGCTCTGAAGGAATGGACCTCAACGTCTCGCTCCTTCAGTGTGAAAGCTACACCAACAACCACGTCTCCTACGACCACCCAGTCAACTACAACAACCAACCAACCTGAGCAGACCACCGACGACAGCATCTTCAGCTCCAGCTCCGCCCTGACCGCCGGCAGCCTCTGTATGGTCAGCGTTATTTACAACATCGCCTGCTGCTCGGGCGTAAACCCCATCTGTTAGAAGAAGACACAACTTCAACTCACTTTACTTTGAAAGGGTCTGTTAATGTAATCATGAGCAGAGGTGTTACTCACTTTAAAATTCAGGGGATGAAGATTCGTGATCATTCTTTCTAGAGAATTCACCGAAGAATAAATGAAGGAAAAAAACTAAGTGAAGCACCTTACTTCCTGTCTCTGTTTCTCATTGTTCTCTATGTAAATGTTTGTGTAAGGTTCTCATTAACACCTGGTGAAATATACTCAAAAACAACTGACTTAAGCACGTGCAATAGTGTTTAACTTGAGTCTCTAAGATGAAGGAAAACATGTCTTTAAATCTTTACTTTTCTCTTTTTAATAAACTCTATTTTTCAATGATAGATAAAAACTCGTGTCGATCTTTATTAATCAAACAGTCATAAGTGTTTGTTACAGGTTTCACTGGTAAGTTTTACCATAAGAAATGATTTTCAGCTCAGTGCCTCTCATTTTTGAAAAACACAGTTGAAAAGTTCACAAGATGGAGACCCAAATTTTCTCTTTATACAGAAGCCAAAAACACACATAAAACCAAATAAAACATTCCTAAACACAAGAATGTCGGTGTTGGAATGTCCATAGTAAGAGTGTCCATATGTTTCTTTAAGAAAGTCCACTTTATTTCTCCCCTTTTTCACATTCATTAAATACCCGTTTTTAAGGAAGAATGCAACTTTTCAAAAGTTAATACCGAGTTTTAGACAACTTCTTATTAAATCAGATAGAGCACATGAATTAATAAAAATTAACAGGATGCTTGAAGACAGTAAACCTGCCCTTACAGCAATATAAGGCTGCTTTTATAAAAAGGTCAGACATCCTGCATGGGAAACATTTCTTATTCTAAAGCAGGGTACACACACAAATATAATCGGGCTGTTTTTGTCCCGATTTTTCCCCTCCCGACCAAGGACGACAATCAGAAGATTATCTTATGTCTTCTAAGATTACCCTATAAGATTATCCTGTGGTCTGAGGTGTATTAAGAGTAAATTTGTCCCGTTAATTGGGTCTGAAATGGGCCGGGGCCAACAATCGTAAATATTAAACCTCAATATTCACAAAAATTGCCACGTAAAACGGAATGTGGCCAATCAAGAAGCGAGCTGACTGAGGAACAAGGAACCTAATAAAGCGATCATTACATAATATAATAATAATAATTATCACACCAGCCATTGGCTTAATTTGAGAACAACTCACCTCTTGCTCGCTCAGTAGACTATAAAGTCTGCGTTCACGCTGTCTCCAGGTTTGTTTACACGGTCTCTGTCGCAACAACACGCAATCTGATTGGTCAGAAGTGGACACACAGTATGTGAAACTTAAGAAAAATCGACCGTGATCCGAAAAAATAAATGCTGCAATATCGCAGGACGGGAAAACATCGCTGATGTGAACACTTGTATTGACAGGATACAGGTCTGAAAAAAAATATTGACGTCCGAAATAATCGCACGAAAAAAACCGTCAACGGTTAAATATAATGTTTTAAGATGCACATCTTAATGCTAACAGCGATCTCAAATCTCGCGGGATGTCAGTGTTATTAGCTACATAGGATGTGGGATGATCGTTTCCCGCGCTGAGCGGCAGCGGTATTTTTAGCTCTCTTTCTAAGTCGGTATAACACGCTATAGTCCGTCAACAACACTCTTTACACTCGCGCTATGTTTACTGTAACATCGTTTCAATCTAAGAACATTAATTTTGTGGATTTCACAGCGTACGAACCTGAAAAACACCGTTGAAAGGTTCAGAAAGATGGAGACCCGAGCCGTTCAGTTTTCCCTCCCGAACTTTCTCTGAGGAGAGGGCGGTCCCTCCAGAAAGTCATCCGGGCACAACACACCCGGCCCATTAATTCCCCTCTCCATTCTCTTCATGAACTAAAGTTCCTTCATACCTCAAATGTGTGTAAAATGAACACTTTGGTTTTCAGCATGGAATGAAAATATCTTTATATTTAATGTGTAATATATAGTTTTGAATGAGGGCTCTGTCCATGGTGCTTAAATATGTTTTACACCTGGAGATATGATGGTTAACCACCAGAGGGCGCAAGACTCCAAAATAAACTGCTGCATTCAAGCTCAGCTGCTGCACTATTTTAAGCAGACAAATTTAAATCATGATAAACTGAATTAAAAATACAGGTTTTAATAATTATCAAAAGGTTTTAAATTCGGAGGTGAATGTGAGTTTTTGCACCGAGAGTCGTGGAGCTTCTTTTCAGCTCACATCTGCCTCCTCAGGTGGGAGGGGACAGCCGACAGAGGAACAATTAGTTTTACAGCCTTAATTTGCGCCCTCCATTTACCCCCGACGATAACAGTACAATGTGGGCGTGTTCTCACCCCCTCTCCCTCTTAAACCCCCCTGAGCTCTGCGCTTCATGCGGAGGAGCAGCCACTTGCTGCCGGGTTGGATGCAGACTTCAGCTTCTCCCGCGGTCCCCCCCTCCTCCCTCCCCGCCCGGCCACAGCTCATGCTCCGGCTCTGATTCAGGACGAGACCAGAGGATGGATCTCCATCACCTCGCTGCTCTTCTTCTCTGCGGGGCTCTTGTGTTGGTTTGGGAAACCCCCTGTTTTCAGGCTCTCGCTATTTTCCCTCCTGCTGCGCCGAGGAGCAGCAAGGTGGCGCGGATTTTTGACTCACAGGAAGCCTCCAAGTATTTTAAGGAGTTCCACGCGGACAAAAACAATAAAGCAACACCTAAAGATCATGTGGAGCCTCATGACTACATGCTGTCCATCTACAAAACCTTCTCCACGGCTGAGAGGCTGGGACTCAACGCCAGCTTCTTCCGCTCCTCCAAAGCTGCGAACACGATCGCAAGTTTCGTGGACATTGGACAAGGTATGTCAAACTGTCCTGTGCACGTGAGAGTGTAACAGTGAGTCAAACTGTCTCAGAAGTACGGTGGCCGAGAACCGCCACTGCTGCAAATAAAAAAGAAGGCAAAGAAAGAAGTCACCACGGAAGTTACTGATGAAAAACAAACAAACAGAAAAATAAAAGAAATGGTGCAGATAATAAAAAAAAACTACAACAGAGGTTACTGATGCAAAGAAAAAAAACTGCAGATAAAAAAAAAAAAGCCACAATGGAAGTAACAATGCAAAAACAAGAAAGAAATGGTGCAGATTTAAAAAAAAAAAAAAAAAAAGAAGTTACAGATAAAAAAAAGGTGCAGATTTTTTAAAAAGCAGTCATCTCACCGTCTTTTAGCTTGCATCCTTTTATTTTTGCAGTTCATAACTTTTTTTTCCAGTAACTTCCGTTGTGGTTTCTTCTTTTTTGCATTCTTTTTATTTGCAGCAGTGGCAGTTCTCGGCCACCGTACAGATTTACCCTCAAACACAATCGCTAAAATTAGGAACACCATCACTATCGCTGGGTGATTTTACCTGAAATAATATACCCCCAAGAAAAGTCCTTGTCATCAAAATAGGACAACACAGGACAAATTAAAGTAGTTTTCTTTAATTTTTAACTGTTTAATGTCCAAAGGGAGGGGAAAAAAGTGCCATGAGAGTACCGTATAAAAATCAACAAAATAACTGAAATTAGGCTTTCATGAAAAAAAAAAAAACCTAAAAATTTAACTCGAGTCCTCAAATCCACCCAAACCTACTTTACCCTCTACCACTGAAATCATCCTGTAAACACGAGTCTGTAGGAAAAAGCAGGTTCTGGATCAGGGAAACATGATACTCAGACAAACACAACATCATGAAGATCACGTGAACATGTTTGGACCGGGCGATAGTGTTCGAGGGTTAATTCAGTGCAAAGAGTCCACATCTCTATGGTCTTCACATCATCTCCTGTTTTAATGCTTTCCACAGATGACCTCCCACTCTCCCCTCTGAAGAGGCAGCAGTATCTGTTCGACGTCTCAACCCTCCCCAAAAAAGCGGAGGTGCTGGGGGCCGAGCTCAGGATTTACACCAAAGTGTCTGGGAATTTCAGGATATCGGAAACGGAGCCTGTCGACATCCAGCTCCTCTCCTGCAACAACGAGCGGCAGCTGCTCGACTCCAAAACTCTGGACCTGCAGGATTCCCACAGGCCGAAGTGGGAGGTTTTGGACGTGTGGGAAATATTCATAGAGCAGCGGCACCTGAGCCAGGGGACGCACTTCTGCCTGGAGCTCAGGGCCATGCTGGACAACCCCGAGAGGGAGCTGGACCTGCACCTCTTGGGCTTACACCGGCATGGCAGGCCTCAACAGAAGAAAGCGATCTTGGTGGTCTTCACCAGGTCGAAAAAGAGGCAGACCCTGTTCAGTGAGAGGAGGGAGGGTAGGGCTCTGTTGGGGTTGGAGAGGAAAGCCAGAGAGAGGGGCCCCGGTGCCAAATCCAGCAGGAGGAGGAGAACCGCTGTGTCCAAAACCCGTCATGGTAAAAGACACGGCAAGAAGTCCAAATCCAGGTGCAGCAAGAAGCCGCTGCACGTCAACTTCAGAGATCTGGGCTGGGACGACTGGATCATCGCCCCGCTGGATTACGAGGCGTACCACTGCGAGGGGGTGTGTGACTTCCCCCTGCGCTCCCACCTGGAGCCCACCAACCACGCCATCATCCAGACTCTGATGAATTCGATGAACCCCAGCAACATGCCGCCCAGCTGCTGCGCCCCGTCCAAACTCAGCCCCATCAGCATCCTCTACATCGACTCGGGAAACAACGTGGTCTACAAACAGTACGAGGACATGGTGGTGGAGTCCTGCGGGTGTAGGTAGTGAAGCCGGGACACGAACTGATCAGCAAGACAAACTTTTGACATTTTTAACCTCAAATATTTAAAGTTGGAGTCCAGACAGAAACTTCACCACCACAGTGACGGTGAAAATATGGAGATCAGTGTGGATGAAGCTCCTTCAGTTTAGCCGTTTCAACCAAAGATTTAAAGGAGAGAAATACAAAAATGTCCAGAAGAGTTCAAGAAGAAGATCTGAGGAGGACATTTGGGTCTCTAAGAAATACAGATTTACACTTTTGTACCATAATTTTTCAGAACAAACCGGTTCTTAGTCTACATTCACTCTGCAGGTTCTGATGCACAATTCGGATTTTTAGTTCAATCCGATCTCCTTGTGCGGTCGTTCACATTACAACAACGAATGCGTCCGTGAAGTGACCCTCATGAACAAAAAACACAAACTGCTTTCCGCTCCTGTTTGTGTCGTCGAACAATGATGACGTTTGTCTCATATTGATGACGTAAAGGTCAGATGAACGCGACCTGAGCGTCACACTGCAGTCACATCAGATACAGATCTGATTTATATCCACATACAGAAGAGGCCTGGGTCGGATCAGAACCAATCAGAACTGACCTGCAGTCTGAACGTAGACTAAATCAATAATCTGCAGAGACGTGTTGAAAGTAAGATAAATATAGTTTATTAACAATCACAGAGAGCAGTCTTTTCATTCATTCAACTTTTCTGGACTGTTTACTCAACTTCTTAAAAAGTCTAAATAAAGTTTTGATTCAGAGCAGATCTTCATCCACGACTCAGGGAACATCCTCATCCTCTCACCTTCAGCAGGTTTCTCTCTCTCTGTCAGTGATTTTATGTTATTGTTTCATCCTGTCTCCGCTGCACTGAGGCTCATGTGTAAATATTGATACAGAAATAATAATAATTTATGATCTTTGATGATGAATAGGTTATTCCAGTTTTATTGTCGGCCTGACTCACACATCTGGGTTCGAATAAACACACGTGGGTTTATGTTTCTGAGACCATCAGGAAAATCAGTGACTTTTTTTTTTCACATTTTATCCTGTTATATTTTGTTTTCTATTATTTACTGGAATCTGAAAATAATATATTATAATTACCATCATGACGTAATGTTTATACGTATCTATATAATGAAACTCTCTTTCCTCCTCATCATCAATGTGACGTGTTTTTACAGCAGATGAATAATTTGATAATGTATTTTTACAGAGTAAATTAATCAGTGAAATTGTTTAACCAAATGAATCTATTCTTATAAACTGTGTGAACTGTAAGATATGTAGAGAAAATAACGAATTAAAGTGATTTAAACTTGGTTTAGTTTTGTTTTATTTTATCTTATTTCACATTTAACTTCATTTTCTGTCATTTTTAGACATTTATTACAAGTAAATTCCTGTGAGTCATTTTTTAAATTTATTTTATTTAGCTTTTTTTGACCCAAGTAATTTATCGGCGAGTCGATTAAATCGGCCAATTTTAGCCCGTTTGAGACTAATCGGTAATCGGCCAAAACTTGCCGATTTTCTCCGATATTTTCAGAGATAAAATTCGGAGAATAAGATTCGGTTTCACTTTGAAAATATTCGGCCATTTGAAAAGTTCCCAGACTTATCCTGTAGATGGTGCTACAGCGACCTCATGCCGATCTTCATCCACTAACTCCCTCACAGCACAGCAGAGTGACGGATCTGAAGCAGCAGCTCAGGGACACGGAGGAGAGTGGTCCACCTCAACGGGAAATAAACCAGTTTGTGAAAAACACAATAAGTCAACAAGTTTCAGTTCAACCCACTTCACCATGTTCCCCACTGTGCTGGTCTCGGCCACGCCCACTTAACGCTGAAGCACCATGGGATATGAAGCTAAAGTTAGAGTTAGCCACCTGCTATTAGCCTGTTGGCTACACTGTTAGCCGTGTCAGTAACGGTAGAATAAACAACAGTACACATTAGTGATGGAGCGACTTCTCTTAGTGAGGCAGCTGCATGTCTCCAGATCAGACCGGACCGGAAATGAGGAACGGGAGTGAAGACGAGGAGCCGCCGATCGGCGGGGGGGCGGGTCTGAGTTTGATCAGTCGGTCTTCCTGTCGGTGTGAAGAGCAGTAACCTACAGTATATCTACAGTATATAGTACACCGTAGATATCTGCAGTAAATATATATTTTTTATAACTTCATAAAAAATTTAAAAATTGTCTGATTAATCAGTAACCTGATTTTTTGCCCCCTAATAATCGGTATCAGCCCTAAAAAATCTGTATCAGTCGGGCCCTAGAGTTAACCCAAACATTACGTCTAAAATGTTTAAAGCTGGGTTAACCTTAACCTAAACCTAAACCTAAACCTAATCCTAACCCTAACCCTAAACCTAAACCTAACCCTAACCCTAACCCTAACCCTAACCTAAACCTAAACCTAAACCTAACCCTAACCTAAACCTAAACCTAAACCTAATCCTAATCCTAATCCCTGTTTTACAGTAAGGGCCTGTAGATGAAGATACACCTGCAGGGTGAAAACCGGGTCAGCAGACAAGCGGAGGGGGCGCCATCTTCTCTGGGTGGGCTGGAGGTCGTCAAACAAATTGGTGGGCAGATGTAGTGACCCCCCCCCCTCTCGCCACATTGGATCCTCTACCCCCCAGACAAAGACAGTGGAGGATCTCAACATCAGATTAAGCCTGCCTTTTCCTCACAGGGGTCAAAGGTCAAGTGGGGCATTGTCTCTAAGGGAAACAACGTACACACACACACACACACACACACACACACACACACACCTCCCCTTTTAGAAAGAGGGGGGGCTGCAATCAAGTGAGAGGTAGCGAGGCCGCGCTGTCGCTCCCCAAACAACAAGGTGAGATATAAAAAAGGGGCGGCGGGTTCGAAGCAGCTGCTCCGAACACAAAAGACTGGAATGCGCCGTCTCTATAGCGGCGTACGGAGGCGTTCCTGCGCCGTGTCTCACTGCGGAAGATTTGCGGTGAGATGGAGAAAAATATTTGCGGGGGAAACAAAGGCGGGTGTAAATCCAGAGCGGGATTCAATAGTTGTTATCACAGAGGAGGGGGTCGGGTAAATGGGAGCTGGTTTTTTTCTCTAAATGTTTCACACATGTCCAACAGAGAGAGAGAGAGAGAGAGAGAGAGAGAGAGAGAGAGAGAGAGAGAGAACAGAGAGAGAGAGAGAGAGAGAGAGAGAGAGAAAGAGAACAGAGAGAGAGAGAGAGAGAGAGAGAGAGAGAGAGAGAGAGAGAGAGAGAGAGAGAGAGAGAGAGAGAGAGAGAGAGAGAGAGAGAGAGAGAGAGAGAGAGAGAGAGAGAGAGAGAGAGAGAGAGAGAGAGAGAGAGAGAGAGAGAGAGAGAGAGAGAGAAAGAGAGAGAGAGAGAGAGGGAGAGAGAGGGAGAGAGAGAGAGAGAGAGAGAGAGAGAGAGGAGTAAACACGGTGAAATCACACAAAACAAAAACAAACTTTACTTTTTTTAATCCTAAAACTCGTCAATGTTTGTTTCCAACGCCGTCGTCCTGACCGCTGTGTTTGCTCTGACCTCAGAGCGGACGAGGGACGTGACTTATTCCTGCTGTTTGTGAATAAACTCAGGATTTTTCAGGATAAAGACGGATAAACTGTAGGGTGACCTTACGTCCTCTTTTACCTGGACATGTCCTCTTTTGGGGACTGTCTGGTTTTGTCCAGGGAAGTTTATAAAATCCTTCAAATGTCCGCGCTTTTGTACGGAAGTTTTGAGTTTGTGTCGCGTGGACTAACTGAAAACAAAAAAACACTCAATCCCACCTGAAAAACTCTATTGTAACTAAACATGTCCTCTTTTTGGACATCAGAATATGGTCCCCCGACTCAGCTGTCTCAGTAAAAACTGAATATCTTACAAATGAGTCATTTTCAAAAGCTGAACGCCCACCGAGTCTTTTTTTGGTCTTAAAGACGTCTAAATGTAGCCTAGACGACGACCGGTCTAAAATCAGGCGAACACAGGTCTGAAAATGAACATTTTTTAGACGTCTACATTTAGAAGTTTAGACGAGCCCGCTGATTATCGTTGTGTCGTTTATGAACGTTTCGTTCAAAAGAACCGAACTGCTGAGTGAACGACGTGAATCACTGAGACCTGATTCATCACATCAGATACATATCTGATTAATGTCCACATACAGAGGAGGCCTGGGTCGGATCAGAACCAATCAGAACTGACCTGTTCACACTTAGAAAGAATCTGATATGAGTCACAGATGGTTAAAGAATCAGAATGACCTGCAGTCTGAACGTAGACTAAGATGGCGGATCCTCTAATCGACCAGTATGACACCACTATCAGGCTTTTTTGGCCCTCCTGGGTCCAAGTTTCAGGATTGTTTTCACTGCCTCAGCAGCACCATCAGGCTCAGATTGAAATCAGAATCATTTTAATGTCCAAACTTTATTCCTACGCGCTGAAACAAAAGTTTGAAAATGATGTTTTAAGAGAAAGTGCGTTAAAAAGAGGAGGAAATGTTGCAGTGGCTCCTCGTTCCTGCAGCCGAGCCTCATCACTCAGAGCTTTTTGGCATCAGAACAAACCGGGCAGAGGTACTCTCGAGCGGGTGTTCCCCTCTCCTCCTCCTCCTCCTCCTCCTCCTCCTCCTCCTCTCTGCAGCTTTTTACTGTCACACAGGGATCTAAATGATGAGGACACGCAGAACATGCAGATGTTTGCAATATCTCTAATATGAACTCTCTCTCTCGTGTGGACGCACCTGGCTCTGATTTGTCTGAGATAGAGCGTGTAGCGTGTGCACTTGACATGGGTTTTTATGTGTGCAGAAAGATACTTAAAGGAAACAGAGAGGAGGGGAGGAAAGAGGGGAGGAGGAGGAGGAGGAGAGGAGGAGGAGGGGGCGTAAGTAAAAACAGAACAACTGTCGCTCACACGGCCGACACAGAATGATAATCAGGCCCCGGCTGCTTTTGTACACCAGCAGCTCGGGTTTTGGGTGACAGCGCTGGTCGTGTTGTTTTACAGTCAGTCTGCAGCTGGAAATAAAAACCAGACCAGGACGGCTCTGCAGCAGGATTCAGTCCCCCACAGTAATTAAAAGTGCCTGCTGAGAGCTCTTTACTACACGCAGCCAGATCGGCGATCATCACCGGACGATCACATCAAAAGGAAATGACACCGAGACCCATTAGTGAGTCCATTTCCCCCCAAAGATCACAGGGACTCGTTGGGCGGTTGATTACCCGCAGGTTGTCTGCTGTTTCTGCACCTCTCCGCCTCTGGAAAAAGACGCTCTAAAAACAAGGGCCTGTTTCCATCAGCGCCGTGTACGTGCAGGCGGCGTAATGTATTTAATTTAAACAATCTATGACACTGAAGCGCCGTCAGTGACCTCCAATAATACTTGTTTTTGCGAGAGAGAGATAACGTTTGTAACCTAGCAACAGGAGGTACAGGTGAGGAGAAGGAGTCAGTGGACACAGGCCCTTATTAATCGAGTTTTCTTGTCTATTAGACTGTTAAACGTGTCGGGTGATTATTTATGCGGGGGCGGAGTCACGTGTAGTTAATTTTGAGAGTTTTTCAGGTTAGATCGAGTGTCTTTTACACACTTCTAATCAGTCAGTCCAAACTCGAAACTTTCGTACAAAACCGCAGACATTTTAAGGATTTTATAAACTCCCCCGGACAAGACAGAGAGGACATGTCCTGGTTAAAGAGGACGTACGGTCACCCTCACTGAAGAGCCGTCAGTGACTTCTAATAGAGAGAGATAACGTTTGTAAACTAGCAACAGGAAGTACAGGTGAGGAGAAGGAGTCAGTGGACACAGGCCCTTATTAATTAAGCTTTCTCAAGTAAAACCAGAGGAATCAACTCCTATAAAATAAAACAGGAAATAAACATTAAAAAACTGATTTAAAGAATAAAACTCAGAGAACAGGAGGGAAACTCAGGAGACTGGACTTCAGGGGAACAGGAACACAACATGCACTCAAAGAAACCAGGAGAAAACTACAGCTATGATTAAAGCTACTGTACACAGACTTTTCGCCACAGTGTCAACAGGCCACGCCCTCTCTGAATCAACAGTCCTGCTCTTCTTCGGGATCCGACCTCTGTGGATAATAACTGCTGACAGCGGGTCTTTTCTGAACGCCTCGTAAAATGAGTTGCAGGTGCAATCAGCGGGACAAAACACACACTTTCAAACCTCGACACGAGCGCCCTCCTAACCGTAATTTATTCCCCTCGCAAGAAACGCGGGGGCGTTTTGGACAGACAGGGTGGGGGGCGGCGAAGTCTGCGGGTCAATAAAAATCAAAAAAGCGCTTATTGACTTTGAAGCCCTTTGCCGTTTGAGGGAAACCCAAAACCGGGCCGATTGTGGTGAGTGGCTGCGTTTGAGTCCGGAGAGGAAATGCAGTGTGACACTAACAGGCCGGAGGAGGAAGTGTTGATGGACGGAATTAAAGAGGGAGGGGGGAGAGCGGGGCGGTGGGTGGGTTTGTGGGGGCATGACACTAATGTTTTCCATTGACAGGACGGAAAAGCCCTGCTGCTATGCCACACACACACACACACACACACACATAAATTCATGCATTTATTCACATGGCGGCGGCGGCGGCAGCAGCACTAGTTTCCCATGAATACTTTGAGGACAACACAACAAGACTTTTATTTGAATCTGAGATTTAAAGAACGACAAAAAGTCCATTCACAAAAACTTCCTCTAAAACAAACAGTTTGATTAAAGTCTCAAACGTTTCCAACAGTGAAGGACATTAAAAACCGTCTGAAGTACATAAACTGTCTGTTTCCAATTACAGCGTTAAACGTGTGGTCACTTCAAGAGGAAATATTTGACATGTCAGAGACGTAAGAGAGGAGCATTGTACTTGGTAAAAACAGCTGGATCTGGACTTTAGCCTCTCGCAGACGTGTGCGGCGTGTAAAAGTAAAAGAGTGAATGTCGAGGCTGGAAAACGAGCAGAAATTTAACAAAATCAAATGTTTGATTAAAGGGATATTCCAGCGCAAAATTAAGTAAGGGGCAAACACACCGACTAAAGGTCCTTTCACATCAGGAGCGTTTTTTTCATGCCATTATCTCAGCGATCGACCGCAGGATAGAAATACAGAGGAGCCATAAACAAACGTCAACCAAAACGCCACTCTATAGCCACAAATAATGCTCAGAACAGCACCTAACTTCATCAACAGGACATACAGGGTCACAGACATAGTACTATATTCAGAGTTGTTCTAACTCCTAAGAAAACATAAACTTAAGCGGGGGCGTTTCTCCACTTCTGTAGTCTATAAGCTGGGTCAAGAAACTTCTACTGTAGTTAAAATAAAAAGGTAAATGTGTTTTTATTGAGCCGAATTATGAATAAAATCATGATTTTGTTAACAGGTATGAATTTATGTGCTGTCGAGTTAATATATTTGAACAAGAGCACAGTAAAGTTAAATCAGCTAATTTTCCAATGAGGTTCTGTTACTGAGAGGAACTACACCATGATCTACTGAGGTTAGGACATATAGGGTCACAGACATAGTACTAGACACCAAACATCTTTTTAACTTTGACTAAGAGACTAAACACAACTCACCTACTCTCTTCCAGCAGACGCTTGTTTGTAGGAGACCTCAGGCCAGTCCATTACGGACTACAGCGGGGTGCCGCAGCTCAAGGAAGAACATTTATGATAATTTCTTCATGTAAATGCAATCAGACCAAGACGCTAAGACAGAAGAACTACCGCGTCTGTAAAATGATTAATATGGTGATTATTACTTCAAGGAAACGATAAAGAAATTACTTTTACAAATATTCCTTTAAAGCTTCAGTCCGAGCCCGCAGTTTCAGAGTGCTTCACAACGGGGTTCTTGTTGCTAGGTTACAGAAGTTGTCACTCAACACTGTTGTAGACAGAACCTCCCTCTCTCTCTCACACACACGTATAAAAACATGGACAGACTGAAATAATTTCTTCATTTTTTATTTAATAAAATAAATTTGAAATAAATATTTGGTCATGATGATGATGATGATGATGATGAAGTCCGTTTACTGGGTCGTCTTGGCGAAAGACTCCCACAGAGCGATCAGCTGAGCCTGCATGTCCTGAGCGCTGGCGTCCATCTTGGCCTTCAGCTCCTCTCCCAGGGGGATCAGGCTCTGCTGGATCTCCTGGGTCTTCTGGGTCAGCTGGGTCCTGAAGTCCTGGGCGATGGGCATCATGCGTGTCTGAAAGTCATCCACACTCTGCTCCATCTTGTTCTTCATGTCGTCGGCGTAGGGGACCATCTGGGCCTGCAGCTCCTCCACGCTCTTGTCCAGCTGCATCTTCAGCTCCTGGCTCTTCTGCAGCAGGACGGCCTTCACGGACTCGGGGTCCATGGCCTCGGCGTAGGGGGCGGCCTCCCTCCTCAGATCCTCCACCTGCTTCTGGATGCGAGCCACCATTTCCTGGGCGTAGGGCTGCAGGGTGGCGCTCATGGTCTTCATATCCTCCTCCAGGCGGGTCTTGAGCTGCTCGGCCTCCTGGGTCAGCTGGGCCATGAAGTTCTCGGAGAGAGGAGCGACCTGAGTCCTCAGAGCGACCACATACTGGTTCACGGTGTCGGCGCTCTGGGAGATCCTGGCGCTGAGGGACAGAAGACAAACTTCATCAAGAACTTGAAGACACACCAAAGTCTTGAAGGAAAGGATCCGAACACACGGACTCTTACTTGAACTCCTGTCCCAGCTCAGACTCTCGGATCTGCCTCATGGAGTCCTCGGTGGCCATGGTCATCTTGGCCACGTAGTCCCAGAAAGCGTCCTTCACCATGTCCAGGTTGGTCTTGGGCTGCTCGTGCCACAAGATGTTTGCATTACAAACTGAAAGATGAAGAAGAGCAGATTGATCATTTGGAGGTGAGACTCATGATGATGATGATGATGATGATGATGATCCTGGTTCAGGACGGAGGATCAAAGTTTGACTCACCGGAGAAAAGAGCGAGAACCACGAGAACCCTCATGACTGAATCGGTCTCTGTTGGAGAAAGAAAACACACGTCTGAGATGAAGACCTGAAGAACGGAGCAGCAGTCCGAGGTCAGTGTGAGGAGGAGAAACGCTCTTACCTTGTAGAGTCAGCTCGTCTCTTCTTCTTCAGCCGCTCTGGAGGTTTGTGTCAAACAGCAGCCGCTCAGGGTTTTTATAGTCCCTCTGAAGGGTAAAGTCCTGGTCCTGGTGCCCCGCTGGACAGATTCTTGTTACTCCACGTCATAATTCCTGAGTCAGCAGCACAGAGGTTCATCTGAGGAGGCGTTTCATAATGACCTTTGACATATCCTTCCTACCTACCTATCTACCTTCCTTTCTTCTTATCTTCCTTACTTTCTACCAATCCCCCCTTCCTTCCTTCCTTCCTTTCTATCTTCCTTTACACTTATCTTCCTTCCTTCCTACCTATCTGACCTCCTTCCTTCCTTCCTTCCTTCCTTCCTTCCTTTCTACCTATCTTACCTCATTTTTTATTCTTCCTTTGACCTATCTCCCTTCCTTTCTTCCTTCTCATTTTCCTTCCTTTCTACTTATTCTCCCTCCTTCTTTCCTTCCTTCCTACCTACCTTCCTCTCTTCCTTCCCTTGTACCTATCTTCCTTCCTTTCTTCCTTCCTTTCTTCCTTCTTATCTTCCTTCCTTTCTACTTATTCTCCCTCCTTCTTTCCTTTCTTCCTTCCAACCTACCTTCCTCTCTTCCTTCCCTTGTACCTATCTTCCTTCCTTTTCCTTCCTTCCTCTCTTCCTCCCTTTTATTCCTTTTCCTTCCTCTCTTCCTTCTATTCCTTCCTTCCTTCCTTCCCTCTCCTCTTTTTTGACTTTTAATCAGCTGATAGAAACTGCTTCGTTTCTTCAGCAGCAGTCTTCATCCTGAAGTTCGTTCCTCTCGATTTTGTTCAGAGTCACTTTTTCTTTTTTTTATAACAAATAAAAATCAAAAACTGTTTTTTTTTTTCTGGACCTGATCCGATCGGAACGTTCATTAGTTGAATAATTTATGTGCGCTCAGCTTTTATCAGTGCGGGCGGCTGATGAAAGACTGTTTTCATCTGTAAGCCACCTTTCATATCAGGATTTAGAGGCACATGGCATGGGAGAGGTCAACGTTATGAGTATTAACAACAAGTCAGACAGACCTCCCACCACGCCTGCAGTCACCTCATACAGCAGCTCGCTCTCTCTCTCGCTCTCTCTCCTCCAGGACTCTCCAGGACTTGATAAGGCTGTCAATCATCTCCACATTTCTGTAAGCCCGCCCAAAATCTGTTTTTCTGTTGCTGTTCACTGAGTCAGTGCAGGTCAAATTAGAGTTTAGAGGGTTTTTCATTTATCAGGTCAGACAGCATAAAAAAGAAAAGTCTAAAAATAAGAGAGGAAATAAATGAGAGAGAGAAAAAAAAGAAAGAATAGAAGGAAGTGAAATAACAACAAAGACAAAAAGAAGGAATGGAAAACAGAAAAAAAGAGATCTGAAAGAAAAACAGGAAATAAAAAAAAGGAAAAAAGAAAGTGAATTGAAAGAATAAAAAGTCATAAATGTAGTAAAAGGGAAGTTAAAAAAGAAAGACAAAAAGTAAGAAAGAAAAACAGCAACTAATAAGAAAGAGAAAAAATTAAATAGAAAAGAGAAAAAAGGAAAATTGAAAAAAGAAAAAGAATATTGAAATAATAAAAAGACAAAGAAAAAGAAAATTGAATAATAAAAAAGAGAAGAAAATTGAAGGACTAGAACATACAGAAAAAAATAAAGAAAAAGTAAATTGAAAGAATAAAAGAAAGAGAGAAATAAAACAAGAAAAACTAATTAAATTCAAAAAGGAGGAGACAAAAAAAACAGATTAAAAGATTGAGAATAAAAGTGACCAATTAGAAAAAGTAAAAAACAAGTAAAGACAGGAGGAGAAAAAGAAAGAAAGAACAAAAACGACAGAAACAAAAAAGAAAGTGGAACAAAAAAAAAACAGAGTGAAAGAGTCTGAAGGAAATAAAGAGAAAATGAAGACATTAAAATCTGAAGATACTCAGAGTGAAGGGAGTTCAAACTTTTCTTTTTGAAACGACAAAAACAGGTTATAGAATAAAAAATGTCGTTTTTCTGACGTCGTGTGTTTGTGCGGCTCGTCCGGTTTCATCGTCGTCCCCCGACAGGATCAGAGCGTGGCGGTGGCAGTGACCTCGGCTTCCCTCCTTCACCTTTAGGTGTTGATTGCTTTTAGAGCCCTAAGTCTAGATTGAGGGCTTTTCCCATGGAGATTAGACGATCTGGCTTAAAGCTGTTTCAACAGGTCGCTTGTCAGGGGTCAAAGGTCAATTACATAGTAGTGCCTAATGGTAGCAAATAACGTCAATCACCTTAAACGGACCGGCGGCGAGACATGTGCCTGACTTTGGGCTGGAATGTTGGGAATCCAGAGGTTAAGCTGGTGGCGAACACACACACACACACTCACACACACACACACACACACATACACACACACACACACACACACACACTTGGGCTAGCTGGCCATGCTCACTCATCATCAGCTCCTTTGCACAACTATCAGTCTTGCAGTGACCTCATTTCAACTGAATAACGAGAGAAAAAGAGTAAAACTGAGGAGATTAAAAATACGTCCTGATGGATTTATGAGTTCAGGATCTGATTTACGCTTTTTACCATATTTTTGATTTTATTAAAATTTTACCAGAAAAATATAAAAATTGTTTAGTACCACTGGCAGCAGTAACAGAAACTCTAAAAAAATGTCCCGCCCATTATTGATTCAGCTGTTAGTGGACACAGGCCCTGAAGTTTCAAAGCTTTAAAACGATAAATAAAAACCTGCTGGCACAGATTCCTGCTCTCCAAATCAAAGTTCATGATCGCTTCTGGACTGACCTGGTAATGAATGACGATGCAGTGTTACTATGACAACAGAGATGACTCATACCCGCTCACCTGTGCCAGCTGTCGCTTTAACCACGAGCGCATGTTCGTGTTTAAAGCGTAACTCAGACCGACACTGAGGGATGTGGTCATGATACGTTTGTTTGGGTTTCTTACAGAGAAGGCGACCTGCAGACGAGTTACAGTCGAGGTTTGATTCAATAAACTACATTTTTATTATGGCGAATAAAGAGGCGGAGCCCTAAAGTTTAACACAAATGAGCTACAACTTCCTGTTACGCTCATTTAAGTCTCATAAATCCTTCAGACTGTTGCAGCGTCTAATATATCCATGTTGGAGTGTAGGACGGATGTAGTCATGTCCAGTATTCCTGCAGAGCGACCCTCCGCTCAGCGTCCCACACACAGTGTTTGCATGTGCGTGTTTTTGTTTCCATGCCTCCCTCGCCCCGCAAACGCCTCCTCTGGAGAACAGCGCTCTGCAATCAGGACCGGTTTATGGCAGCCAATCTGCCTTTCACCGCAGAACAAGATTGATGGCACCTGTCCCGACTGACTGACACTCAGAGTCAGACGCCGCTGCCCGACATGCACTGCACACTCGTAAACCTCAGTCCATGTGGCCGGTGGCAAACAAGGAAACACGTCCGTAAATTCTTACTTGTTTGAGAAATTTGAAGAAGAAGAAGAAGAAGAAAGACTGAAAGGATCAAACAGCTGGAATCTGGAGCAGCCATGTTGACCTTTTGACCCTCTGACCAGACTCCTTACACTAACTAGACACAATGTATCCTCCCATGAATGCAGCGTTAACCACCGCAGGCTCCCATTGACACTCAAGCGGAAGTATTTTTACGGCCTCCAAGCACCAGTGAACAAGTTTAAAGCGGCGTAATTGAAGCGCCCGACCTGATTGGCAGCTCCATGAATGTGTGGCGGTGAGGAGGAGGAGGCCACGGACTGTTAACTGCAGCGAGGTGCTAACGAGGAGGAAGGTTAATGAGCTAAACGCCGCTCTGCTTTCAAGTCAGGATTCATTTCTTTATACGGGACAGTAAAAAGAAGGTCTTCTGAAGGTACGGTGGCCTAGAGGTGCAAAACATAGAACAAAAAAATCAGTTTTTATTTCGATTTAGACGGGAAATAACGAGAGCAGAGATGTGAGAACACCTGGGCGAGATCCTGTCCCGCAATCCAGGCAACAGCAGCAAGGTGAGAAGATTTACGTCAAAGTCACAATTCAGCGAGAGGAAACTGAAACAGATCCACTGATGACATTTAAAGACACGTATCACTCATCGCTATAGTTACTATAATGTTTTATTTGGCACCTCCTTAAAAGTCACTAATAAATACAGAATATCAGAAAACCACGAGATTCAGCAGCTAGAAGAATAAAAAAAGAAAAAGAAAATTGAAAAAATAAAAAGCGTATAGATGGAAGTAAAAGAGAAGCTAAAGAAAGAAAAGAAGAAATGGAGAAAAATGTGAAAGTAAAGCAACAAATAAGAAAGGGAAAGGAAGAAGACAAAAATAGAATAAAAAACAGAAAAAAAATTAGAAAAGGAAACAGAAAGAATAACAAAATAAAGAAAAAGAAGTTTGAAAGAATAAAATAAAGAAAAAAGACGATTGAAAGAATAAAAAGTGTATGAATGGTATTGAAAGAGAAGTAAGAGAAAGAAAGAAAGAAAGAAAGAAAGAAATAAAGAAAAGGACAAGACTGCATAAAAAGGGGGATTGAAAGTAAAAAACAAGTGAAGACAGGAAGAGAAAAATAAAGAAAAAGAAAATTGAAAGAATAAAAAGTGTATGAGTGGTAGTAAAAGAAAAGTTAGAGCAAGAAAGGAAGAAATAAATAAATAAAACAGAGTAAATAAGAAAAAATAATAAATTTAGAAAAGGACCAGACAGATTAAAGGATGAGAGAAAAAGTGAAAAAAACAGTAAAGACAGGAAGAGAAAAAGAAAGACAATAATGACAGAAACAAACAAAAAGGAACCGCTGCACTAATTAGAGGTCACTAATTAACTCAGAATATCGAGTCTGAAGCGTTTTAATTATTAAACTCTGTAAAAACCTGAAGATTCAGCTGTTTGTCCGGTACAGTAGTAACAGGAAATGAGGTAACGAGGGCCTCTCTGAGAGCGCACAACGACGCACAGCGACGCAGTGACCCAGAACAACCCGGACGGGCCCGCTGAACTTTAAAGGTGAACTGGATCAGGGCCGCTCAGCCAAAAACCTCCTGATGAGGGCTTAGCGGCGGCAGTGAAAGCGACCTAATGAGTGAGGAGTAATCAACACATCGACACAAGTCTGAGCCCGAGTCCGCCCAGCAGGATGTGATGTAGGTTACAGGCTGAGTCAGGGTGAGGAGGGAGGGTGAGGAGTCAGGGGAGGAGACTATCAGGGAGGAAAGGAGGAGACAACGGCAAGACGAGGGAGCAGATCTGAAAAAGGCAGGAAAGGTAAACAATGGAGAGACACACAAGGTTCAATACAAGAGGGGATGAGGGAGAAGGGAGACAGGTGGGGAGACGTGATCAGACGGCGGGTGTGACGAGACGGGGGCGAGAACAAAACTAGAAGGCAGGTTTAGAAAAAATAAAACAAGAAGAAGAAGAAGACATGAAGGAAAACATAAATGTGCAAAAATAAAACAGATGTGTTTATATTTGCTGTGCTTGGAGGGATAAAGTGTTTCTACAAAAACAAAAAAATAAACCAGACGGACCAAAAATAGAAAAATGAAGCTGAGAGGGTTACAACAAAATCTGCAGTTCCATAAGTGGCCACTAGAGGGTCAGAGAAAGTCTACTCGTGATTTTGTCAACACCAGCAGCAGTTCAGACCCTGAAATCAGTTTCTCCTCTGCCGTTGTTGGTGACGGGGTAATTTTTGGGGCTGCCTCTTACGTTTCGTTTTTCCCTCTTTCCTCTTTGACTTTACTTTATCTATGATGTCTGTATTTTTTGCATTGTTTTGTTTTTCACAGGATAAAATCAGTGAAAACTTGAGCATCAAAATAAGACACTGAGAGCAAGTGATGCTGTCGGTGGACACGGGCCCTAACCGTGTCGGTGGACACGGGCCCTAACCGTCCCTACAGTGAGTCAAAGACATTTAAACAGCTGAGAGTTTGACTCATTTTCAACATGTTTTCAGTCACAAACAGTCAGAAACTTTCCACCCCGACTCATGTTGTTGTAATACCCTTTAAAGTACGGCCCAGCACTGTACGTGCCGTTTCCTGGAGCGTCGGTCGGCAGGTACAATCGTCTCCAGGCCTCCTGCAACAAACAGAGTTCAAAAGTTTAAACCCCGGCAGGTTCGGGACACTTTAAGCAACTTATGGACTTATGGAGCCGTAATCCTCTGTGTGTAACTGATTTAATGAACAAAGTAAAAACAGAGGGTTGATCTTCTAATCCCTCAAATGCTACAAGCTACTTGAAATACTGGTGCGCTGCTCTCCTTTCCCTTGATGTTAATCTGGGCCGTAAATCCTCAGGTTGTAAGATTCTGGTTTATCGATCTGAGAGCCGAATAAAACAAAAGAAAACTGTTGGAGGAGGATCTGCAGTATATCAGACCGCATGCTCTTAGATGGAATCTCTGTTCAGGACTCTGTGTGTGTGTGTGTGTGTGTGTGTGTGTGTGTGTGTGTGTGTGTGTGTGGGTCTCAGTGTGTGTGTGTGCGCCAGGCTCCTTGGCATGTGAAAGAGATTGAATTTCATAAGCAGATCTGGTCGTTAATTCGCCTGTTTATCGTCAGAGTTGAGCTCTGGACTAAACTTGAGAGAAATAAATGATTCAGTGAGACTCACTTTATCTCCTCCTCAGAGTCACTCCCATCTTCCTCCTCTTCCTCCTCTTCCTCCTCACACCCTCAGCACATCCTCCAAACACCATCCGGCTCAAACAAACGCCTCTTTATTAGTCCGATCATTTTCCCGGTGTGGATGTTCCCGTGCGTTTCTAAACTCGACCCCGTGTTGGAGGGTTTACAGGTGCATTTTTCTCATTTTTCCCCCTAGCTTTGATTTGAGGCATCACTTTGCATCAGGAGGAAACTTTGATGCTCTGCAGCTGCAGCAGATGTTAATGGACCAAAGAGGAGCCCGGGTTCAAACAGCTCTGATGGTTTATGTTGGCCCCGGATCAGGACCCGGAGCTCCCCCTCTCAGAGTTTTTCACCATGCATTTAATTTGACTTCTCCTCTAATCACAAAGTTCTGCAGCCGGGGAGCGAGTCCGAGGATTTCCTCATGGGAGGGCTTCACTCCAGACACTCAGGGTTGTGGTGCCACCTTGTGGAAGAACTGGGAACTCCCTAAAGACTCAGGTGCATAAAACTCTGAGATGAAGTTTGTTTTTTATCATCTTTTCAGTGAGTTTTTCTTCACTTTGAACAAACAGAAATAAGGCGTAAAGTTTAATTAAAGTTTGAGTAACTTTATATCAGTGATTGGACTGCAGTCACAGAGGAACAGGCTCATTTTAGTAACATATAGAAATGGACAAACATCACATAAATATAAAAATGGGTAATATAAACACACACTCATCTAAAGTACTTCAGGGTTGATTAAACTTCAGACGGTCTCCAGTGTGATGAAAAAATGATAAAAACCTTTTCAAAATCTGAAATCAGCCGTTTGAACCAGAGACCGACGATGTGGATGTTTTGGGGCTGATACAGATACTGATTATCGGCTGATTGGCTGATTTAATCAGGTCCTACTTTGAACTTCTTTAATACTGAGTTTTGTTTTTGTCTAAAACCTGAAGGAAACTGAAAAACTCTTTGTGTTCCATCCTTTGTATGAAAAGCGCTTTATAAATAAAGTTTGATTTGACACAGCGTTAGTCATAGTTTGTTTTAAAGTCGAGGTGAAATTAGTTTGAAAGAGCGTTTTTAAAAAGTCCAGGCCTCATGATTCTCAACAGCCTGGTGAAGAAAAGGCTCCAAAAACCTTAAAATCAGAAGATATTTTAACTCTTTAACATCCTTCAGTTCTCAGTTTCTCAGCGATGTCGTTTTTCTCCGTTGAAGGTGTCAAACCTCACAGTTCGGGTTTCCTCTCAGAGCCGTTTGAAACTTTTACTCTCTATTCTAGACAGTCGACGTCGTCGTAGTCGTCCTCAGACGCCGGGTTTTCATCGGGGCTCACTGGGGAGTAAATGGGCTCGGCTTCTTCGTCACCTGAGGGTCAGACAATAACAAAGATCAGCTGATGTCCATCCAGTGTTTCCACATAGACTGTATGTATTATGGACGACAGGATATCGATGTTTGGAGGAGAAAAAGGAGAAAACATGAACCTCCTGATTTAAAAATGGAGCTGTACAGAAAAAAGAGTCTGACAGTAACTACATGTCAACATCACAACCATTTATATTCTGTGTCATTCATTTATAAAGTTTGTCCACAGCTCCATAAGGAGGCGGGGCATATGACCTATACTGCAGCCTGTCACCAGAGGGCGCTGTTCTCACAGAGAGGAGGCAGACGGCGTCTGTTCTAGAGACAGTCTCCGTCAGCAGAGACTCACCTAAACTTCGCTGGCGTCTCGTTTGATGGTTGTGAGCCTGATCGCCGTTACAGACGGGGGCGCTGAAGTCTGGCGGCTGGGTCGGTCCCTCCTCTGTAATAAGATTCAGAAAAGGTCAAAAACTCGTTTTCAGACCTCGTACTTCCTGTCAGAGTCGGTTTCAGGTTTTCTGGATTTGAGTCATGGGGGCTTTTGGTGCAAACATGAGAAAATGTGAAGAAGGGAGTAAAAATCACGAGGATGTTCAGACAGAGAGGACGAATCTGAAAAACTTTGGACGTGACGTTGATGAGAGTTCACCGACGTTTGGACTGTTTCCTGTTTTCGTCCAAAACACACTTCTGGATCAACACTCTGAATTTTTAAGTTTCATCCTTGACAAAAGTTGAATTCAGATTGTCCGAACACCATCTGACTGAGTTTTTATTTCACTGTAACTCGACGACCAGATCCTGGTCCAAGAGTCCGGTGAAGCAGACTGACCGGGTGTGACCTGGACGTAGCCGTTGTTCGTGTTTTCGTAAAGGTCCTCGGAGGACGTGCTGGAGTCGAAAGAGTCCACTGATATTTTGGACACTCGTGCGTACTCAGCACCTGTGGGACCTTCATGAGAGCCGGTAAAGACGCCCATCATTTCATTCCCTGATTCAGGACCTAAAACACCAAAAGAAATCCTCGTTTTAAATCTAATATCCTCAAAGACAAATGAGCCGTTAAAAAAACGTGTTTTTCATTCTTATTGGTTAGAAAATGAAATCTTCAGACTGAGTGACTCACCTTCCTCAAAGAGACTTTCAAGACCCGAAGGTTTCGCCAAAGGGTTGGTGTCTGTTCTGTAGCGCTGAGAATCTGCAAGATGCACAAGAAGCAAGTTTTAATCACACTCCTGCAAACTGCAACGATCTGCCAGCAATCAGACTTTAAACCGCAAATGCAGCAACAGAGTGAAACAAACATCTGATGCAGCGGAGACTGAGAAACACACCGGATTAAACCAAGAGGAGAAGAAATAAAGGAAGTGAGCTCACTGTGAAAGGTTGACAAAGGGACAGACGGCTCATACTGCTCAAAGTCTGTATCTACTGAGGTGCTGTCAGCACTACTAAGCTGTGTCCAAAGATACCCGGGGTTGGAGGGGACTTCAGGAGACAAACAGACATGAAGACGCCTTGAGAAGATGCACTTTCTCACCACTCTATATAAACACCTGCATGTTTATGCAGGATGTAAAGAAAGCAAAGGGTTAAATCCTTTTACGGCCGGCCTTACCGTCCGTCTGAGGAGCGTTGGCGGTGACTTTGACCAGGTTGACGGTGTCTTGGTAGCTGTTGCGACGGTGGTCGGAGGAATGTCGTTGGTTAGTGTGCGTCTGTTTGAGCAGGAACGCTGCAGACAGAAATATAAAGACTGTTGTGGTACATTTACAAACTTCAATGGTTTGGTAAATAAGTTTACAAGTAAAACAAAAACTAAAGACAGTAAAGTCGAAATAAGACGGAGGTAAAAGAGATAAAAGATAAAGAGGACAAATGTTCATCTGAGGCCGTTTTATCCGAGAGGAAAACCGACCGTATCTTCTCCTGTAACTGCAGCAGAGCAGCGTGTTTGTGATCAGAACCACAAACAGCAGGAGAGAACCAGCGATGATGAAGAGGAAAACTGAGGACTTTGAGAAGCTTCTGGAAGGACAACCGGAGGTCGAATCTTAGGAGATGGATAGAGAGAAAAAAAAAAGATTATAAATATAAAAACTGTTTTCTGATATTTCTCAAATTAACGTAGAAAACTGAAACTTTTACCAGTGGTCGCAGGGATGACAGATGTGTAAAGTGGGGTAGCTGTGGTCACGGCGGGAAACCCGAGTGAACCTGTGAGGACAAAAATATCCAAGAGCTTTTAGCCGTCATTACAGGTGTGTTCATGAATGATCAGACAGATACAGGTGTGCTGCTCATGACTGAAATACAGAAATATGACTCCAAGAAAACAGACAAACTCCCACTTTAACTCTTATTATAAGTGTGAAGAAGTTACTAAACTAGAGACATTTTTAGCAGCGTAACATCTCCGTCATCGTCTGAGACGAACAGTTTGTTTCCAGTAGTGATTTTTTTTTTCATCCATTTTTCAAAGAGAAAAAACACAGATTAGAGGATTCCTCCTACACAGTTGGAATTTACATACCCGAGTTTTTAGATTTGTTTTTGGACATATCTACTTTTCTATTTTAGAAAACAGATTTTTTTTACTGCCTGGAAACTTTATTATTTTTCCATATTTCAATTTTCATTAATTTACTTTTTAAGACCTGGAAATTGATCAAATTTATTCCAAACTTGTGTAAGAACCCTGCTATCAGCTCTTGGGTCCAAATGTACAAACAAATAAATAAATAAAGAAGTTGGTCAAACTCACAACTAAGATGGGAACCTAAACAAAATCACTTACAGTGTTTATATGAGGTTAAAACAGAGAGTTTTAAATAAGAAATATTTAAAGTTATGAAAGAAAAAACTTTTTTAAGTGACCCAGAAAATAAAGTCTTAATTTTGACATTTATTTAGGGTGAAAAAAATCCCATCAGAGAGTAAAAATCCTCATCCGTCCACAGAGAAGATGTTCTCACAGTTAATGCCAATTAACTGTGAATAAGTGTGTCAATATTTGTAAGTCCTAATCGAGTTATAACAAAATTTCTAATTACATTTTTTATAAATGATAACAAATCAACACCATCAACAACTGTATTACTATTATTATTATTATTATTATTATTATTATTATCATTATCATTATCATTGTTATTGATTATCACTATTATTATTATTATTATTATTATTATTATTATTATCATTATTATTATTATTATTACTACTATCATCATCATCAACAACAACATTAACAATAATATTTCGTATACATTTAATTTACAAGCTTCTGTCTAAACCCTCAAGGTCACTTTACAAAGTAAGAACAGCAGCATTAAAATAACAAGAGCAACAGAGTTCAATATTAAAATTTAAATATATATATATATAAAGAAAACAGCCTGATGGTGTTGTCATGTAATAACTGTCTCTCTGTATAAGATAATTACTTTTACTTTCAGGTACAAAAACCCTTTAAAAACTCATATTTAACTGAAGCTCATTCGTGTTTCACAGAATTTTTCGTCCTTCGATGGAAGAATTTCATGTTTTCAGACGACACTGTCAGACTCGCCGTACGCTGAGTCAGCTGGTTTCCTGGTTGAACTCACTTTAACAAACACGCTCATCATGTCACTCACCGTTACAGATCACACCCGAGGCTTTAGAGCTCGTACACAAGTGTGTGCTGTTGATGATCTCCCGGCACTGCCACAGATTCTGCACACCTGGGCGACAGAAGTAATACCACAGCGTCCCGTTGTTGTGGGCTAGAGGAGGGTCAAACCGGGACACCATCTGGGTTTTAGCCCCGCACTGCAGCATGGAGCACACCATGGAGGCGAGGCGTTCGTTCCAGCAGTTATCGCACACTGTTCCCCAGCTGCCGTTACGGTGGACCTCGACTTTCCCCGAGCAGCGGTCCAGACCTCCAGTCAGTCTGATGGCTCTCATCTCTGCACAGAGGACAACGATCCAAACTGTGAAAGTGCTGCAGAAGAACCAGAACCAGAACCAGAACCAGAACCACACTCTCTTCCCCACCGATCGGTAATTCATCTGCAATCAATCAACCCAAGATTTATCAATAACTGTGTTCACCTGAGCACACCACCCCTGCGTCTTCTTTGTGTCCACAGTCGGACTCGTCCTGTGAAGACGGACAGGCCCACAGGTGTTCCTCTGAGCCCGTACAGTTCAGTTCATCCAGGTGGACGGGTCCTCTACCCGGGGGGAAGGCGCCGCCCTGTCCCGTCACACTGATGGCGTATCCGCAGCCCAGCTGGGCACACACCACATGAGCGTCCCGGAGGTCCCAGCGGTCATCGCAGACTGTCCCCCACCCCCCGTTTCTCCATAACTCCACCCGCCCGGCACAGCGGTCCGACCCTCCAGAGAGCTGGACGGCCTGGTGTCCTGAGAGTTTCAGAAACGGACCATTTTATTTGTATTTATTTCATTTTATCATGATCACCATGACAGCTGACGTTAAAAAACTAACTAATAAAGCCCGACCGATTGATCGGCGAGACGATTAAATCGGCCAATTTTAGCCCGTTTGAGACTAATCTGTAATCGGCCAAAACTCGCCGATTATGGCCGATATTTCCAGAAATAAAATGCGGAGAATAAGATTCACCTCAACGGGAAATAAAACAGTTTGTGAAAAACACAATAAGTCAACAAGTTTCAGTTCAACCCACTTCACCATGTTCCCCACTGGGCTGGTCTCAGTTACGCCGAGTTAACAGTGAAGGACCATGGGATATGAAGCTAAAGTTAGCCTTAGCCACCTGCTATTAGCCTTGCTAGTGGTTGAAAACACTTTTCTGGTCCAAGTTTGATCAGTCGGTCTTCCTGTTGGCGTGAAGAGCAGTAGCCTACAGTATTTATATATTTTAATAACTTCATAAAAAAATGTAAAAATCGGCCGATTAATCGGTAATCGGACCCCCCCCCCCAATAATCGGCATCAGGCCTAAAATTCCATCTGGTCGGCCGTACTAACCAATAAGTAAAAACCTGAATAATTACCACAAACAGCTTCAGAAACCACGGAGCAGTTTCCCGCCACACTCTGAGAACAGTTCTTCAGTCGGCCATCTTGGTACAAACAGCGGTGGAAGCAGGTGGTCCCAGGAGGTGGACTGGCTGTGGTCACATGATGGACGCTCCCACACTGAAGATCCTGACAGATCTGTTCGGCCAGCGTTTCCACAGAGTCTGCAGCTACAGCCACCACATCGCTGCTGCTGCTGCTGTTTTCAGGCATGGTGAGCGTGAAGCTGCATCTACCAGAGAGCTTGTGGACGAGAAGGTCACCTGAGGACACACAGGAAGTAATCTGTGCTTCAGTTTATCAAACGGACTGATCAATCATTGATCAGTTCACAACCTCCTCCTCCTTATTACCAAAACATGTTCAATATAAATGCTCGACACTGACAGTTTTTCTGCTCAGTAAAAATGTCATAAATTTAAAATATTGTTGCTGCACGAGAAACGATGAATTCACCAAAGTCCTCCTCCGTGTTTTTATCTTCTGACCTCCTTCCATGGTGGGTTTGTGTGACTAAAGCTCTGCAGACCAGGATTTAGTTCCTGGTTATCAAACCTCTTTTACTCTGTGAGCTGCTGGTGGACTGGTACCTCCTCAAGATCAGCTTTTTATTCACACTCACTTCATTTTCTCCTTTTTCTTTTACCTCTTTCTTATTTAGACTCACTGCCTTTTTAGCCTTTGTTTTACTTATAATCTTTTCTTATTTTATCTCTCAGGTCCTTCATTGATTTTAATGTTTTTTTTAAATTTTCCTTTATTTTATTATATATATATATATATATATATATATATATATATATATATATATATATATATATTATTTATTTATTTAATTCCACTTTATCATTTATATTATCATCATTATTATTTTATTATGATTTTATTATTATTATTAATATCCTCTTTTATACTTACTAGCCTGTTCCCTGCCCTCCTTTTCTATTTCATTTTATGTTTTTATTTTGGTCCTCATGGTCCCATTTATTTTGTAGGGTTCTTGTATTGCCTGGTTTTCTTACGAAAAGTGAAACAGGCCTACAATTCAGAGGCCTGTTTTTAACTGAGCTTTTGTGTTTATGTGTTTTTATTTTCATGTGCTGATGCTCTGTCTAAGCACTTTGTAAACGTCTGTTTTTAAAGGTGCTATATAAATAAAATTATTATTATATTATTAATTTTATTTTGTGTTTTGGATCCAACTCTGTCTGTTACGTGTTAGAAGTCAGTATTCAGTTCTCTACCTTTACTTGCATTTCCTGTTTGTGTCTCCTCTGCCTGTTCACAGCTGAACCACGACTCTAACCAAACCTCTGAACCTACTTCTCAATCGTTTCACCAATGTGAATTAAAGTAGAGTTTAATATTAGCAGCTCTGACCCAAAACAAATCAGCTGCTCTGAGTCGATTCTAACGTGGTCGAGGTGTTTTGAGGACAAATTGTGCAACAGAGGATGCAGAAGAGAGCGAAGCCGCGCAGAAACCAAACGCTGCAAAGGTTACTTGCACAGTTTACTCGCAATGCAAACCGGATTCTGTGTGGGAGACTGCTTTTCAGCGTCACCATGTTTGATTTTTGCACCTGCAAGATTCATCGAGATGTTTCACAAGCAGGTCAGCCCACATCCTGTGACAGTAAGAGCAGCACTTTTCCTCTCCTTTTAATGACAAACACTTTCTTTAGACATTCTGGAAGAGTTTTGTCGCTGTAGTTTGTGTGTTTTAATGTTGAACTCACTGCTGGATTCCTCCTCCTCCTCCTCCGCTCCTTCCTGGACGTGGACCGGCTCGGTTTGAGAGGAGTTCTGTGAGGCTGAAATAAAGAGAGGAGGAGACTCAGTACCTCCTCTGTTATCAAAGCTTCAACATCGAGGTTTTAATCTCCAGATCACCACATCACAAAAGCCACCTGAGGGCCATCGAGGTTACCACTGGACTGAGGTTTATAAAGTGTGTGTTTTGGTGCACAGATGCAGCACAGTGTGGCTGAAACGTGTTCAGAGGTCAAACAACAACATTATACAGTGTCTGACAGGATATTAAAAACACTTCATATTTGATCTTATTTAAGTCATCCCAGATGTTCTAACACCAGGAGTGACACTATTTTAACATCATCTAAAAAACACGTGTTCACCCTCTGACACCCCGACACTGAAGCCCCCGGACCAAACCATCCAAGGATTCAAACGTTGTTTCTTATAAGAATAGGATTTAAAAAAGGGAAATTACACAGTTCCTCATGTCATAATGAAAGCGTAAGGCATTCACAGGCTGGCATACAAGCTGAAAACAACAGTAAAAGGAAATTATGAGTACAATACTTAATATATGACAGCATGAAAAACCAGCTTTCCTTCTTTCCCCTAAAGGTAACATTTTTATTCACCCTGAGGTGTTTCCTTTGTAAAGAAGGCCTTTTGTTATTATAGAACAGTTGTCCTACTGATAAATATCAATCAGTTGAAAAAAGACACTCGCACACAAAGGAAAAGATCCTGTACATAAATGTTATCAAACTTCTGTGTCTTTAAAAAGTGCTCGCACCAAAATCCGTCCAACTTTACAAAACTTTGGCCAAGAGTTTTTCTACACAGCGTCTGTATCCTTTTAAAACACAGTGGGGATTTATTCTCTAACAACAGAATTTGGGAGACATTGATGAAATGTTTTAAAAGAATAAAGAGTTTCACTTTAAGAGTTAACAGATTTTAAAACGAGCAGTAAACACAGTAAAAGCTTTTAAAAACCTCCGAGTGTCGAACCACAGACTCGTTTTCACACAGAAAAGATCCTGTTAGAACAAAAAAGACAAACTCTGAATATCTTTACAGTATGAAGTGAATAAAAAGATTACATACCTATGCAGAGACAGCTCAGTTGGATGATGAATATATAATTTAAGAACCTCATGTTGAAGATTTAAAGGGAGAGGTTGTTTCTATTGTCTGCTCAGAGTTCAGACTCATCCACACTAATCTCCTCAGCCCGTCTGTGTGAAGCGTCGCTTCCCTCTACATTTGATTGTCAGGAGTTCCTATTTACCACAGGGCCTCACAACAGGAAGTGAAGTCGATTATTAGAGCTAAACCGCATCCATCATGTCAGAACTACCACCAACATTTCTGTCATTTAACTCAAAAACTACTGAGGGAAAAACATATTAGAGATACGCACAGTATGATTATTGTGTGATCTGTAGTTTGTACTATAACAAGAAGTTTGTCAATGTTGTGTCTGAATATATGTCGGTCCGGCCCAAATATAAAGCAAAAAATATATACAAACTAGAGTCTAGCTTAAGAGTAGACTGAGGCCCGAAGGGGAGGAAAATAGAAATAATCTCTTTATAGCTTTTAAAATATTTTTGTTTGATCAATATTTTTACCTTGTGCAATTAAACTTGAAGAAAAGTCCGTTCTATGCCCCTCGACTCTGACAGGCATGGTTTTTTTATATATATAACTCTAATAGAAACACGTCAATTATAGTTGACAGCAGAAACTAAAGATAGAAAGCAGAGTTACACATATGATTAAAAACAAATGTGACTAAAAGTTCAGAAAAGATTAAACTGAATGAAGAGGCAAGAATAGTTCAATAACCCTGAAAAATTATCATTTTTAAAAGACAAATATTAGAGAATATTGATGCCAATAAGTCATATGCAACTTTATACAATGTGTAAATTAAACATCAAAAAAATGAGATTATATTTCAGGATGTAGTTCACAGAAAGAGTTATTTATACAGTATCAGTCTTTACATCGGAGAGAAAAGTTTGAATTAGTTCATAGAAACTTTGGTGGTAAAGACAAAAACTCTCTTCATTAGTTTTCCCGAAGTTTGTCTGATTAAGTGTTTCTGTGGGATTAGAGATCAGACTATTCTGGATTAAAGTCCCAGTTCTGAGGCCTGTACTACGAAGCTGGATTAACATATCCAGGATAACTCTGCGACAACTCGCTCAACTTCACCGGATCTCCGCGATCCCGATCAGCTGTAGTGGTGTGTCGGTCTTGAACGAACGGATCAAAAGAACTAGTTCTTTTTGATGAACGAAATGAACTAGTTCTCCCCCCCTAAATGACCCGTTCAATCCGTTCAGTTCTTTTGATTGGCTGAAGAGGGACTGCTTGCCTGTCTTATCCTATCGTCGCGCCTCGTTCTGTGTGTGGGTGGGGCTTAGAGAAGCCGCAGCAGTACTACTGAGCTGACTGAAAGACCGGAATGACCGAGTTGACTGAAAGAACGGGTCAAATGAACGAAAGACCGAGTTGACTGAAAGAACGGGTCAAATGAACGAAAGACCGAGTTGAACGAAAGAGCCAGACCGATGAACGAGTTGAACGAAAGACCGAGTGAACGAGAGATCCAGACGGATGAACGAGTTGAACGAAAGATCCAGACGGATGAACGAGTTGAACGAAAGACCGAGTGAACGAAAGACCCAGACCGATGAACGAGTTGAACGAGAGACCGAGTGAACGAAAGATCCAGACGGTGAACGAGTTGACTGAAAGACCGAGTTGAGTGGCCGCCGCACGAGGCCCGACAGCCGAGCCGGAGCGAGCGGGACAGTCACACACACGCAGAGGCACACAGCTGCTGCAGCCAGAGGCAGAGAGACAACTATTAATACGCATTTGCACTGTCTGTTGACATTTTGTACTTTTTATTATTGTTTTTAATGCACCTTAAAATAATAAAAAAACATTAAAAACCTTATATATTTTGTTACTCCTACTGTAACTTTATATTACAAGTAGTGCAGTGAGATCGCAGCGTTGGACCGGGGGTGGGAAGTGGAGAGTGCAGCGGTCACAGCGTCGGACCGCGGGGGGGCGAGCGGACTGACAAATGACCGAAAAGAACGAAATGAACGGGTCTTTTTACTGAACGACCCGGAATGATCCGGTTCACTGAAATGACCGGTTTTGCCCACCACTAATCAGCTGTACTACGAAGCAGGATATCAACTCGATAACTGAATCCAGTTCAGATCTGTGCGCGCACACGTAAAGGGGGTCGGGTCAGTGCCACCGGACCAATCTCCACAATGGAGAAGGCTGCACGTCATTTTTCACAGCTGAAGAACAGAGCTTTATTTAAACAGTGAGACAGACACAGCCGCTAAAAGCCGGAGGGACTGCCGGAAAAAAAAATCACCGGTTGTGTAAATTACATTTGTGCGTTCATAAATTTATGGCCCCCGAATATATTGTCATGCAGCGTGTGTGATCACCACCATCACTGACCTCATTATTTAAGATACAACAGCAGTGGGGAAAAGAGTACGTGGGAGCAAATAAAAATAAATCTAAAAACATCCTTTAAAGTAGTTTGTAAGTTTATTGGAAGATTTTATTTGTATATTTCAACGCGTAAACAGTGATTTCCTCACACTGCCTTTTTTTTTCTCCATCATCTGATGGTCATGTCATCTGCAGACACATTTGGGGTTAAGAGTTTTTTATCTGCTTCAATGAATTCTGAAAGATGACTAACAAATTTGAACCTGGAGCTTGGCAAATATCAGTGTATTGCTTAGACTTCTTGCTACCTGAATATTGAGGCCGTCCGAGGAAAACCTGTAACGTTCATAGAGAACGTCATCAGGTAAATCAAACGGATTTGAACGATCATGAATATAACGCTCTCGGCGGAGCGCTCCTCTCACTATCCGTGCAACGATGTCCCCGGGATCCGGCAAAAGTGGGCAAAACATTTTCCAAGAGATCCGATTGGTCATCGGGCGGTTTTTTATACCTGCTGAGATCTTATCCTGAAACATAACCTGCTCCGGAGCAGGTTTGGCGTTCCGCGTAAGTTACCGGGGCAACGGACCCGGATAAAAAGAGATCCACCTTCGTAGTACAGAAAACCCAGAAGTTATCCAGAAGTTATCTCGCTAAGACCAAATCCAGCTTCGTAGTACAGGCCTCTGGACTCCTTACCTCTGGATTAGCCTCCCTCTTTTGTTTACATCCTGTTCCAGGAGCACGCGCTCAAGCCGACTCTCACTCCGATTGGCTGTTGTGTTCCAGAGCCCCGCCCATTTTACACCGGCCAGAAACTCAACATACCAGACAAAACTGAAAATAGGTCAACTTAACCTCAGATTTGTGTTATTTACTGAAACAAACGACTCAAAAGTTTTCAAAATGCCAGATTATAATCCAGGATTGAAATACGGATTATCTCGAAGGAAACTAGGGACCGTCTGTCTGAAGAAATAAACTTTAAAGGAGCTTCCACACGGTCTAACTATGGTCGACAGCAAACGTAAATCAAAGTTACAGTAAGAGTTCACCCTTTACTCACAGCGGGAAGGTGGAATTAACGACAAAACGGCCGTAAAACTCGTACAGTAAAGAAATCTCTTTAAATCTCCAACACAGCAGTTTTAGACAGGTGTTCTGCCGTAAAATGCACCCCTGCCGGAGAATGCACCACCTGACGGGAGCGCGCCGACGTCACTCAATTCGAAAAGTACAACAACTAGCTTGAGATGCTACAACAGAAAGAGGAAAACTGCTTCGTTTTTTTTACTTTCTTTGGGTTAAAGGACAGCTGGGGGAGGAACAGACGTGTGTTCATTAGAATTAAATCACAAGATCAAAATCACAAGATCTCCTTCTGCACCAAAATTACCTTCATACTGGAGATTCACGATAATTATCTGTCATGTTCTGTATTGTCCTGTTCGATGTACAGATCCGACAGCCCGCGCTCGGCTTGAGCGTGTGATGACGTTTCACAGCCAATCAGAGGTGAAGGAGGCGGGGCCTTCCCCTAACATCCACCGGGCTTGGTTAGCTGGTTGGCATGACAATTCATAAACCAAAAGCAGAAACAGCTGCAGCTGGTCGCTGACAGCTCAGTTTCCACCTTCCTGGTTTTGCTGTGCAAACAAATATCGACTCTTCTCCTAAAGTTCCTCTTTCCAGTCAGAAGTCTCCAGAACCACCAAACCATCAGCCTGGCTGAGCCGTCCTGCTGCGTGAATCACTTCCCGTTCCTTCCCACAATAGTCTGGACTTCGGCCCATTGGGGGCGTGTATTAGCGATCAGAAAATAACCGGGCCAATCAGTGACTTTGTTTCCACTGTTCCCCGGACAACAGGGAAAGGCAGCCCCTGACTGGTCCATTTGAAGATGGTGACGTCTAACACATGCTGCGGGACTTTTCAAAGCGCCGTTCATTCAGAACGCCGTTAATTCTGCAAAGTCGGCAGAAATCGTTTATATCCGCAGAAGACGTCGGACATAAACGATTTCTGACTGCGATTTGTGGGAAGGAACGTCAAGTGACTCACGCAACAGGACGGCCCAGCCAGGCTACAAAAGAGCCACTCTGGAGCGACACGGCGTTCAAGTCTGGATCCGGTTTACTGGAAACGAAAGTTCTGGACCAAAAAACACCGGAGCTGATTTGACACCTGCTGGTAGGGTTGGGTATTGTTTGATTTTCAACGATTCCGATTCTGATTCCGAGTTTCGGTTCCGATTCCTTTCAATTCTCTATTTCGAGTCTTTTAAATGCACTTTTATTAATGAACTTTTTAAGAACTTTACGATGAATTCTCACATTTTTAATTAGAATATAAATATCAGTTTTTGTTGTCAGGTCGTTTGTCTGTGAAAAAGTACACGGGCTAACGTTAGCTGGAGAGAGAGAGAGTGGATTACAACCCACAGCGACTGCATTGCTGTGGGTTACAATCCACTCTCTCTCTCTGGCTTCTTCTTCGTTGGTGTTTGGCGGCTATTTCTTCCGGTCGGCGGACTCCGACATCGAAACTTAGAATTGAAATTTTAAAATTTGAACGATTCCGTGAGAATCGAAATGTTAGTCATTTATATTTATGTGTTTTTAAAAACTTCAGGGTCTTTTTTGTACTAAAGTGTCTGCTGCTCGTCTTGAAGCTGTTTTAGGAGCCTGAAACTCCGATAAGAAACTGTTTCTGAAACAAGACTGAGCTCTTGTTTCTGAGGTTTTTGTGTCTCAGGGCGACAGACAGTGACTGACGTGAAACGATGAAGAGTAAAAATGAGAAACTTATTTATTCAGATTTATTTTCTACCACAAAAATAAATGTACAGAAGTCTCACTGTGGCTCGTGTGTCGTCTAGAAATAGAGTTTGGCCATCGCCTGCAGGAATCTCTTCTTCCGTTTCTGAGCCGCCAGCTGCAGCACCTCCTCGGGGTTACTGGTGTTCAGCTCCGACTGTCCGATCGCTTTAATCTGAAGAAAGAGAGACGAGTCAGGGCGCCGAGGGAGACATCTATGCAGGGGGAGAGGAGGGTAGATCTAGTCTTTATAAATCTTTATTATTCTGACTGAGCTCAAAGTCAAACTGAGGTCTGTGTGTCGAGTTATATCAAACTATTTTCAAGTGTTTAAAGCAGCCAATCAGCAACTGAGAACCAAACAAGTTCTGTCCTTTCACAATAAAACCAAATCAGGTGAAATATGTTTTTTTTTTGTTGAGATCAGGACAAAAACATCTGAAAATCGACTGTTTGGAGGTTGAATTTGCTCACTGCGATTTGTCTCTTCTCCGTCTCTCCTCGTTTGTGGTGAATATCTGATTTTAGAGTCAAGGAGAAAAACAAACATGAAAACAGCAGCTTTTCATCCAGTTCAGAGAGTGAAAAAGTTCAGAGCGGACAGGATGGGTTTTCATTCAAAAAGACGAGGATACGTGTGAGGTACTCCAGGATGGTCACGTCCCAGATGTAGTCGTAGAGCGAGTCCATGGCATCGTGACTGTGAGTGAAAGAAAAAGAGGAGATGAAGTTGGAGGTTTTCCCAGAAGGTCACTGTAAAGGTCACCGTAAAGGTCGCTGACGTGTTTCAGCGTCGCACCTGTTCAGTTCTTGAAGAGCTTTGAACGCCGTCATGTAGTCCACCTCCCGCAGAAACTGACACAGAACAGCGACCTGACAAAAACAAACCCTCAGTTTTACTCTCTGATGATACAAGGAGGTACAGAAAAGAGCCGTTTGACCTCTGACCTGTGTGTGGCAGTTCATCATGGAGCAACACTTGATCATCCTCTTCAGAACCTGAAATCAACCGGAGCCGCAGTCAAAACCAACACAACACCCCCACAATGTTCTGCTGTCTCTGTTTCTGCACTCATGATCTACCTGGTCTGTGTAGACGTCAGGGGGGACGGTTTTGGTGAAGAAGTCTGAGCTCACAGCCCCCGCCTGGAGGTAGAGGTTCAGGGCGGCAGAGTACTGATTGGTCACTGAAACACAGAGAGACACGAACAGAACAACCGTAAACCGATCTACTCTCTGAAGTCTGGAGTCTTCTCAGGGAGGGCGACACTCGTCTGGTTTCTCACCAAAGTAGATATCCGCCTGAGTGATGAGCCACGACTGGTTGTTAGGATTCAGGGTGAGAGCGTAGGAGACCAGCTCTTTAACCGTGACCGCCACGGCCTCCACATCCACCGCCTGAATACTGCAGGACCATCATCATCATCATCATCGTCATCATCATCATCATCGTTCAAATCAAGTCTTTGTTCGAGACGTCTGCAACGAATCATGAAGGAAAGAGGAAGGTCTTACTTTGGGAGAGTGGAGGGCCAGATGGAGAGATGTTCTGCCGTCACTTCGTTGACGATATCGTCCTGCAGAGGAACAGAGAGCGAGTTTTACTGTCTGGATGATCAGAACGAGGGTCGGAAACTTTCCACGGGATTAACGGGATTAAATCATTTACAAAACTGAAGGTCGACCCTCAACAGGAACTTAAATATAGTGTGAAAATATCTTGTAGCATCATCTTGACTAAAACAACCAGATTTAATGAGAGTCCACGCCTCCATCACATGATTGACAGATGATTTCTCAAACCCTGGAGGTCAAACTTTAAACCCACCGACTGTAGAGAGTCAAGGAAGTTCTGATAATATTATGGGGTAAATACATTTGATCTATAATAGTGTTAATATTTAAATAAAAATATCTGCTAAATGTTATTTTTCATTTCATTGATCATTAAAGGGTCTAGCTCATTATGGTGGTGGTAGTTTCCTCAAACATGACGTTGTTTCTTCAGACTCCTGACAGACGGTTTTCTGTGATCAATCATTTAAACATCAATTATCAGATATTTTAAAGACCATTCCAGTTAATTATCCGACTATATTTCTGTTCATGTCATCGCTTTAGTGTTTTTATAAGATTTTTGGTTGTTTTCTTCTACAGATAAATGTCACATTCACCATCTAAAGTGTGGAAGAATTTCACTCGAGCTCATGTTGAAGGAGAAATATTTACATTGATGTTTGGAGATGATGCAGTTTGTTTAAATTACCCCCAATTTACAGTTCATTCCCAATAATTCCCAATAATTCCCAATAATTCCCACGTAAAGTTTCCAATCTGGAATATTTCCATAATTTCCAGCTTGACTTCCCATGGAAAGTTTATAGAAATGTAAGCCCCCCCCCCTTTGCAGCTCTAATCCCTAATCTCTAATCCCAGCCTTGTAAAGTCCCGGCACATACCCGCACTATACTGTGGAGCCTCACGAACAGAGAGATGAGGGTCGTCAGCACCAGCGGCTCCTGTGAGAAACACGTCTGTTAACTCTGCGTCACTTTTATCTCATGAAAATGTGAAAGTTTGTCTGGTGGGATACCGACCCGCAGCTTCTTCACAAAAGTGATGAATTTACTCCTGGAACGGAAAAACACAAAGACTGAGTTCGACTCTTTTACAGGGTTTTACGGTTTTGGCAGGTTTTGGCAGGTTTTGGCGGCGCACCTGTGCAGGATCCCCATGGAGGACTCTCTGTGTTTGATGAGACCCACTCTGCCGTCGTTGTTCCTCTTGTGCTGGATGGACACGCTGCAGATCTGAACCACCACGTCCCACAGCTCCTTGGCGGTGCGCCGACACTCTTTAGGACCCGGGAGCTCTTTGCATGTGGAAGCCAGGAGCTGACCGAGCTGTCAGGAGGAAAGAGAGGGGGGCGGGTTTATCGAGGGAGGCGCCATTTTCACCGGCCCAGACTCAGCGGAGGGTCTGAAGACTCGGGTCCTGTCCGGTTTACCTTGATGTAGGGGTTGTTCATGACCAGAGACGGGGGCACCTGCAGAGTCAGGTAGTCGTTCTCTCTCCAGTTTAACATGAAGGCGACGCACTCCTCCCCGACCACCTGACGCAGAGGTAAGTCTGGAGATAACAAACGAGAAGTGTCGGTGATTCAGGTCTTTATTAACAGGAGCGATAAGTTTAAACTTCTCCTCACCGTGAATCCTCATCTCCAGGTAACCCCTGACCCTGCTGACCAGGTCTGGAGGCGGCCTCTCTTTGCTCCCCTCGGCCGCCATCGCCTCGTGGGCTCGGACCTCCAGCAGCAGCATCTCGTTCAGCATCACCTGCCTCAGCTTCGGGGAGAACTCGGTGACCAGCTCCAGACAGGCGGAGAAGAGCTGGCGGGCGTGAGCGAAGTCCTGAGGGGACCAGAAGAGACGCGATCGCCGTCTTTAGACTGACGTGTTCACAGAAGAAGGAAAACATGTCTGATCCTTCAAACAGACCTTTATGGAGATGCAGTGAAGTCCTTTAGCCATGAGGATGTAGACCAGGTCCTTGGTCAGGTTGTCTTTAATCCCGAGGATCACGTTAATGTAGTCTGGAGGGACCTCCCACTGCGAACACAACCAGCGACAAACTGTCATCTTTAAGTTTCATCGTTTCTGAACTCAAAACTTTCACTTCATCCCGAATATGAAACTTCTTCTTCACGTCATGTTAGTCTGAAGAGTCTCGGGTACCTTACTGTTGACCCTCCAGAAAGGTCGCTCAGCCATGCCGTGCAGTTCGATGAGGATCTGCCTGATCCTGCGCGGCTCCAGTGAGAGGATGAGCTGCTGCTCCAGCTGCCCGACGTTCACGCTCGCTGAAGCTGCAGGAGGACGAAACACGAAAACTGAGTTTGTTCTGATAAGACAACAGATGTTAGAAATGTGGAGGTTCAGAGACTCTCTGTACCCGGGATGTCGTAGAACGAAGGCAGAGGTTTGGCGCTGAGGTTGATGGTGGCGGATCTCTTCCTCATCTGCTCCACCAGCACCTTCCTCTCCTCCTCCGTCAGCAGCTCCATGAAGAGTTTATGAGAGGAGACCACGAACAGAAGAGGCAGCTCCTCCACGCTCTCGCACAGAGTCCTGCGAGGAAACAACGGAGTTATCGAGGCGTGGCTCGAATATTCAGTTCAGCTGTTTCAGAGTCTCTGCTCCAGCTTTGCTTTTACTCACTTCATGAAGGTCGCCATGTTCCTCCTCGACGTCTCAGATGGACGCTCCTTCTCCAGTGACACCGTACAAACCTGCAGGTGAAGGAAACCGCGGTTCACATGAGGAGCGAGAACCGCTGCTCCTCAAACGTCAACACAGCGTCTCTCAGGAGTCTCTTTTGTGCAGTTTAATTGAATCATAGTGCACCCATATTACGTTATTTAAGGTAAGAGCTGGAACTATCAGTTCAAACACGTCTTATGACTCTCAGTGGGGCATTACCTCCAAAATGAAGTCCACCATCCTCTTACTGGGTCTCAGGAGGAGCTGCTGGAAACGCACGCCGAGGACTTCTCCTTCCAACGCGTCCCGGACGGCGTTACAAACACACAACTTCTGACAAACCTCGTCCAGTCCAGACTCCCTGCAGAGAGTTCGACACGACTGAGTGTCATTGGATTTATTTATTTATCATAAACTGTGTGAACCGAGTATATTGTTAATTACTACTATTAAACTATAAGTGAGAAACATTAAAAAAAGTCATTTTAGTCCTTAAAAATGTTTGTTTTTAAGGATATAAACTAAGACTTCAGCGATAACATCATAACTTCGTCTTAACGCCGTGCCTCACCCCTGCTGGACTTTGTACATGTACTCTCTGAGAACGGAGCGTCTGAAGTGGATCGGCAGGTTGCGGGTCACGTTGTCTTTAATGAAGGACTCGGTTACAGCCTGTCAAAGGGGGTCAAAGCGGATCAGTATCAGGACTTCACACGGTAACAAATACCACACATGACGTCACTGTGGCGCCTGTTCTGACCTGGTGCTTCTGAGCCCTGATCAGACTGTTGATGTGGTCGTACGGCGTGGTCTGGGAGTCTGCGGGGTCGCAGTTTTCAGTCAAAGCTTTGCAGGCGTTCCAGTAACCGGCCAGACGTTTCTCATCCAGGTGAACGTGGACCGTGGAGTCCAGCTGAGAAGATCAGAGAGAACGAAATGTAGAAACTCTCTCAGAGGCAGAAAACTAAATCAGGGAGACTGACCTTCTTCAGCAGCTCCTTCGTCTGTCTGAAGTGATCCCGGGCTTTCTGATAGGCCGGCTGGTCTGTGCAGCCCTGCTGGAAGAAAATCCCCCCCAGGTCGTAGTGCACCTGAAACACAGAGAACAAAGTATAGGGTGTAGAGGTGTGCCGACTGACGCAGCGTGAGGGGAAACAGAGTACTAGATGGACTTTTACCTGACAGTGCAGCTCGTCTGCGCTGATTCGAAGTCCTGCAGTCGAGGACTCGGTCTCCCCGTTAGCGGCGGCATCAGCGGCCAGAAGATCCAGAGTCCTCAGAGTGTGAACGTAGAAGTCTTTCTTCAGCTGCACGGCTCCTTCGAGGACGCTGATGGAGTCGCTCGCCTGCTCTTTCAGCTGCAGAGAGGAGTTCAAACAAAAACACAGAAACAGGTTTTCATCAAAAACTTTATAAATAAATCTGAACAAGTGTTTAAATTGGTACAATAATAAGATTATTGTTTGACTCACCACTGATAAGATGTTGTCAGTCATCTCTTTTTCCTGCTGCACGATACTTAACCTGTAGAGGTCACAGGAAGAATTCAGTATCTGAGAGCCGAACTTTTAGGAAGATAACTGAATGTTGACGTATATTTTTAAACACATTTGCAGAACAATTAAATGTCTACAAGCTCAGTTTAATCATCGTGTAAAGAAACTTCTGACTCAAGAGGGCAGATCAAAGTTTACATGTTCATCTGGTGAGGTCCAGGTTTGGTCTGTTTCTCAGGAAAGCTGCTCAGCACGATGGTTCTGATGGCCCTTCAGATAAAAACAGAAGAAAACCATCAGAAGTTTTTTTGTTGGTTTTATTTCAGCAGATTTAAACTGGTTATTCTCTTAAAGTCAAAGTAAATATCGGCTCTTACTCACCAGCGGTTATAAATGATGACGGCCATGGCTGTAGTCGGAGGCAGAGTGGACAGGTCCAGGTCCACATGTTTCACCCCAGGTGGGACTTTACTCACACACAGGAGCTCGTTCAGTAACATATTTAAGACTGGAATGGTCAAACTGGCGAAGAAGAGAGAAAATACGTCTTTTTAAGTCGGTGAGACGATTAAATCTGCGCGAGTTAAGACGCCTAAGCACCAAATCCTGAGTAATAGTTGTCATCATCGACTAAAATCTGAAAGATTGAATCTTCCTTTATGAAGAACAATAACTGAACGTCGTCATATTTATGGACCTGACAGTGAAAATGCAAAACCAACAAACTGACAACATCAGGCAAAGTTCCTCCGTATGTCGCAGAGATGCTGTTACCCTTTTTCAAGAGCGTCCAGGTCCCACTTCATGTGCGCAGCGACCTTCAGCGCCAGCAGCTTCAGGGTCCGGTTCCTGCGGTTGTCTGCTGGAGGCTGGACCTGGTTCTGCTCGTTCACTGAGGGTTTGGACGCCTGTTCCAGGAACTGGACGATCAGCTGAACCGGTGTGGGGTCTATGGAGACAGAGAGACATCACTATTATCATTACTATTACTACTACATTAGTTTATTTACTTGAGGAGGGACCGTTTTAACAGATGTAAATGCTGTCCAGAAGTATCACTGACCTGGGTTTGACTTCTGCAGGTGTGTCTCCAGCAGACTACCGTCCAGCAGGAACTCAAACCAGGAGGTCTGAAGAGGGGTACTCGGCCGACTGCTGGTCACAGCAGCCACCCGGTCAGCCGCCTCAGCACTCATCCTTCCCTGTAGACAATTACAAAGACATAAAAACTGACTGTATCTTTAAAGACAATGCACCGAGGTTGAACAAATTATCATGTTTAACTAGATTTTATTAAGTTGGACACTTACAGTCAAGCCCAAAATGATTCAGACCCCTGTCAAATTTGGACCTAAAGTTACTTTTTTATTCAAGCAGCAGGTTTGTTGTTAACTGGAAATGACACAGGCGTCTCCCAGAATATAATCAGATGATGAACAAGAGGCAAAGAAATATTTCAGAGCTTTTATTTACATTTTAACTAAAAGTGGCATAGTTCAAATGTGAATAAAAGCTTTGAAATATTCCTTTGCCTCTTGTTCAACATCTTCTTATCTTCTGGGAGACGCCTGTGTCATTTACACTTCATCACAAACTTGCTGCTTGAATAAAAAGTAACTTTAAGACGAAAAATATGAATAATTTTGGACTGTATGTTTTACATTTTACTATAATTATGATAAATATCCATAAAAAACACCGTAATAAACTCAAGTGAAACCATATTTACTGAACCTTTGTTCCTCTTTTATTTACTCCATCACACACACACAAAAGAAAATTTTCATCCCTCCGTTTCCACCCTTAAAAAGTCCTGGAAAAAGTTTATTATCTTGTAATTTTCGTAAAAACAGTGAAATTAGGATTTGTTGTGACTGTGAGCTCCAATCTTTAGTCGCGTTGTCCCGGATGGGCGGAGTTTGTGATTTCTTCGCAGGGATTCCACTGACATGACGTACAGCAAGTGGCGCGGGGCTGCCCTCGTCTTTAAATCGAGCGCACCTCCCCGCCCGCTCTCCGTTGTGAGTGAAGCTAGCGGTGTTTTGTGCTAATATTCAAGCTAACCAGCTTAACTCTACAGCCTTAAACGGACACAGAAAAGCGGGTTGTCTTACCTGAAGAGGCCAAAATGTAAAAAGGGAGGATATGTGGGCTAAAAATGTTTAAAAATCTAAAATGTAAGGGTTAAAAAAGCTGCAAGGACTGTTTGATTCTCACATAATTCATTCTTCGTTTTGCCATCTCTGTAGTGTTTCCGGTTCCGCTGCGTCGCCAGGGAGACACGCGGTGCGTCACGTTTGCGCATATTTATACTCCGTGTGAAAATAGAAAATACTTTATTTTAACCCGTTTTAAATATTTTAAATCCCCACAATAAAAGTCTTTAAAGGAGCACGAATTATTCCAGAAACATTAATCTTATTTTGTTGGAAGAAAAACATTAAAATGTAATTTTAAAGTGATTAAATCAGTATTAAAATAACTAATCTCACACTATTACTGCCTTTTTTTTCTTTTTATGAGCTACAAGATTATTAAAATTACATTAAAAAACTTTGAAAACAATTATAATTTCGAATCAAAAAACAGAACTTTATTTTCTCATTGAATACTTCTGTTTGGAGGATTAAATCCGACTGATAAAAACTGGTCATTGAAGGGATATTCCGGCGTGAAATTAATTCAGTCAAACACACCGTAACACTGAGTTAGACCCCCCCTCCAGAGATGTTGCCGACCGCTTGCGACTGAATTAAACGCTGTTCTAATAGTTTGTTGTTTGATTATTTTTAGACTACTATTATCAGAGACTCAATACAATTTTGAGTTAACGGTGAAAACCAAAGTCTACTTTTTTTTATTGTAGAAAGGCATTGATAAGGGAATCGTTAAAGAATTGAATCAATAATGGCATCAATAACAACAAAATCTTATTAATTCCCATCCCTAATAATTGGGTGTGTATACAGACCTCCTGATACTGACCCAATTAGGTGTTAGGTGCTGTTCTGAGCATTATTTGTGGCTATAGAGTGGCGTTTTGGTTGAGGGGGGGTCTAACTCGGTGTTACGGTGGGTTTGACCCTAAATTAATTTTATATCGGAATATCCCTTTAAACGTTTGGACGCTACATGGAGAACTGAAAAAGCTCAGTGATACTTTAACTGATGATGACAGTCACAGAGTAGAGATCAACTTTTTATTCGTCAGCTTGTTCACACTTTCATCTGAAGGTGAATTTCAATCAAACCTCATGTTCACTAAACAGCCTTTCACAGAGACGATTATTGGCAAGTCTTACCGAGAGCTTACCGCCGAATACTTCAAGTAAATAACTAGAGGAGGGGAAATAATCTGACCTCAGAGCTCAGGTTAAGGTCGATAAAGAGGTCAGCTTCCACATTTAAAAATAAGGCATCAAGAAAAAGGAGAGGATGGAAAGAAAGCAGAAGAAATGAGCAGTTTCAGGACCAGCCTCTGCTCCTCTCACAGAGCACAGATGTCTTTTCCTTCCAAACGCTTCCATCATGCCAGGCACTACTGTGTTGTTTTTAGTGATGCTTCTGATCTACCTTAAACTAAAACCATGGGTTAACAGGAAAAATAAAACACATTACAAATCAAGTCTGATCTCTGGAGCCTGGGGGACTCTGGTGGGGGTCTGCTCGTCCTTTGTTACTCAGTAATCGATTATTAGGAGCTTTAAAACAACATTTCAGGAAAAGTCTCAGTACACAACACAAACTCATGAACTGGAGGGGTTCTCAGCTCTCTGAGCGGTTATTTCTGATGTCATTCTGAAATAATGCGTCACTATAATCACTATAAAAGGCATCCAAACAGTAACAGGGGTACAGATAAATGAAGTCAGATCAAAATAAAATAATTCTCTTGAAATTAAAACTCAAGAAAATGATCCATCCCAGAATATTCGGACAGTCTGCTGAACTCTGAAGATGAGAGTTTATATTGGCAGCTTTCAGACCATCTTCATTTGGCATGTTAGTTTTCTAACATTTACTTATCATTAAAAAAAAGAGTTTTTGAGTAACCAGTGGGAGTGTCCTAACTGAGACCTGCACACTGAGCTTCATTACAAGTCAAGCGAAGGTCAAACAGTCACGGTGAATTCTGAGGGGATATTTATGTGGAGAGAATTCGACCTTGAGACCATGGCATCTTTGTGTCCCAGCTCCTCTGGTTTTCCCTCCATCATGACCTCTGACCTCAGGTATCACCTTTACAGTAACAGTAACAGTAACAGTAACACATGGCTTATAAAACTACAGTACAGAGATTAATGTGACATTTTCCAACTTCAGTCCCAGCCGGCTTCAACTCTCACTGCTAAGATTTTTACGACGACAGTGTTCTGACTTTTTGGACGACACACACTCTGCAGTCCTCGGCGTATCGTCGTGGATACGACCTTCTTCACTCAGGGCTGCAGGAGCTGCTGTCAGTACTGAAAAGAGATGACAGAGTTGACTTTGTAGATGTGGTACGAGCGGTTCCAGAAAACTCGAGTGAAGTAGTTTGTGTAGGGCGAGTAGTTCATTTTAATCTCCTGGCAGAATCGTCCGTGTTTGGAGAACGAGTACATCTCTCCTTTATCGTAAACGACCTGGACGGAGACAAAAGGTCAGAGAGAGAGAACATGAGAACGTCGTCTGTGTCTCACTGAAGACGAAGCAGATCCCTCGACTTTCAGGATTCACAAAAATGTCAGACTTTCCCTTTAAACTACAGTAATACTGACATCAGTTTACAGGTGAGCGCTCCAGGCAGGTAAACAATCATGGTGTTACTCTACATCATGTGTACGATAAGCAGGCGTCTTTGATTTGAAGTCTTCCTCAAGTCTAAAAAACTGCAGATTCACATTTTTAACCCCAAACCTTCAAAAAACCGAGTCCTCACGTGTCCGTTGGAAATATCCAGAAGGTCTTTGATCCTGCAGCCTCGAACCAGACTCAGCTCGTTACAGATGGACTCCTCAATGATGAAGTAGTTTGTCTTCTGAGCGGTCAGAATCTTGTAGATGTCCTCGGCGGATCTCATGGCGTACACCTGGTACGTCTGAGAAGAAGAAACGAAAGGTGTTCATGAATCAAAGCGGTCTTCTCTCTGTGAGCCAAAGTTATCATCTCACTCACATCTTCAGTCCTCCTCAGCAGGTTGACGTCAGAGTAAAGCGGTAAAGTGGTCACGGCTGAACCCGAACACAACTTGACTGTTCCTAAGAGCTGAGGGCTGCCTGCAAAGACCGCCGTGAGGGGCGCCTGAGACCTGCAAGACCCCAGACCGCAAAGTTAGACACAACAGCCAAGGCCTAAAGGGACACAAGCATAAAATATTTACAACGAACTGTAATAATAACTGGATTTACACCATCACTTTTTTCTGGCATTGTAGATAGTTTTATTTTTCTTCTCCCTTTTTCCTTTTTCTAAATTTTTTTCTTAATTATTACATTTATTTAAGTTCTTAATATTAGGATCTTTATTTTTATAACTGCATTTTTGCACTCTCTGTCTGTGACGCTGCTGTGACAAAACATTTCCCCCATGGAGGATCAATAAAGGAATATTCTATTCTATTCTGTAAAAACCAGCACCAGAACTATCAGAGGACCCACCTGACCCAGCTGATCAGCTCCACTGTATCCGGGTCATAGAACTCAGGGAGGTCGGACAGCTCCGCTAAGACACGTGGGCAGTACTGCGGGACAGAGGGGGGGCAGTTAGGACCAACGGAGGTGTGATGAGAGTGAAATGACCGAGAGTTCAGAGTCTCACCTCTCTCCACAAACTGAAGCCGATGATTGTGGGGACGGCTGTGCTCAGGATCAGAGACTGACGGGGTTAAAAAGAGAGACGCTCAGTATGTCAACATGTTTAATTCTGCTGTAGTTTAAAGACTGGGATCTAATGAGACCTCCAGAGGATGTTTGCCTTCATTTTCAGTTCATTAAGGATTCCTGCACTTTCTGAATTTCAGTGTAAACTCACCAGAACCACAGGGTGGATGGACTTCAGCTTCAGCCACCTAAAAACAGTCATCCAGAGTTCTGGAGAACAAACGCCGAACGCTGTAAACATGCAGACATACGGGGTCCATAAATACTTCATCCTGCAAGAAAACAACAGCGTCACTGTCCGGCTGTGCCGTAGAGACTTTTATTAATGAACGTCAGAAACTCAAACCATCAACACGGCTCACCCGTCGAAGAGCAGAGCCAGGCCTCCGAAAATCAAAGTATGAAACACGTGATAGATGACCTCCGGCTGCTCTCCTATTCGCCCGTCTTCAAGTTTCAGGTTAGTTTGCATCAGCTGACCACTGCAGAAAATTTCAACAACAACTCATTTACAAATGTTTCCAAAGCAGCTGAACCGATCCATGACGCCGCAGACGTCTCTCACCTGAGTCTCCTGTAGATGGTCTGCAGAGTGGACAGCAGACACACAGAGAGCACCAGCAGATAGAAGGGGAGGACTGAGGCCTGCGTCAGGCGAAGAAACAAGTCTTGACTGGGAGTCTGTAAACTCTCTTGGCACATGAGGAAGTTTGGGACAAAGTCACTGACAGAAGAAAAGAGAAAAACACACGAGATTCATTTAAAGAGGAAACGGAGATTCAGTGAAAACATTCATTTTCAGGTCGATCTAAACTCTCACTCACGTTGTCGCGTTGAGTCCAAATTTCACCTCGAGGAATTTCAATATGAAATCGCTCTCACTTACAGGTAAAAGTTTCTGTTAAAAAAGGACGTCGTTAGGAAGTTTGTCACTACAGATTCAGGACTTAAAGGGATATTCGGGTGTAAAGTTAATTTAAGGTCCTCAGACCTCTCTGTATTTCTATCCTGTGGTCGTTACTAAAGTTGGTATAACTAGAGAAGCAAGCGGTCGACAACATTCATCTCTGGAGGCGGAGTCTAACTCTGTGTTACGGTGGGTTTGACCATAAATTAAATTTACGCCGGAATATCCCTTTAACAGTGTCATAAAGTGGTTTTACCTTCACTAAATAACTGAAGGTGATTCCTGTCGTGAAGACCAGGTGGAAGTGTAGTAACAGTTTCATGACTCTGGCCACTAGAGGTCCCACTTTCATCTTTTGCTGCGATAGAGAAGCAGAAGACAACATTTAAGAAGAGCTACTCTGGATTTCAAACATGTCAAACTGAAGATCTTTCATGGTAAAATTCGTCAGCGTGGTCTGCTGTCACTAAACCGTGTATTTGGAGCTGAGCGCTAAAGTGAGGGAGCAGCTAACTCTACCTGGAAGTACCTCGCGAGCACTGAGCCGATCATGAGGCTGAGCAGAGGAGAGCTGAGCAGCGCCGGGTTCTGAAACTGGAACAAGTAGGCCAAGAACAAGGAGCTGAGGTACACCTTGTGAATGTCGGCCATCTTTGGAGAAATAACAGAAAAAGAACAAGGTGAAGAAACGTTTCTGCGGGACAAACTGATGGGCTGTTGAGCTTTAGCAGGACTGCTACCTTCCGCGTCGGCACCAAGTCAAAAGAGTCGAGCAGGAAAAGGCAGAGGCCCTGGATGAAGAGCACGTAGTGACTGTGTTCCCACACCAGCAGGAAGGTGAAGGTGGTGGCACTCATGGTGAGATAGCAGAACATCTAGAGAGAAATAAAGGTCGTGTATTTTCAGGGAGTGTTTTCAGCTGTGTGCTCAGCGTGGATATGAAGGAGGAGGCTCACCTCCGCAGCAGAGGTGATGTTATTACTCAGGAATCCGGTCAGAGCAGCGACCTGGCAGGAGAAGTAAGGCAGGGCCCAGTTGTCCCTCAGAGGAATGGCTTGGTCCACTTTAGTCGTATCTGGTCTGAGGAGGAAAAAAACCCGCTGAAGGTTTATAAAAGTATAAGAGACACTAAAATGCTGTGAGGCTGGAGCAGCAGGAAGGACGCCCTCTCACCTGTTGATCACATACCAGGCTACAGCCAACATACCAGCGACCCAGGTGCCGCTCATCACCCAGCTGCACACAAACAGGGCGGTGACGTAGACCGCCTGGAGGCCGAAAACCGCTCCGACGTAGAAGTAGATCGGCTCTATGACATCCTGCGGGCACAGACGGAAACGTCAGCGTGTTCATCAATCATGTCAGATAAACACAGAGTATTAGAGCAGCAGGATGTGAGTTCATGTTTAACACCTGTCTGTGTTTACATATCATGACTCTCTCTCTCTCCCTGTCACTCTTCTTTCACCTTCATTCAGAAACTTCAAACAGCAGAGAGACGTTCACCTGGCTGCCCGTGACTCTGTACAAGAAACTTGTGATGAGCTCTGGATACAGAGACAGACTCTCCACCGCGTTGATGGTTTGACCTGAAACCGTGTTGTTATCCAGCGTCAGCTCGTAGAATCCTAACAGACGAACATCAGAGTGAGTTCAGACTTTTAGACTGAAGTGATTGTTCATTTCTCTGCGTTTGTCTTCCTCTAAGGAGACACAGAAGGATATTCGTACCTCTTTCGAAAGATGACGCCGTCAGCAGGTGCTTATAATAGTAATAATAAAGCCCGCTGCCTTCTTGGAAGGTGATTTCCCGCTCCAGCTCCTGGGAAAAGTTCATGTTTAAGATTCATGTTGTTGAAGCAGCAGAGAGGAAACACAGAGAAGGCAGAGCAACAACAAACACACACCTGTCTGGTGGAAAACCAGAACTTCCTGTCATGATATGTCGACAGATACACGGCGTACAGCATCCCGCAGGCAACTGCCGCCAGACAACCGAAGAACACCCTCACCAGACGCTGCAGGAAGCCTGCTGAGAGGTCGAGATACGGAAATATTAGAGGTCATGGTGAATATTTCTGATACTTCACATTTAATGATCAGGATTGTGCACAAGTTAATCTCTTTGTTTTAATGCTGCACAGTAAAATAAGAGACACTCAGCTCATTGTTTAACGTGGTTACTGGTGTAAATGTTGTTTTACAGCAGAAGTAGGTAAGAAGCTTCTTTGCAGCTGTCTACATAAAATTTCTCAACACAGCGCTAAACATGAAATAAATATATATGATATATCCAGTCCATTACGGACTACAGCGGGGTGCCGCAGCTCAAGGAAGAACATTTATGATCATTTCTTTATCATTTCCTTGAAGTAATAATCACCATATTAATCATTTTACAGACGCTGTAGTTCTTCTGTCTTAGCGTCTCGGTCTGATTGTATTTCCGTGAAGAAATGATCATAAATGTTCTTCCTTGAGCTGCGGCACCCCGCTGTAGTCTGTAATGGACTGGCCTGAGGTCTCACTACAAACAAGCGTCTGCTGGAAGAGAGTAGGTGAGTTGTGTTTAGTCTCTTTGCTAAAGAAATGAGTCAAAGTTAAAAAGATGTTTGGTGTCTAGTACTATGGCTGTGACCCTATATGTCCTGTTGATGAAGTTAGGTGCTGTTCTGAGCATTATTTGTGGCTATAGAGTGGCGTTTTGGTTGGGGGCGTGGCTCTCTGTATTTCTATCCTGCGGTCGTTACTAAAGTTGGTATAACTAGAGAAGGAAGCGGTTGACAACATTCATCTCTGGAGGGGGGGTCTGACTCGGTGTTACGGTGGGTTTGACACTAAATTAATTTAATGCCAGAATATCCCTTTAAGCAGCAGTAACAGTAGATGTATTTGCACCCTTGATTTGTGCACCAACAGATAATAATAATAATAATAATAATAATAATAATAATAGTAATAAGGGGACTTACATGCAAAGGACTTTCTGGCTCCTTTGACAGGTGTCTCTGTTGTCTCAGGTGTGTTTAATTCCTCCTTTTTCATCCTCTCATCCTCCTCTTCACCTTCATCCTCCTTGTTACCTGCTCCATCCTCAGAAACATTCCCATCATCCTCTGGGTTCACCGGTCCGTTCACACCTGTACAGGTGTTACAAAAGCTTCATGTTTGTTTTTGTCAGAGTTGACTGAAGTTACAGTTTGTCTTCTCTGTTAGCTGACCTGAATGGTGTTGATTAGCACACGGCTAACTTTAGCCTCACTCACCTGAACTCTGCTCCTCTCGGTTTTCGGTTTTCGGCTCCTCCTCTTCTTCTCCGTCTCCCTCCACGGTCACCGCCGTTTTTCGACATCTTAACTCGGTCATGACGGGATGAAGTTAATCCGAGAGGACTTGTCTGATGTTTGGAGATGATGGTGGCAGCATGCTAGCTCGTGTACATTTAGCTAACACACACACACACAGGAGTCGTTAACTCAACATTTCTGTCTGCGCGGTAGAAACAGACCGGTGACAGCCGAGCTACGAGCTTCTCTGTCCTCTTCTGTCAGCTTTAGTTCCCGGTACCGGAGCAGAAATCCGACAGTTTTAGTCTCTGTGGTCTTTGTGTGGAGGACTGAGCTGAGCTGAGGCGGAAGCCGGATGAGTTACCAACGAAGAAGACTGAGGTCCAGTCAGACGCTCCTCGATTTTTTGTGGTCAGCTGTTGAATTTCAAGTGCGCATGTTTGAGGATAATTACGGTAAACGCTCAGACTCCGGTGCGAGTAGACAAAGTGTATTTATAAAGCACTTTTTATACAGTTTAAACGTAAAGTGATTGAATCCTGCCAAAAATAAGAATAAAAATGACAGAAATGAGGCGATTGAATAGAAAGTAACAGGATAGACAGAGACTGAAGCACATTAACAGGAGAAAAATATCCAAAGTACTATAAGGTGGAACAGAACAAACCTTTTATTCAGCCCACCTGAGTCTATGTAAAGTCATTTATTTAGTCAATCAGAATTTATTTAAATTACCATAATTATTAGAAAAGAAGAGAAATTTAATGGAAGTGAGCAGTTAACGATTTCAAGATTATCAGGTTTTATAAATTAGAAATGACTGAAATTTACTCCTTAAAATATTTAAAATAATAAAACTAAAACTGTCTCACTTTCACTTTAATCTTGTTTTTTTTTTTTAACATGTTTGTTTTTATCCGTGTCTCATCGACTCTGCTGAAGGTTGTGAATAAACACATTTGTTATTATTAATGACTGCAGACTTTGACACACATGTGAGCAGCTGTTTCTTTATTGAAGGATCTTCAGTGACAGAAACACATTCAGACTCTCATGAAGAAGAAGCAGAGGGATCTTTTTTTAGCTGAGTATCCTGACGAATCCTCCAAACTTCTGCACAGGTGGTTTAACGTAGAAAGTTTGGATGAACTGTTCAGGCTGTTAGATTTACATGTTGTTGTTGAACATGTTGAAATAAGGCTGGAACCAGGTTCTCAGCTCCTCCATCTTATCCTCCATGGTGGATCTCAGGTTGTCGCTTGTATTCTCCAAACGCTCCTTGATGCCCTCGGTGGTCGTCTGCAGCTTCTCCTTCATGTTCTCCACCTGAGACTTCAGCAGATCGTTCAGGGTGTTGATCTTGGCCTGGGCGTTGTCTCTCACCTGGGAGAAATAAGGGTCGATGCGGGTCCTCATGTCCTCCATGTTGTCTGAGGCACGGCTCTGGATGTCCTCAAAGTATTCTGAAACATGTCTGAGAGAGGGACAGAGCAGCTGAGGACACAAGACTCAATAAAGGTTTAAGAAATATGAAAATAATAAAGAGTTTCTATGTTTTTAGTGGTAATGGGACCTTCTGGGCCACCGTACTTATTCGCTTTTACACAGGACAACAGCTGTTTTTAAATCCACTAATCTTTCAGCTGTTTTACTCATTTGTTGTCATTCAAAACATGAGGAATTAGGGTTAGTTTAAATATGCTCAGATGATTCTGTGAAATCTGTTTAATTTTGATTTCATGTCAAAATACCAACTATTTTTAATTTAAAGCTTCAGTAAGTGATTTTAAATTTGTGATGTTTGGCGCCCTCCTGTGGACAAAACAGATTCTTCTTATTTATGCTGGCTTTTACTTCCCAGTAACGTGGTGACACTTTTTTTTATTGCACTGTATTTCATTCTTTTTTTAATTACTTTTATTGTTTTTATTGTTTTTATTTATTTATTGTTATTTTCTGTGTACTGTAAATCATTTTGGTTCAGCGAAAGTGTTGTTGTAAAGGGCTGTATAAATAAAGATTAAAGATTTACATTTGTTGTAATTGAAAACATTCCTAATTAAAAGTTAAATGTGCTCAGATGATTCTGTGAAGTCTGTCTCATTTTGGTGCTACGTCAAAACAACTATTTTCAATTTAAAGCTTCAGTAAGCAACTTTAAATTTGTGATGTTTGGCGCCCTCCTGTGGACAAAATGGTTGTCTTCTCATACTGTTGATTTCCTTATTCTGTAAATGTGTTAGTAATCCTCTCTGTCAAAATATCTCCAATAATCCAACAACACACACCAAACTCAAGGATCTGCTGTAAAACTTGTATTAAAATAATCAAATGTTCGTTTTTTCAATCCAGTTTAATTCACCTGAAGATCTGCTCGAATGTGAGTTTGTATTAAAAAGTTAGTTAGTATAAATACTGGAGAGGCGCTGGTCTTACCTTTCCAGATCTCAAAGTACAGAAACACTAAAGATTTACTTTTTAAAACCCGTAAAAACTATGAGATGGTCTTACTGGACGGCGTTTCCCATCGCCTCGCTGTGATTACCTCCCCGCTCCAGCGTGTCTCTCACCTCTTAATCTCCTGGACGTCCTTGCTGAGGCGTTTCTTCAGCTTGCGGTTGTAGGCGGAGACTCTGACCTTGACTTCATCCACGTTGTGCTCCACCATGGCCTGCAGCTCCTGGTTGTATTTGTCCATCTGCTCGCGAGCCTCGCCCATGTGACCTTGCAGTTTACCGAACACCTTCTTCAGGTCCTTGGCCAGACGCTCCCCGGCCTCCTGAGTGTAGGGGGCCACTTTGCTCTCCAGGTCGTCCTTGTACATGAGGAGCTCGGACATGCTGTCCTGGATCAGGGTGCTGTGAGGGTTCAGAGGTAGACTTTAGGGGATTTGTTGGAATTGAAAGCTGGTCCAGAGGTGATCGGGAGGGTTTATTAATGTGTTGAATCATGTTATTGTTTCGGACCACATTGGAGAAGATAGAAGTTAAATTAAGAGGACCTTGAAGTGACACTCTGAAGACGTCAGTCAGCAGCTCTGTGAATGCCTCACCTCTCCGACACATACTGATGAAGGTCCTCACACTGACTCAGCTAAAGACAGACAGATCTAACAGCTCCATGTCGATGCTTTAACTCCGTCAAACTGACTCACATCAGCGTGACGAGAACACAAAGATTCAAACGAGCTTCTGCTGCTGTTTACGAGCATTTACAGAAACATTAGAAGACCAAGAATGAGGCATGTGGAGAAGTGCAGTATATGTCCAATAGGGGGCAGTATCTCCTAATATGTGACCGACTGGTTTATGGATCACAGATTCAAACTTCTGGTTACTGTGGAAACCAACAAAGAGGTCCAGTTTTAGTGTTAAAAAAAAAGTGCATTCTAACATTTGCACTAATGGACTGTCCCCCTAGTGGTCCCTTCAGGAACTGCAGTTTCGTGCTCCTCTGCTTCATGTTTTAATGGAATAATTCTTTAACTCCAGAGGCAGCAGCTGTACGAAGAGGCCCAGAAACAGTTTTCAACTTTTCAAAATAACAATTAATCCATTTAATAAATTATGGTCCAAAGTAAATAAACATCAGTCATGTGAAAAAATACCTCAGCATCCAGATGTTGGTCTTTTTTTTGAGATGTCAGTATCCAGTAATACTGAGCAGATGACAGAAATCTTAGCATCACTTTATTTTTAATTAATTTTTATTATTTGTCTGTTTTATTCTTTTTTTTAATCTTAGTATTATTCAGTCCATTATTCATATTATATTATTCACCTCCACCTTTTGTCTGAAAATGTCCATTTCTGACCTCAAATAAAGAACCTTCTGGATTGAATTGAGGTCGAAGTCTCTCCATCAGAGCAGTGATTCTGTGGCCAAAGTGAAATGAAACTAAAGACCCGCAGGCGGAGGTCGTCTTTATGTAACAGGCGTGTCTGACCTGAAACTCATCACGTCTCTAAATGATATCAAGCATTTGCGTAACTGATAAATGACTGATAATTGATCCGTGTGACGTCAGTGAACTCACTCAAGCTCTCTGCCGATCTCGGAGCTCCTGATGCCTTTCACCACCTCATCAGCCTTCATGTTCAGGTCCGTGAAGTAACCCCTGAACCTGTCGATGGCGGACTCCCAGGGGGTCTTCTCCTCATCTCCAAACAGGGTTCTGGCTTGGCAGCCTGGAGCGGGACGGACACACAGAGTCTCAGAAGTTTACAAATGAAGAGACGGAGGAAGTTTTTATGTTAATGTAAAAGAAATCTGAAAAATTCAGCCTCACCTGAGAGGACAGCCAGCACAAAGACGACTGCGAAGACCTTCATGATGAGCAGAAATGAGGACACCTGGAATTCAGAACAATAAGGACGTTAAATCGTCTTCAAATTGGCCAAAAAAGTTTGTAGTTACTCAGCAGAAGGATTAAAGATGTGTAAATAGATACTCAGGTTATAGTATCTAGTATAAATCGTTCAGCTTCTACAGACTCAGCGGTTCGTGTCTCACCTCAGTGATCCAGATCTGTGACGTCTGCGAGACAGGCTGGACGGGTCTCACAGTATTTATACACTTCAGGCGTCTTTGATGAGATCCAATAAAAACTCTCAGGAGGATATCTGACCTGCGTTCCAAGTTCACGCAGCGTTCTGTGTTGTTGTCATCTTTTATTGCTGTGTGTGTTATTTTGGCTCCACGTCACATCATGAAGGAACAGGTGAGCACAGGTCAGGTACCGAAACCTACCATCAGAGTCTGGGTACGAGCCATCAAAGGTCAAAGGTTATCATTGTCCGGCTGATCTATGTCAAAGCCTGTTTGAACGACTACAGTCCGCAATCAGAGCGGACAGAGAGGTCAAAGGTCGAGGGAGGCTGTGGGAAGCGTTCATGAAAACAAACTTTAACCTCCTCCTGGTTCAGCTTTGACTTCACACCCACCGGGTTCAGGGTCAGTTCTGACCCGGGTCTTAAATCAGCTGTAAATCAAAAACAGTTCTCTATCCTCCAGTTTGGTTCTCATCTCCAGGTTTCCTTGTTCGGCTTCATTATCAATGAAAATATTGATTATCATAGTTTTTGTCGTGGTCCTCACACAGACGTCTACACTGACCTGATCTCACCGGTCTGGACAGAGAAAAACATGAAAAATGAGAATTTCCATAATCTGACATGATTGAAGAGGATCTGACTGTCTGTCACTCATGATCTTAGTTATTACTCTGATTATTAGATATTGATCTGACGGGTCAACAGCGACTCTAACACGACAAGGGTCATAATTTTAATAAGAACATTTTATAACTGAGTCAATTTAATTTTTTAGTAACACTTTATTTGACGCTTATCTCTATAACACATTATAAATATAATATAATGTATTATAATCAGGTTATAGCGCTGTATGAGTTATAAATGATCCTAATGCTCTATAGCTATAATAATAACACATTATAAATCGTTTCATCATGACTATAAGGTCAGGTGTTATAATGTGTTATTGTTATAAAGCCTTAATGAGAGTTTATAATGATAGTTAACAGGCAAATAATAACACATGATAATTATGTGTGTATATAATGTATTATCTATCAGTGAGTTATTAACAGTTATAACACATTATAATACCTGACCTTATAGTAATGATGAAATGATTTATACGGTAAGTTCAGGAAGACCATGAGAGCAGGAAAAGTCCGTTAAACGTGTTTATTGTTGTTTTTTCCACAGACAGAGAGAATATTTAAATATTTGATCAGTAACTCAGTGAAGAAACTCTTTTTCAGACACTTTCATCACAAACATCAGGATGAGGTAGAGCGGTTCTGGTTCTGGTTTCTGTCTCCTCACAGTCCGTTTACTGGGCCATCTTAGCGAAAGACTTCCACAGAGTGGTCAGCTGCCTCTTCAGGATCTCGGCGTCTGAGTCCAGCTTGGACCTCAGCTCCTCCCCCAAGGGAACCAGACGCTGCTGGACCTCCTGGGTCTTCTGGGTCAGCTGGGTCTCGAGGTTCTGGGCCATGGGCATCACGCTCCTCTGGAACTGATCCAGACTCTGCTCCATCTTCTCCTTAATCTCCTCGGCGTAGGGGACCATCTGGTCCTGCAGCTGGCTCACGCTCTTGTCCAGCTGCTTCTTCAGCTCCTGGCTCTTCTGCAGCAGGACGGCCTTCAGGGACTCGGGGTCCATTGACTTGGCGTGAGGGGCCACGTCCCTCCTCAGCTCCTCCACGCGAGCCTGGAGCTGGGCGACCAGGTCCTCGGCGTACGGCTGCAGGCGGCCTCCCATGGCGGCCAGATCCTTCTGGAGGTGAGTCTTGAGCTGCTCGACCTCCTGGGTGAACTTGGTCATGAGGTTCTGGGTCAGAGGAGCCACCTGGGTCTGCAGGGCGACGGTGAGCTTGTTGACGGCCTCGGTGCTCTCAGAGATGAGGGTGCTGCAGGAACACAAGTTAAACAATCTGAAATCATTCTGTGGAACACAAACTCGGCCTCCGTCAGCCTCGTCCACGTTCAGCAACCATCAAACCAGGAGATCTGAGAGGAACCGTCGACTCTGACCTCCACGAGAGCGTCCATTATTATTATTATTATTATTATTTTTATTATTATTATTATTATTATTGTTGTTGTTATTATTATGATTATTATTATTATTATTATTGTTATTATTATTATTATTATTATTATTATTATTATTATTATTATTATTATTATTATTATTATTATTATTATCCTAAAAGTCCACGTTGAAGAAGTTTCAGGGTTTAAGGATCTTACTTCACGTCTTTTCCTAACTGGGAGTTCCTGATCTGCTTCATGGAGTCCTCAGCAGTCGTGGTCACCTTCGCCACGTAGTCCCAGAAAGCGTCTTTGACCATGTCGACCTGCTGCTTGGGCTGCTTATTCCACACGGCGTGGGCATCGCACCCTGCTGAGAGAGCAGAGAAGAAAACAACATGATTCAGACTGAGAGACACTGAGAGACGAATGATCGTCCGATGAGATTTTTCAGTTTCTTACCTGTGAAAACAGCGAGGGCGAGGACGAGCAGGACCTTCATGACTGATGCTGCGTGTGTGTTAGAGTGTGTGTGTTAGAGTGAGTGTGTGTCCACTCAGAGAGCTGTAGGTGACAGTGAGTGTGTCTGAGGGGTTTATATAGTCCTCTGAGTCCTATAGAAGAAAGACAGGAGGGCTAAAGTCCAAGTCTGAGCGCCCCGCTGTCACTGCAGCGTCCACATCATATCAACTGGGGGGGGCAGAAAAAAATCTGTTCACATAAGAATCGAGATTTTTTGGTTAACAATTTTTTTTTTCAAATTTAAGAATAAATCTTAAAAGCTGTTTTACATGTGATGTGTATTTTTGGGGTAAATATGGTTCCTGGAATAGTCAGCAGACAATCATTCAACTGTTTCACTGGAGTTAAAAATACAGACTAAATATTGAGAAACTCGTCAATATCGTAGAATCGCAATTTAATCCGAAAACAATCATCGAATAATCGAATCAGGAGAAAAGCAGATCGTCCCGAATTTATCCAGTAAATGAGGTGAAAACCACGTTTAAGATTCTTGAAACTGTTAGCTTTAGCCTCATGTTGGTGTTTGTTGAACCTCTGCAGGATTCACCCACCGGGGATCACGAATATCAGGAATAAGAAGCAGAAGTGAAATCAATCCTTCAACATTTAGAAGCACAAAGACCAGAAAAAAAACTTCCCACTGAACATTTTTGGTCTAAAAAAGTCTAAATGTCGTCTCGACCACAAGTCTGAAATCAGAGCAGCTCAGGTCTGAAAATGAACGTTTTTCAGACGTCTACATTTAAACTCTTTAACTCTTTTCTTCTTTCTGTTTCTTCTCAAACTGTTTATTTTAACAAACATGTTTGTGTGTCAATTTATCTTGTTGTTGACAAGTTGGTGTTTTTAGTTTTTTTGTTGTTGTTGTTCTTAAAGTTTGGGAGAAAGAAAGAAAGAAAGAAAGATCAGGTCTATATCTGGTCTACATCTTTACTTCCCTGTATTAACAGCTATTATAATTATTTCAGTTCAGTTCTTAGAGTTCAGTCATGAAACTCTCGGCTGCTTATTGAAATAAATATTTATTGAATATAAGTTTAAAGACAAACGTCTAAAAATTGACAGAATCTAAACGTTTGAAATTCAGTCTAAATAAAAACTGGACGTCTAACATCGTCTGTTACTCAGTGGGTTATAAAATTAAACATGTTTTAAATGAATTCAGTGATTTGAGAATAATTCCGTCTCTGATTGACGAGTTTAATCAAAGTAATCTCGTCAAATCAGCTGATTGATGAGTGAAACCAAAGCCTCTCTGTTTCTGCTGATTGATCGACTCGATCAGGTCTGATTGACTCAAATGTTCTTCAGATAAACTTTTATAGGTCAGTGAGATGTGTGTCGGACTTTGACCCGGTCGTTCCACCTGACCTCGGGGATTATCTTTACAGAGGAATGTTTCCGTTTACAGCCGTGTTCGTCTGAGACTCGCTGATAACACCTGAAGTCTGATCAACGTCCCCGTCGCCGCCATGACGCACGCACAGACCTTGGAGTACTGACCAATACGTGGACACAGATTCATCCAAAAAGTGAAAAAGTGCAGGTCAACTCTGTTTACATTAAAGGAGTTATTCTGCTCTAAAAACTGTGATTTCATTCCTCTGGTCCTCCTGGAGCTTCACATTTAATGAAGATCGAGGCTTTTAGAGGTTTTTGGAGACCTGGACCAGGAACTATCTTCAAGTTTAGGTCCAGAGGTCATCCTCAGAGAGCTTTAAAATAAAAATATATAAGATTCAGTCCTAATGTTTGACACGTTTAGCTGAAATTTGACAGAAAAACTTCATAAAATGTTGAAAACAGCTCAATTTAAAATATCCCTTTAATGCCTTTTGTGTCATATTTGATAAATACTGTTATATACCTTTATCAAATCAATATGATCAACAAATCACTTTAAAAAAAACACCTGAATACAGACTGATAAATGATGAAAATGTCCTCTTGTAGTTTATCAGTTTCCAAAAATATCTTATGAATCAAACCAGATCAATAAATATATATTTGTTCAATTTTAAGGACGTTTAGATTTTTTTGTTTTCAGTAATAAATGAAAAAAAAATATTTCAGCTCCAAAAAAATGTGAATTTTCTGCCCATAATTTGTGTTTTCAGGCGTTAAAGGAGAGAGAGAGATAATAAAAGTAGAAATAATTCCTTTAACGTCGTTATTCAGTAAAAAACATCGTTTAAAAGCAGCTAAAGGGACTCAAGAAAACAAAGACTCCTTTCTCTTTGTGCAGCTGGAGTTTCAACTTTTATTCTCTGATATGAACTAAAACATCCTGAATCATGAAAATGAGCGGATTACTCCTTTAAAGGCTTAAATCTCTGTTTCTGCTGCTGGATTATAAACTTTAACTCGTTCAGAAACCAAAGAAAACGCCTCCTCAGATGAACCTCTGTGCTGCTGACTCAGGAATTATGACGTGGAGTGACAAGAATCTGTCCAGCGGGGCACCAGGACCAGGACTTTACCCTTCAGAGGGACTATAAAAACCCTGAGCGGCTGCTGTTTGACACAAACCTCCAGAGCGGCTGAAGAAGAAGAGACGAGCTGACTCTACAAGGTAAGAGCGTTTCTCCTCCTCACACTGACCTCGGACTGCTGCTCCGTTCTTCAGGTCTTCATCTCAGACGTGTGTTTTCTTTCTCCAACAGAGACCGATTCAGTCATGAGGGTTCTCGTGGTTCTCGCTCTTTTCTCCGGTGAGTCAAACTTTGATCCTCCGTCCTGAACCAGGATCATCATCATCATCATCATCATCGTCATGAGTCTCACCTCCAAATGATCAATCTGCTCTTCTTCATCTTTCAGTTTGTAATGCAAACATCTTGTGGCACGAGCAGCCCAAGACCAACCTGGACATGGTGAAGGACGCTTTCTGGGACTACGTGGCCAAGATGACCATGGCCACCGAGGACTCCATGAGGCAGATCCGAGAGTCTGAGCTGGGACAGGAGTTCAAGTAAGAGTCCGTGTGTTCGGATCCTTTCCTTCAAGACTTTGGTGTGTCTTCAAGTTCTTGATGAAGTTTGTCTTCTGTCCCTCAGCGCCAGGATCTCCCAGAGCGCCGACACCGTGAACCAGTACGTGGTCGCTCTGAGGACTCAGGTCGCTCCTCTCTCCGAGAACTTCATGGCCCAGCTGACCCAGGAGGCCGAGCAGCTCAAGACCCGCCTGGAGGAGGATATGAAGACCATGAGCGCCACCCTGCAGCCCTACGCCCAGGAAATGGTGGCTCGCATCCAGAAGCAGATGGAGGATCTGAGGAGGGAGGCCGCCCCCTACGCCGAGGCCATGGACCCCGAGTCCGTGAAGGTCGTCCTGCTGCAGAAGAGCCAGGAGCTGAAGATGCAGCTGGACAAGAGCGTGGAGGAGCTGCAGGCCCAGATGGTCCCCTACGCCGACGACATGAAGAACAAGATGGAGCAGAGTGTGGATGACTTTCAGACACGCATGATGCCCATCGCCCAGGACTTCAGGACCCAGCTGACCCAGAAGACCCAGGAGATCCAGCAGAGCCTGATCCCCCTGGGAGAGGAGCTGAAGGCCAAGATGGACGCCAGCGCTCAGGACATGCAGGCTCAGCTGATCGCTCTGTGGGAGTCTTTCGCCAAGACGACCCAGTAAACGGACTTCTTCATCATCATCGTCATCATCATCATGACCAAATATTTATTTCAAATTTATTTTATTAAATAAAAAATGAAGAAATTATTTCAGTCTGTCCGTGTTTTTATACGTGTGAGAGAGAGATCGTTTGAGTCATACATCAGAATTTTTAAAGAAGCGCTTTAGTCGTTAGTCGTTTTAGTTCCTCCACCTGAAAGTCACTCACTGCAGCTTTAAAGTATCGATCAAAATGCTGTTTATGAACAATTTTTATGTCCTCAGAGCCTCTGCAGTTAAAGTTAGTCTCTTAGTCTTTTAGAGTAGATTTTAAGGTTCTTTTAAAACAGATTTTAAGGTTCTTTTTAAATAGATTTTAAGGTTCTTTTAAAACAGATTTTATAGCTCTTTGTGGTCTTGGTCCTCCACTCCCTGAAGCCCTCAGGTCTTCAGGTCTTCTAATTTTTCCCAAAGTAAAAACTCAAACATTCACTGAATCATCGTTCCAACATTACAGTCCCCAATCTGTGGAACAGCTGACCTGCAGACCTGAGAGCGACACCTACTGTTCAGATTTTAAAAGTAAACTCAAGACCTTTTTAGTCTTTTAGTTCAATTTTGTCGTGATTTTACTCTATTTTACTCCCAGAGTGAGTATTTTGTGTTTTATTACCTCTTTTTTAATTTACTTTCTGTTACTGTTTGATTTTAAAACCGTTTTATTTAATTAACTTTTAACCCTTTATCACCTTTATTATATTCTATCATGTTTTTATCGTTTTAGTCCCAGATCCAGTGTTTCCTCATCTTTTTAAATGAACACTTTCAAGAAGTCGGAGAACTTTTCAAATGAAACTGAATCTTATTCTCCGCATTTTATTTCTGAAAATACCGTAGAAAATCGGCGAGTTTTGGCCGATTACTGATTAGTCTCAAACGGGCTAAAATTGGCCGATTTAATCAGCTCGCCGATAAATTGGTCAGGCCCTGCTATTTATTCAAAGAAACCTCTTTGAGATGATTTTCTGTCACCTGAATATAAAACTGTTGATGTAAAAACAGGAACGAGAGAATTGAGGGACAGAAAAAAAACAAGAACCCCGTTTTTTTGTAAGAAATGGTATTTATCAGTTTCCAAGAGGTATATACAGGTCATGTCTTCAGTGTTTCGTATGTTTGTAACGGATAAAAAGGCAACAAAACTAGTGATTGGTTGTGATTGTGACATGCAGCGCCCTCTCTCCTTCCTGGTAAACAAAAAAATTAACTATAAAACAAGAAAAATGAATCAACGGCACGCCGAGACAGACGAACGGTAAAAAAACAGGAGAATAAAAAGCGGATCTGAAGAGACAGGCACAGAAACAGAGAACAGAGATTATGAATCAAGTCTCAGGTGTTTTTTTTTTTCTGTTCACAGTAAACTAAATCCAAACCAATCACATTATCTGTTACTCCTCGGAAGATTAAATGCATCAGATTGACGTTATAACCTTTTTTTTCTGCTCGTCTGATGGAACCAATAACATGAGATGGTCGATAAGAGCAACAGATGGAGGTGAAGGGACACACGGTGGTGTTCATGGCAAAGTCTGCTCGTCCAAACTGAGTCCGTCTAACCGATGGTGACGCCGAAGCCGCACTGGAACTTGTTTTTGCGGTGGTTGAGGAAGGTGCAGAGGACTAGAGAGAGCGGCAGAGGGAGCAGCTTCTTTTCTAACGTGGCGCCGACGATCCAGTTACTGTCTACCGAACCTGAGAGAGGAGCAGGACACAGAGAAGACGAAAAGAACATCATTTATCCTCGAAGAGAAAATTCAATTAGAGAGTCGAACCAAAGAAAACAGAGGAGAGAGAGTGATCTGCAGACGTGGTCGTTCTGATCAGAGAGGGTGACCAGTGACCAACATCAAACTTTAGAACTTCACCTTCATCAGGTTATAGAACAGAAGATTAAAGCTCCACTCTCTCACACACACACACACACACACACACACACACACACACACACACACACACACACACACACACACACACACACACACACACACACACACACACACACACACACTCACACACACACACGCTGCAAAGTCAGCAGAACAGAGGGATGATAATTGATCTCAGACTGCAGATACGCTGTGGTATAAACTATGCTGTGGTCTGACCCATATGGAGTTTTTGGGGACGATGCAGATTATTGGGGGGGGGGGGGGGATTACCAATAAATCGGCCAATTTTTTTACATTTTTTATGAAGTTATAAAAATATATATATATATTGTAGATATACTTTAGGCTACTGCTCTTCACACCGACAGGAAGACCGACTGATCAAACTCGAACCAGAAAAGCGTTTTCTAGAACCCACCAGGTGGTTAGTGGATGAAGATTGTCATCAGGTCGCTGTAGCACCATCTACAGGATAAGTTGGGGAACTTTTCAAACGGCAGAACATTTTCGAAGTGAAACTGAATCTTATTCTCTGCATTTTATTTCTGAAAATATCGGCGAAAATCTGTGAGTTTTGGCCGATTACTGATTAGTCTCAAACGGACTAAAATCTGGACTGCCAAGTAAGTCCTTGATTGGCTCTGCCGCTGGGCTGTATTATGTGTGTGATTGGCCATCCCTGCTGTCAGTCATTCCAAGCCCACCGGATGCGATATTTTTTTTTTTGATTGGCTAGAAAAGCTTGAAACGTCATCACACGCTCAATCCGAGCGTGGGCTGTCGGCTCTGTCGACAAACAGAACATTATCGCACTTCTGAATCTCCTAGCCCGACAGACGGAGCCCAGCACTTCTAGCCAATCAGAGTCGAAGGAGGGCGGGACCTTCTCCTACCATCCTACAAACAAATACCGCCCGCCGGACTCCAGGATAGTATTTTCATCTCAGGTGTGTTTAAGCTTGGACTTTCTTTTAAAGTCAACCTTTTCATCATTGACTTCACCGTGTCTTTCCTCTCCTCTGGATTCGTTCTCGTTTTAAAACAGTCCTACCTTTAAAGAGTAAATTGGCTTTAGGCACGTCGAGCTGATACCCAAACGACACGCTGGTGTCCTGCATGCGGGTGCTCGCCTCAAACTCCACACCGAGCTGCAGCTGTGGGACAGAAGCAGACGGGTTTTTATTTCTCTATCGACCAGAAACTGAAACTTATTACAAACATGAGAGTTAAAGAAAAGGCGCCACAGTTACCTGATCATTGGCTTTGTGATAGTATGAAGCGTGAGCGCCCGCCGAGCCCAGGGTCAGCGTGGCGATGTAGTTACTACCTGCACAGAGGAAGGTCAAGATGTCACAGAAAATCCACCCTCATGTGGCGTCCACACAGTCCGGGTCACAGTAAACCGCCTCTCACCTGTGTACCTGCCCACTAAAGACATGACGGCGCCCTCCTCTCCCGGCCGGCGGTGATAAACCAGCTCGCCTCCCAGAGCCAGAGCCGGTGTGATGGACTGGAGGTAGTGTGTTACAACAATACCTGACAGGTGGGAACAAAAGGAGACGTGATCAGTTCCAGTAAAGATGAGCGGACAGTCACATGAGAGAGAACCTACCAGAACCGACGAGGACGTCCGGGTTTCCCAGTGTGACTGTCGCAGTAAAATCTTCCCCCCTGATCTCAGCGTCGCCCTGCCAGTTCATAAACTTGTGTTGCTGCGTCTGAATGTGGGACGACATTATTTCTAGTTAGTTTATGAAACATACGTTCAAAGGTCCGACTGAGAGAGAACATGCTGAGGCCGGACCTGGAAGGCCAGTTTGGATCGTATCCTGCCGGTGATCTGGTGGATGATCTGAGCGTTGAGGCTGCCGCTGTTGTCCATGTCTCCAACCATCACGGGAAAAAACTGGGAGTGGAGCAGCGAAACTTTACATCACAGCGTCTTCAGACAGAAACAAACATGCACTGAATCACAGCATACCTCCGCTGGACCCATCTGCTTAGTTCCAACGTATGTCGCACCAAACCTGTAGGTGGACTCTCCGATGGTGCTCAGCAGCACGGTGTGATTCACCTGCAGAGAGTCGAAGAGGGTCACCGTCAAAAACGGAGCTCCAAGATATTCAGGATTTACTCTTTTTGGTCGAGTTCGATCGTTCGTGTTACACATTAACAAAAGTTTTAAGACTTGACAGGGAAATGTGACCTTAACCCCCAGTTTCCACCTTCATCCTGATCGTCTCCTAAAAGGTCGTATCCTCCGATCGTAGCTGATCGTAACCATTCAAGTTAACGTGTCAATTTACACCGACTTCTTTCCGTTCCTCTGCGGATCGCCGGACTCCTCAGCTGATCACAAGAGTTCTATTTTTTCTGGACGCCGGAGCATGGCGGATAAATTCAGCACAGATTAACCCGTGCTGAAAAGGAAGTCGGGCACAGACACAAAATAAAACATCCGGCTTCAGACCTGGGCGGAGACGAACAAGTGAAAGGTTTTTAGACGTCATTTCACCCCGATGACACCATGGATGAGGAGATGCTGATTCTAGAAGTCTAGAAGTAGATTTCCTCCTCTGGAAGGACACAATCTACTGCTTATATGTCTATGTGTCTGTCTTTAGAGAGACAACTCGTTACCGCACGATTGAACGTGAATCTGCAGGTTCTTGTGGTAGGAATTGGCGGACAGCGAAAATCACCGCCATTCCAGACGGAGTGGAAATTTGGGGTTAGATGTTTTCTAGTAAACCAGAGAGGGAGAAAGGTTCTGGTTTTAATTCATCGAATACCTGCATGTAAAATGATCTGAACTGACCTGGAAGTGGTTGCTAAGGCCTTTGTTGACGACGAGCCTGACGCCTTCCATCTGCATGGGGAAAACCTCTGAAAAACACAAAGATTCAAATAAGAAACAAATGAGAAAGACGCACCAGGCGGGACCAGGGATTTAATATTTGGCCTTCTTGCACCTTTAGCGGTCATCCCTGTTTACCTTTGCACTTGCGGTGACACTCATCAAAAGCACCCGGGTTCGGCAGAGGCGGTTCTACCTCCTGCTGCTGACCTGCGGCCGCCTCAGCCGGGGTGATAACCGAGGACACCGGAGGAATCCCAAAGCCCGGCGGCACCGTCAACCCCGGGGCGATAGGAGCCCCAGTGGCTGGGGGTGAAGGGTTGGGGGAACTGGCAGCCAAAACACTGCCCATTCTGGAGGGAGTGAGGAGAGGAGGTGAGGAGAGGAGGTGAGGAGAGGAGGTGAGTCCGAGAGAGCGTATTTCTCTATACTGGTACAACAGAGTATATGTGGGTATGTATACATGCAGGAGATAAACATACAAGATACGTCTGTAAGATACGTCTGTAAGATACTCTGTGAACCCAACAACAGTGGAGAGAGAAACGTCGAGTCTCAAAGCCTCAGATTTGAGGTAAAACAGAAATGACTCTTCCTCCTCAGACTCGTTCAGAACGCAGCAGCTCGACTTTTAACTGGTTTTAGTCGACGGCGTCACATGACTCCAGTTTCAGCCTCTCTTCACTGACTTCCTGTCAGTTTTAGGATTGATTTTAAAATTTGATTGATTAGTTTCAAGGCTCCTCAGGGACATTTCTGTTTCTCTATTTCATCATTTCTATTATTATTTGTATTACCTATTATTATTTTATCATCATTGTTGATTTTGTCTTTTATATTTACTATCCTGTTTCTGCTCTCCTCCTCCCTTTTAACTGCATTTTTCTTTTTTCTGAACTCTAATGTTTTTATTTTGGTCCTCGTGGTTCTTATATTGTCATGAAAACGACCTTTAATTCTGTTTGAACTGAGCTTTTTGTTTTTATCTGTCTTTTATGATGAAATGTGAAAGCGCTTTGTAAACTTCTGTTTTTAAAAGTGCTTTACTAGAGAAGCTCTGGAGGGGGTGTCTGACTCGGTGTTACGGTGTGTTTGACCCTAAATGAACCTTCTCTCCCTTTAAGTCGTGGAAACACTCGTGTAGTTTTCTTCTTCTTCTTCTGTCGTCGTCTCTTCATTCTCTCTTCTCTGTAAACTCACAGAGACTCTCGCTGATTTCCCACTCAGGTGTGTTTTTATGAATTTCACTCACAGCATCAGATGTGAACACTAAGATGTTCTCCTGTCACATTTTGTTGATACTACATTTCCCATAATGCACTTCGAAACCCTACAGGAAATCAGCTGCAGAATTAAAACCCGTTTTTCAAACTCTGAATGTTAAGTTTCTTTCTCCCTTTAAGGAGCTCCTTTCAGACGAACCTCCTGCTCTTCTATCGGAGTTTCGTGTCTTTAATATAATGACAGTTAGCTCATGTCAGTAAACGGTGTAATGTCCCTTTAACCTTTCACACCAACATCCTCATTAAACTCGCGTTTTCAGAGCTTTAGCGGCTGATTCACATCTATAATCACACACAGATCTGCTATTATGTTCTGAAATAAGGGTGTAAATGTGGGAGAAAACTCCTGTTTTATTAAAAATGTCTCTAAAGTTTGAATGAAGCTAAGCTAACTCCTGATGTTAGCAGCTCAACAACCTTTAAACTACCGGCTACAGAGAACCAGCTCACACAAACAACACCCAACTACATGTAAGTACGGCCATAAAAGAGCTCAAATGTTCATTAATGTCAGCTCAAACCTCTCCTTATATTAAAGAAAAACACGATGCTAACGGTTTCTACTCACGTTGTGGTTTCCAGAGGACGATGCGCCCGGAAGTTGTATTCGGCAACACCGTAGAGGAAGACGGCAGCTAGGTCCCGCCTTTTTTACTAAAGAGGAGCTATGATTGGATAGACCGGCGTGATCCGCATATTCTATTGGCTAAAGCAACGATCAGTCATTTTCTTGATTTGATCACAAGAGGGCGTGGTTTTACCTTCACGACACAACGCTCATACTCAAAGAGGATTCGCTAACTGTGGTGAGGTCACTCTAAAAGGGGCGGGCTGTTATATTTGAAAGGTTGTGATTGGCGGAGAATCTCGCCGTAGGATATGATTGTGTTGCAGACGGTTTGGATGAATGTTTGTCAAGGTCACAAAGTTGGAGAGGAGGATATGAATTTACATTACTATCATATTATTATAATAATATTTATATTTATTTATAATATCTATACAAATAACGACTTTATTATTATAACAATTAAGTTTTTATTCTTATCTAACTTTTACAGAAAGGTGCTTTTTTCCGTTGGTTTCTTTTTTACAGACATCATTTCTATTCAATTTGGAACATTAAACATCAAATATAAAAACAAATAAAAATTTCTTAGAACTGAGTTCAAAACACGATCCTGTTGGTCGATTATTTTCATACAGTTATTTTTAAGACCTTCAGTTTTCCGATATCCTCATGAGAATACTGTTCTTTAGTATTTGCTGTAATACCAGCTTGTTTCTTAAAACTCTTACAGGGTAACGGTGTCTGGTTAAAACCAGAAGTTTACATACACTATATTATTATTGAACGAGTGAAATAAAGTTTGACTTATCTGTTCTGTTTGGTTTAATGCGCTTTATAATCTGGTGCGCCTTATGTATGAAAATAGACGCGAATAGACTCGTTCATCAATGGAGCGCCTTATAGTGTGAAAAATATATAATTTTCAGTTTTTTTCTTCTCCTTTTTCTTGTCTTGGTTCCTCTCAAATGAACGTAGCTTCCCCATGTTCAGTTCTAAAGATTCATTAGTGCGATAATGTTCTATAATGTTCTGTTCGACGTACAGAGCCGACAGCCCGCACTCGGCTTGAGTGTGATGACGTTTAAAGCTTTTCTAGCCAATCAGAGGCGAAGGAGGCGAGACCTTTTCCCCTACCGTCCTAAAAAAATATCGCATTTGTCAGAAAGGCTTCAGCTAAAATACTAAAACTTAACTTTTTATTTCTTTGAGAATAAAATACAAACAAACGACAAGAAGCAGCATAAATTTAAGTCCAGATTTATTCACTTGTATAACCCCCGAGTTACAACAGTAGACGACAGCGTGACGGACAAAAGATACCGTACATCTGTTCATTTTTGTAATGGTGAAAAAAATAAAATAAAAACACGAACAATGCAGGAGTGACCATTTCTGCAGTGTTACCCGATCATAACTTTGACTTTTACAGAACAGAGAAACAAAGGTATGAAGAGGGAGGAAAATAAACATCCTAACCATTCCATCTGATTTTTATTACAACTCAGTCCAAAACGATGCAAACGAACATCTTTTATTCTGAGTGGAAATCTAACGAGTGAATACAGAGGAAACCGAACGATGAAAGGATGACTGCGGGACAAACGAAGACGAAAAAACGACATCAGTGTGTTTGATGGATAGACATCTTTGCAAAATAACTACGCTTGTCCCCACTCCGCTTCGTCCATGTTAAAAAAAAAAAACAAAAACTGTTGTAACTTCATCACCAGCGACGTAGAAACAAAATGAATTCTGTTGTCTGTCCGTGCTGCTGCTGCTGCTGCTGCAGAGGGGATACTGCTGCGTGAATTTACTCGGCTCTCTGCTCCAATTCTGCCGAGTCAAGCCCGGGTGAGTCTACGTTAGTGCAGCAAATTAAGAGACCCGATTCAGTTACGCTTCGCACAGTAGAAACATTAGAGGCACCTCAGCTGTTAATACTAACTTTAAAGTCAAAATGTTCTTTTTTTCTTTTAATTTCGTCCAATTTTTTCAGCTTCTGCCTTCACTTTTGTACCCGAGTCCTCACCCTCTTAAACAAATATCCCTCCCACCCTGTTTGCACTCCTCCTGACTCCACAACCCGGAGCGCAAACAAACAAACAAACAAACACACAATCTAAACACATACAGACACCTGATGACGACAAACAGCCCACTCACTCAACATTCAAAACAGCATCTATCCTGATCTCCTCTGTGACCACGAATCAAGAGTGAATCTACTTTATAAATCTGCTTTTTCTGTTCAAATGAGAGTGAGATCGAATCACTCCACCGCAGCTATTTTTAGATCTCTGCAGTCGCTCCGGTGGGCAAAATTCATGAGAGCTGAAGCTATTTTTAGACGACAACAACATCCAGGAGACGCTTTTACCATCTGAAGAGTCACTTACATCTCCTGCAAGTCAGAAGTCTTTCTTTGCACAGCGAATAAATCTATAATCTCTAATTCTGAGTCACAAAGGAGATGATAGACGGTCTGTCAGGGACGTGATAAAGGAAAGAAAAAACAAACAGACGTGGAGAGAGAGATTCATGTCCACAAACGTGAACTCTGGGAGAAAAAGGAAGCGTGAAGAAAGTAAACCGAAGACAAAAAAATCACATCCCTGACTGCGCAAAACATCCAAACAACATATTTATGACGGAAACACAAGACAAAGAAAGTCGTCTGTTAGGTTTACATGCAGCTTCACGCTGGAAAAGAAAGCGGTTATTTTTATTCTGAATTGGGAGTAACGTTGGCTGGAGGCCCCTGATTATCAAACTGATTCATTCTTTAAAAAACGACACCTGGAGGGTCGTCTTCTCGGGGTCCTGACGATATTTTCAGCTCAGGAGAGTTTGGGATTAATTCAGCTGCATGTAAACCAAACGATTCCACACAAACGCAGCTTCACACACACACACACACACACATTTCACACACTCTCACACAGACACACACACACCTTGTTCAAACAGCTGCTTGTACGTACTTCTCACACACACACACCTGGAGGTCTCTGTCACGCTCACACACACTCGTACATTCTCCTTTTTGGTTTTGCTTCAATGTGAATCCTGAAAAATCTATTTCATGAAAAAAGGAAAACTAAACTCCTCCTCCTCTTCTTCCTCTTCTTCTTGTTCCAGCAGGAAAGCGAAGTATTTTCTCTTTTTCGTTGTTGTTTCATTGATAAACGACTCGTGTAAACAATCATTTACAGTTCTGCTTCCTCTGAACGACTCCGAACACCTCGTATAAAGATTGCCGAATGTGAAGAGGGGACAGAGTTGCTGGAAAAACAAACGTCAGCGCTGGAGTTCAACGCTTCAAGGCTTTCCAGAAACTCTCTCCCGCTAAACTCGACGCTCTCTCTGGCGCTTAAATCAAAGTTTTGTTTAAAGTTTCGACTCCGAATCAAAGTTTTTGTCTTTCCTTTTAAGCACCAGAGAGAAGGAAAAAAACTCCAGACGCCGAGACGCCGTCTGATGAAACACTTGGCTTCTGAAAACCCGCCAAAATAAAACCTCCAGAAGTTTCCCAGTGCTAAAGCCTCACAGCCCCGCCCACCAGCCCCGCCCACCCCCTCCCCTTTTTACTGCCTTAAGCAACGTCAAAAAATAAATCTGAAAAAGCAAAAATAAATTCTTTTTTATGTCGTTTTTTTTCTTTTTTTGTGTATCGTTGTTGACGCTCTGTAAGGGGAGGAACTAAAAATAAAGAAGTCACAGCTGCCTGTTCAAAGATGCTACAATTTTGCTTTCAAACACAGAGCCCCCCCCCCCCCCCCCGAAAAGAAAAGATCACGTCGGTTAGAATCAGAAAACAAAAGCTGAGAAAGAGAGAAACATAAAGCGATCGCTGCTGCCGCCGCCGCCGCACAGACTCCACCCCCCTGTTTGATTTCAGCTCAGGTGAGTGTCGCTGTGGTCCCATGAAGACTGGGCAGGTGGTCCGTAAAACCGTCTCTGATCTGGGACACTAAAGCCGAAGGAGGAGGAGGAGGAGGAGCGGCGGCAGCAGCGATCCGTCGATGTTTAAGAACACAATGGCGACTTCTACATTCACCAACTTCAATTTCGTCCTGATGACGGGGCGTCAGAGAAGGTTTCCGCTCTTGTTCTGAACTACTCTGCATCTTCGAAAAGAAAAACGTGAAGCTGTGAAGAAGTTAAACTCTCGTTTTGCACCAAAGTCAACAAAAACCTCTACTTCTCTGACCTGCTAACTCCAACGCCGCCGCCGCCGAACACCCGGGTCTCTAAAAGCTGCTCTGAAGACGCCTCCGATGCATTTTTCCAAGAGAGGAAACGCGGTTTTCATTTAGCAGCGTTAGAGCGCCGTGGTTCGACAGTTCTCCCCAGACCAGTGTGAGCGTGTGTGTGTGTGTGTGCGTGTGTGTTAAAAAACCTCCAGACAGCAGCCGTAAGGTAACAGCATGAGGCTGTTCGCAGGCTAACATCCATGAATCAGCATGAGGGGGCGGGGCTTTAGGAGTCCATGTTGGCGTTTTATTTCGAGTGAAAAGGGAAAAACAGTCACGCAGTATTGAAATAAAGCTGCCCTTTTTATTGCAACGTTCACATTAAAAATAAACGTTCACATTCAGAATGAGTGTGTGTGTGTGTGTGTGTGTGTGTGTGTGTGTGTGTGTGGTCTTCTTCCCTTGCATATCGGATGTCTGAATAAACTCGGGTTAATCTATCAGATTCAGATTCTGGTTTTGTGCTCGTTTTCTGCTGCGTGACAGACGACAGCAGGCGATGGATGGATGAGTGCACACGGGAGCGAGCGAGTAAGGCACTTAAGTGAGGACAACAGTTTACGTGGACAGGAGGACGGCTGGTGGAGGTGCACCATAGTAACGTTAAAAAGAGGTCGACCTCTCCGCTGGGAAAGAAAACCGTCGGTGAGAGAGAGCGCTTCGAGGAGCAGCTTTCAGACCCGGTCTGTCGCAGAACGACACGAGGAATACTGAGCTCATCATCAGCAGGGATGCATAGATTTACTGAGTTTGGTGCAAAACGATCAAGTTTAACTTTCTGAACCATTAAAAAAAAAAAAAAAAAAGGTTGAGGCAGCTTTTTTAGAGGATCAGCTAAAGGAAACGTTTGAAAAGAAGAAAAAGAACAGCCTTTACATCCGTCCGACAGGCTCAGTGAGAAACTCCAGAGTCGTCTGAAGCCTGGGTGCAAGCGCTGATGTCTGTGCAAAAGTCCTAAAGGGAGACAGACTCCGGGTTAGGAAGACAGGCTTCATGGTTTTCAGCTGAGACAGAGTCCTCTCAGAAAACCTCCCTCAGCCTCTCACCTGTTTTAGTTGCTGTCCTGTTGGCGTCCTGGTTTCTCCTCCACCTCCTCCACCTCACAGTCGCCGCCGGATGAGTGGAACTCGGCCACGTAGAGGCTTTTGTCGATGCTGCTGGGGATGGGCTTGATGTCGGTCACCAGCTGGTCCTCGATGGCCTTCAGGTTGAAGCGGTCCTCTGATGTGATCAGGTTGATGGCCAGGCCCAGGTGACCGAACCTCCCTGAGGACGAAGAAAGGAAACACGATAATTAAAGACCTGAAGAGAAACTCAAAGTCGAGGTTTGAGGCACACTTCAAATTCGTACCTGATCTTCCAATACGATGGAGGTAAGTCTCAGCGTTCTTGGGGAAGTCGAAGTTGATGACGACATTAACAGCCTGGATGTCGATTCCTCGAGTGAAGAGATCTGCAGGACAGAGGAGGCGTGAGTACGACCCGTTCTGGACTGACAGCGAGCTTTGAAACGGGTCAGAGAACGACGAAAACTTACCGGTGCAGACCAGGTTTCTGCAGAGCCCGTTTCTGAAGTCGTGGAAAACACGATTTCTATATTCCTGAAAAAAAAAACAGACAGAAAGTGTCTCAAAAAAATGTTACTAGGTTTTCAAAGACACGACTTTCCAGGAGACTTCAAATTTTCAACGCATCCGGAACGATCCGATCCAGAAAGGCGGCGATTTTCGCTGTCCGCCAATTCCTGACAGATCCATTTGTGAGGCGAATTTCGTGGCGGGTTACAGACAGCAGGAATCACGAGAACTCACAAGAACCTGCAGATTCACGTTCAATAGCGCAAGAGGCCTGAGGCGAAACGTCTCAAGTAAGTCCAGTTGTCCTTTCCAAAAGAGTCTTAGATTTTGATTTTGATCCTCAGAGGAACAGAAAGAAGTCGGTGTAAATTGACACGTTAACTTGAATGTTTACGATCAGCTACGATCGGCGGACACAGCCTTTTTTTTTTTAAAGCCAACCGTCTCAAATTTGGGTTTTAAGATGGACAGTGATTTTAAATTCGACAGGCAAATTAGCTCCGTAGTGAAATCCAGTTTTTACCATATTAGGCAGCTGGCGAAGGCAAAGCCTTTTCTTTCACGTACGCACTTTGAAACAGTAATCCATGCCTTTGTTACATCTCGGCTGGATTACTGTAACGCACTTTATTTTGGAGTCAGCCAGGCCTCCCTCTCACGTCTCCAGTTAGTTCAAAACGCAGCCGCCCGGCTCTTAATTGGAGTACGCAAGAGGGAGCACATTACTCCCATCCTGGCCTCCCTCCACTGGTTGCCCGTGCATTTTAGAGTTCATTTTAAGATTCTTTTATTTGTTTTTAAATCTTTAAATGGTCTGGCTCCATCATACCTCTCTGAGCTTCTCCACCCCTACACCCCAGCTCGGTGCCTCAGGTCAGCTGATCAGCTGCTCCTGGAGGTACCAAGGTCCAAACGGAAGCTCAGAGGGGATAAATCTTTTTCTGTTGCTGCCCCAATTTTATGGAACGAGCTACCCCTCCAAATTAGAGAAGCCCCCACACTGTCCATTTTTAAAACTCGTCTTAAAACCCATTTTTATTCATTGGCTTTTAACCCTGCATGAGACTCGGCTCCTGTTTTAGTGTTTTATGGTTTGTTTTTAGTTATTTGTTTCTATGTTTTTAAATTAGTTTTTAAAAAACATTGAAGCTATATTTTATTATTAATTCTGCTTTTATTTTATCCATTGTTTTAATTGTTTCTTGATTGTTTTTTTATCTTGTTGTTTTGTCTAGTTATGTACAGCACTTTGTACAGCTGTGGTTGTTTTAAAGTGCTCTACAAATAAAGTTGAGTTGAGTTGAGTTGAGTTTCGTGGCCGTTCCAGATGCGTTGGAAATTGGGGGTAACACCAGGACTCTCTCGACGCCTGGTTTCCACTCTCCACTTCTCTTCCTCTGCTGCGTCTCACCTGCATCATCTTGGCGTGGATGTAGAAGCAGGAGTATCCCAGCTGAGTGATCTTCTTAGCCAGGAGCTCCACCCTCTGAGTGGAGTTACAGAAGATGATGGACTGGTTGATCTGAAGCTGTGAGAGGAAATAAACACAGATTACAGATCTCTGCTTCAACCGGTTCAGACACCTGTTCATGGACGCAGAGTTAGTTACCCTGGAGAAGAGCGTGTTGAGGCAGTGGACCTTCTGCCTCTCTGTGACGTAGGCGTAGTACTGAGTAATGCCCTTCAGTGTCAGCTCCTCCATCAGGTTTATCTCATAGGGCTTCTGAAGGTGCTTAGCCTGCAGCGAGGACACGACAGAGAGTTCAGAGGGCGAGAACCACAGAGTTACAGATAAATTAAATAAATGTTTGTTTTTTTTGGAGGGTAACATTTACTTTATTAAACTAACAAGAACAGAACATTAAAGATCCTTCCAGAGTTGGCTGAGTCGCTCCAGACCGACACGAAACAAACAAACAAACAACTGACACAAACACAGATCTGCAGAGCGAGAGCAGCTTGGTCTGCAGCGTGAGCCGAGCCGTGCCAAATGGCTCCGAGCCATCCCAGTTGGCTGGATGATGCAGCAATTAGCCGGCGACTCACCATGAATTTCTGCACGCTGATGGGGAAGGTTGCAGAGTAGAGCAGGATCTGCCTGTTTTTGGGCAGGAAGCTGATGATGTCCTCGATGAGCACCACGAAGTCCTGAGACAGCAGCTTGTCCGCCTGAAGGAGCAGAGAGACGGTCCAACATTGAGAGTTTCACAGATTCAGAGTTTCTACGTATCTACGAGGACCAAGACTTTAAAATTACCTCGTCCATCACCATCATCTGGACTTTATCCACCTTCGCCACTCCCTTTTTTATCAAGTCCAGGATCCGACCAGGTGTAGCGATGACGACATGCACTGATGTGGAGAGGTGGTCGGTTAAAATCACAACAAATAGAAACAACTTTTCAACTCCAGTCTGCTCCGCCTTTGTCGTCTATCAGAGGTCAGAAATGTCTCACCGGTCTCATCCAGGCGCATGATGTCATCTCGTAGGTTGGTTCCCCCCGTGGTCGCCATGACTTTAACTCCGCCCAGGTGTTTGCTGATCTGGATGGAGATCTGGCTGACCTGCAGTGCCAGCTCACGGGTGGGCACCATGACGAGTGCTGAAGCAGAAAAATGAGTCAGAATCCCAGTCGAGGAATCAGGTACAAAGAGCGGGGCACAGCGCTGTGTTCATCTGTCGGCATTTTCAAACACTCTGACCCTCGTTTATCAAGCCTGTGTACGGCAGAAAACTAACGTACGCAAGCTGCGATGTGAGGATCGGCATTTATTAATCTGCACGTAAGCGCACGCTACGACCAAATCTCACAGGTCTGAGTCAGTGTGGATCTGCGGTGCAGCAAATATCTGTCCCATAAGGACTAATATACAAACCTCAAACCTGTCATTGAGCACAATCAGCCAGATTTCATTAAAGATTAAGACGTAAATAAAATTAATTTGTTATGTCCTTAGTAAATAGGCCTATTTGATAACTCTGCCCAGAAACACCGCCACAGAGCAGGAGCGCCGTTTCAACATGATGCCACTGTGGAGCGCTGCGTTTGACTCCTAAAAGGCAGGTGTCTCTGTCTTGGCCCAGCAGCGGGGACGTTGTTGTTCACTCCTGAAAGGGTAGGGGACATCATTTAGGCCAGTACAGTTTTACACAATGTTGCTCTGGCGAATGGAGCGCCGTTGGCTGTGCACTCAGATCTACGCAAGATGGATAAATGAGGGCCACTGAGAGGAGGACAACATGAAGCCAAGAGAAGAAAACCTCCATGAGTGCCTCACCCTGTATGTGGTCCTTCTTCAGGTCTATTCTCTCCAGCAGAGGGATGAGATAAGCTCCACTTTTCCCTGTCCCGTTCTTCGCTCGAGCCAGAATATCCCGTCCAGACAGGGCGATAGGAATGCTCTCCTCCTGAGTGGAAAAAGACAAACGATGGCGTTTAAGGACGTGATCTCTGACTCAGACAGGTTTGTGTTTTTGTTAAGGGGACGGAATAAAACATGAAAAAAACACCAGGAAACTTTTGAAACACCTAAAGATCTTTTTCTGAAACTTAGTTGGTGGAGATAAAACGCTGACAGCTCGAGAAGTTTGGCAGGAAAAGATATTCAGCCCTGAGCCAAATGAAATGTCCCCCACTCCTACAGCACCTGGCATCCTCAGACATTTTTGTCCTCTGAGTTAGGGCTGTTTTAAGACTTTTAAAGATGTACGGGGTCACTGGTTTGAGCCAAAAAAGATTCTCAAATCTTAACAGAACAAATATACTCAGATATGTGTGATGAAGTAATCTCCTCGATAAGCTCATCCATTTATGGGAAAACTGTCCGCAACACGGCTAAAGAGAAATACAGACTAAAGATAAGTGCTGTAAACGTCTTTGCTGTTCGACACGAGGATCAGAAAAATGTGAACCCACCTGGATCGGGGAGGGTTTCTCCCAGCCCATCTCAAAGATGCCCATCAGGAGTTCTCTCTTGAGACAGTAATCTTCAAACTCGTTTCCCTTGGTGGACGTCACGTCCTGCAGCAGACACACAGAGGGGTTAGATCGACAGTCATGCAGCAGTGTTTTATTCCTGAATCAGAGACAGGTTTGGACTCACTGAGGTTTTGACCCTGTTGTCTTTGGGGGGGAGCTTTAGGCTCTTTTTCCAGTCGTCTCCAAACTTGATTCCTCCTCCATCCTGAGGGGCGCCGCCTGCTATCTGGGGCGCCCCCAAAGCCTTTCCTTGAGTCGTCGGTGCTGGCTGGACTGGAGCTGGTTTGGTCTGTCCTTTAATCTGCCCGTTCTGCTTGTTCAGTCCCATGACGACCGGGCCGACGTTTTCTGTTCTAGCCGTTGCCATTTTCCCTCTTTTCCTTTTTTTTCTCTTAGTCTTAGATTTTTGCCTCTTAGGTTTTTCTTTTTAAAAATTCTCTTCAAAAGTAAAAAAATTAATAAAGCATTAACAAACAATATTCTCTATTCTCTTTTGAAGTCCAAAGCTTTCACAACAGAAGTCAGTTGGTAGTATTTACATATACACACGTACGTGCAGTTCGGTCCCCTTCAACAACAGAGTGACTGACGTACAGAAACAACAACAACTAAATTATGTTTTTACACAAAAGCTCTTCGAAATGAAGAGAAATCTGCATTCATATGCATGAATCTACTTGCCCACAGTATAGAAAAATTATATGTGAACAAGTATCAAAGCAGTTCAAGTCCTGAAATAGAACAACTAAGGCAATCTGAACTTGGGGAACAGCTTCTTCTTCTTCTTCTTCAATATATTCTTATTTCAACGCTCAAACTTCTGTTTCTAGATTGAAAAAGATTTCCTGTTTTTCACTTTGAGTCCATAAGAATTGCTCAGTATCCCTGTCCTTGAAGAAATATGATGTCCAGCTTTGTACAAGTTTTCCCCAAAATCATACAGTCTGTAATGCTCTGTTTACTTCCACTGCGTGGATGTGCGCCGGTCCACACCAGAAAAAATCTTGATCCTGAAATCTGTGATCACACGAGGGGAGTTATCTAGTCCAAAGCCAAAAAGCTTTCCACCCCCTTTTGAGTCCTCAGTGTGTGTTTCCTTTTTCTTCAGTTTTCGACCTTTTCTCCTCTGACACCATAGGTCCTCAGGTCGGCGTGTGAACTATTTGAGTGTGGCTGTAGTAAACCCTCTGCCTCCGCTAGGCCAGCCAGCAACTCAGATCTTCTCTCCTAAAAAGAGACAAAAACAGCAACAAGATTTATACTGAGAGATACTCTGTCCTCAAAGAAAACACTCGGTGTTACAGTGAGTTTGACACCAGAATATCCCTTTAATATCACTTGTCCCTGAACTGTCCTGACGTCTGATGGATCAAAATCTAACACTCTTATGGAAAGGCGAAACATCTCAGGTAAGTCCAGTTGTCCTTTCAACAAAGAACTTGAAATCATAGATGCTGCACCCTCACTTCTAGATAATATCTCCAGGTTTAGGAGCAACATCTGCTGCCATGAAGACCAGGACTTTTTCAGGGTTAGGGTTAACCCAAAATCATTCTCAATTTCCCTGGTGGACTGATGATTGTATATTCAGAAGTGTTCCTAATATTTGCCCCTCTTATGTTTGTCAATAATAAGTATTTCTGATCTACTTGGAGGCGTTTCTAATCAATACCATCTGTAAATGATTGACTCTGACTCTGATTGGTTTACTCTAATTCTGCACAGGTGCCGAGGCAGGTTATCAAAGTCCAAACAATCGATATTTGACCTTAAATCCACCATTCTGGGCTAATTTAAGATGGTAATGAAGTCAAAGTCTAATGTGCAGATTTCACTTTAACTTAAAGTTTTTACTTGACCACAGAAAACTTTCAGCTAATTAACTTCAGCTTCAACCTCCAATCTTCGAATTTTACTCTGATAACCAATTAACTTTTTATTATTGCACTTTAATCCCTTTAAATTGATAAAATAGCTTTTATAATCTGTTTACACTCGCTTTGGTTTATAAGCCAATAACGGTTCAGTTTCAGCTAAGCTAACGTTAGCTCAGAGCTCACTCACCGTAAAGCCGCTTCGACATTAAACTCTAAATATTTAACAGTCTTTAATGAAGGAGTAAAACCCTTTAATAGTTCAGTTTAGACATAGAGATGTTGGATGTAGATTTCGTCTACTTCTTTGTCGTTTTAACGTAAATGCTACATGTTAAAATTAGCACGCTCGTTAGCTCCGGAGCTAATTTAGCACAAATAACTCCATTCGCTAACGTTAGCTCTGCGCTAGCTCGATGTTTTTAACTCAAACCGGACCCCACAATGCCGCGAAAACCTACCTTTCTTTCTCTATTATTTTACCAGGGATGCCAAGTATGCGGTTGATCAGCTACCTTCTTTATAATTCACCGTAATACTTAAATTTGACTTGAAATTAATCGCCTCTATTGTGTTTCTTATTCCTTTAAATCAACATGGTCGCCTTCTTCTTCGTCGTCTCTTCCTCGGTGTCTCTCTCCTGTTTATTAGATATGTCGTCCGCAGTGCTGCCGCCACCTGCTGGCAAACTTGGTTACTGCAGCGGGACGATGTGACCGTGATAGAACTAATAATAATAATAATAATAATAATAATAATGATAAACGTAATAATGAATGGTGAGATAATGTGTCCTTGAATAGGATAGGAATAATAATAATTATAATAATACTACTACTAATAACATTAATATTAACAATAAAGCGAGACAATGTGTCCGTGAATATGATAGGGGTAATAGTTATACAAAATACATAAAAAAATAATTAGATGGTAAAAATAATAATAATAATAACAAAATAATAATAATAATAACAAAAAAAAAACAATAATAATATTAATAATAATAATAATAATAATAGGATATAAATTAAAAAAGGGGAAATTACTGTGCAACATGGATGTTCAGGTCATGACAAATTTCTGACATCTCAAGTGTGCTGTTATTCGGAAACTCTAATACTAATACTCTTTCTAAATACCGCTACAATTACCACAATACATGTAAGATTCGATTCAACTATATGATCATAGATACACAGGGTCTGCGCTAACAGATGAGGCGACACAAAAACTTTCCAGTTTGATTTAATTCAGACTTAAAATATAACAAGAGGTAAATTGTTATTTTAAGAAATTCTTAAACTTTACAGTATAATAATATATTTAAACACTAACTTTTACATTCTGCTGGAAAAATACAAGTCAAAGACCTCCTTGTCAACATACTGTATTGTAAACACATGACAATCTAGCAAAACCAGACCACAGGTTAATTCATCATAAAATATAATAATAATAATAATAATAATAATAATAATAATAATAATAATAATAATAATAATAATAATAATAATATTACAGTGCATAAACATATTTTCCTGTACAAGTAAACTTTTGTGTCAGGTCAGTTTGAAGTAGTAAGCAAAAATATTCTTTCTGATTAGAGCAGCACGTGGAATTCAAGGCACCACAGCTTCAGTTATTAATGTTCCTTTTTACCGTCTCCGCTGAAATATACTCTTTTCTTTTGTAGGTCATATTAGACCTGTTTCTGGGAAGTGTTTAGTGAATCTCTCAATGATTGCTGCCTGCAGTAATTGTTGTGCATTACAGGTTTCAAGTGCAGCATCCCTGTTTCTTCCTATTTTAGTGTTGCATCCTCACAATCTTCCCTTTCCTTACATTTATTGCATTCCCCCTTCCACATAATATCATCTATCCTATATCATAACACCTCCTCGTCATGGTGTCTGTTTCTCATTAAAGCATCAAAAGAAGTCCTAAGCTTGTCATCCTGAGTGGTTGGTGCTCATGTAAGTCTCTGGCCATCTGGGAAGAGACGGCGTCGGGTCTTCTTGCTGGAAAATCTTCCTCATTTGCTCCACACAGATTGCCGAGGCGACCTCAGTCTCCTTGGAGAGCTGCGAGAGGCTGAGGAATCCATGAGGCAGATCCTCCACCACCGTCAGAGTCACAGGCTGGCCCATGTCTCGGAGCTTCTTGGCAAACATCACAGAGTCGTCCAGTAAGGCGTCCAGAGCGGAGGCCTGTGGGGGGAAGAGACAAAACAAATCTACATCAACAGAGCACAGCCTGACTGACGCTGGATTCAGAGTGAAAAATGTAACAAACAAGAATGTTAAATAGTTGAGGTCATTATCTTTAGAAAATCCCCCCCAGTTTCCTCCAGCTCTCCTCTTTTCTCTCACCACGATGTGAACAGGCGGCAGGCCTCTCAGCAGGTTATTTGGAGCCAGCAGCGGTGACACAAACGGGTTCTTGATGATGGGGCAGGTTGTTGGGCGAACGAAAGCCAGGCACTCTGAGCGCAGCGGCTGAAATCCCTCCGGATACTCCATGTGATCTTCACAGTCCTGTGTAGAGCTCTGAGCCGCTGTCTTGTTAGCGGTGTTGCTCTGGGACCTTCTCGGAGATGATGACAAGGAACGAGCTCCACCTGAGGTCCGCGTGGGATCCAGGAAGGACTGGATCCAGTTGGAGGCTCCTTGGGTGAGATCGCTGAGCAGCACAGCGGTGTCTCTGCCCAGAGCGCTTAGACTGCCGCTTCCTACAGCAGGCTGCACTGACTGACAGTCTGCACCTGCGGGGAAGATGATAGGACACAGACAAGAGGTGAAGAAATGAATCAGAGCAACATTTATCCAGATCAAACATGTTCAGGAGACTAAAACAGAGAATCAGACGAGGATAAAATACTGGAGAGTGAAGAGACGACCGCTCAACATTCACAAAAGGACAGAATACACCATGTACACCAGCATTTGACCTGCTCCTGTTTGAATACACGGTTCACATGGCAACAAGCAGCTGTCATTTCTGACATTGCTGCATTCACAAAGCAGGATTTTTCATTTAACTCAGGGAGTGAAAATTTGATTTGGTTTCCCGTCTTCTGTTTCTCCCAAAATATGAAGTTTACACACAAACTTCCTTCGGAGTTTCAGATTTCTGTTGAAGTGGCGCCAGAATGTGCTCTATCATCAAATGAGGCATGAAGCGGCGCTTCTCTAACCCGGTCACACCCACATACCTGCATAGGCGTTAAGGCACTTAGCGAGGACACCTAAAGGCAGCAGCGGGTCAATGAGCGTGAGCAGGCGGGAGGGCGAGGCGTCCGTGGTGAGCAAGGTGGCGGGGTAGGCGACCATGACGCCGTTGGGGACTCTGATGCCGCTGGACATGGCCTTCATGCACACGGTGATGCAGAGGTTTCCTCCGGCGCTGTCGCCTGCCAGACAGACCCGCTCTGCTGTGGAGCCTGAGACACAGACACAGACACACACACAGACACAGACCTGTCACCTGATCGATTCACTTCATTTAAGTCTTTATCAGTGAATATGTAACACCAGGGCCCGACCGACATGGATTTATTTAGGGCCGACGCCGATTATTAGGGGGGGGAAATCTGATTACTGATTCTAGATATCTACAGTAGACTATATACTGTAGATATACTGTAAGTTACTGCTCTTCATGCCGACAGAAAGACCGACTGATCGAACTCGGACCAGAAAAGCGTTTTCAAGTGTGAGGTAGTTACTGGATGAAGATTGTCTTGAGGTCGCTGTAGCGCCATCTACAGGATAAGTCGGGGAACTTTTCAAACGGCGGAACGTTTTCGAAGTGAAACCGAATGTTATTCTCCGCATTTGATTCCTGAAAATATCAGTGATAATCGTCGAGTTTTGGCCGATTACCGATTAGTCTCAAACGGGCTAAAATTGGCCGATCTAATCGTCTCACCGATAAATCTGTCGGGCCCTAATTAACACCTTTTTTTAATAAATGAAAACATAATAAATCATAGAAATTTTCAGCTTTTAACTCAAAACACTTTACTAACTTATTTCCACATGCGCGCGTGTGTGTGTGTGTGTGTGTGTCTGTGTGTGTGTGTGTGTGTGTGTGTGTGTGTGTGAGAGTGTGTGTGTGTGAGAGTTATCCACGATCAGTGTATCATGTGCTCCTCCACCTGGACAAAGAGTAACGTCAAACGGGTACACTTTGTACATGTGTTATCTACATCTGTCAAAGGGAACATGGAGCAACTGTAAACATGAAGACTCTGCTGGTTACTGTACAAACAGCTGTCTGCAGCTTCTGTATGAAGATAATGGCCAATGCTGTACAGTGACACTCATGTTGCCATGGAATCACTTTTTATATACAACACTCAAAAATGCAAATTTGCACAGATTAAATCCTCTTCTTTTTGACTGCTGAATTTTGTAAACAACCGTTAATGTTACATTAACATTTTTTCAACTGAAACTTGTTTGTCAGTTTATTTTTGTTAAAGTCGACACGAACCTGTAATCTTGCAAAGAAGAGTAACACATGGTGATGATGATGATGATGATGCACATACCCAGCAGGTGACAGTTCTTCAGAGCCCAGCAGTAAGCGTAGAAACATTCCTCCAGAGCTCTGGGAAAAGGTGCTTCAGGCGATAAAGAGTAGTCCACAGACAGGATGGGGACGCTCAGCTCCTTTGACCAAGTCCGGAGATAATTCTGATTTGTAGGACAGAGAAACGAGACTCAGCAGATTCTGAAACTGTCCCCCTTTAAGACTGGAAAACCTGGACTGATGACTTTATTTTGGTATCATTATAAAACTAAGAGTTTATGTAACACTGATCACAGGATTAATAGTAACTCTAACACTCTGTACTTTACCTCATGGGACCTGGAGGTCTGGGCCACAAAGCCTCCTCCGTGGAAATGGATGATCAGCCAGGGGGAGAGAGGCTGCTTCTGCACCCACGGGAGCTGGGAGGCCGAGATGGGAGGAGGATCTCTGCGAGATAAGGACAGCAGGTCTTCGCTGTCCTAGGAAGAAAGTCATCAGGACGAGGTTTATAAGGTTTATAATAAAACTCAACAAAAATTCATCTTTTCGGGTTTATTTATTCAAAACTGGAAATGAATGTCCGACTGTCTCATACAAAATTTTGCATCTTTCTTGCTGTTCTTGATGCCTCACCTGTCCTTCTCGAATCTCATGGGAGATGAGGCGCATGTGGACCGGCCCAGGGCCCCAGAGGGCTAATGGAGGCGACACGGAGGCTGTGAGGTTAGGGTCTGATGCCAGTGGGAGGCGCAGAGCGACAGGAGGTACAGTCAGAGTCAAGTTCACCTGAACGGGGCTGGAGGCTATTCTGTTGAAGCCCTGGACAAAGAAGGACGATCAGGAGATTGAGCTGCCTGAACATGAGCGAGTTTAGCTAAAATGAGAGCCGCTCAGGTAATATTTGACCCTGCCTACTGTTATAAGGCCGGACTCTGTCAGGTTCCAGAAGGACTTCCAGAACTGCATGTCCAGGTTCTGCGTGATGCGTTCAAACTCGGCGCCCCGCAGCTCTGGATCGATGACGTACTTCCCTGAAGTGAGGAGAGAAAGGGCAGCCATACCTGGAGAGAGGAAGAGCGATTAAAAAACAGTGACCACGACATCCAAACACCACGTGACCATGAGGAGAAAACAAGACTCACCTAAACCAGACTGCTGTTTACCGTACGTCTCCCCGTATGAAACCATGCTGATGACGATGGTCTGGAGGAACGGACGTAGAGCTGGTGAGAACTGTGAAAATAGAATAGAGAGTGAATGATTGAAGAGCTTTTAAACACTGACTAAAGGTTAATTTCACACTTTTTAAACATGACTAGAAGAAAGCTGCTCTGTTTTTTTCCCCCGCTGACCTGAAAGCCCAGGCAGCGACCATAAAAACAGGCTTTGTGCATGGAGCTGTACTCCTGCACAAACTTGCTGCTCAGGTCCCCGTCCTGCAGGGAGTACAGCTGGCCACACTCGTTGTCGTTGATCAGCCGCTGGGCGAGGTAGAGCAGGGCGCGTAGCTGGCACAGAGCGCTGCAGTAGGCCTCTAACTCTGTGGCGTTGTGGTCCGCCCTGAAGAAGGCGCCGTTGTAGTTCGAGGCGATGTAACGGGCTTTGTGAACGATGTGCAGAAGACAGGACAGCAGGACCTGGAGGAAGAGAGGAAAAGGAGGGAGTCTACCACGAAGAATAAAGATGAGATCGATCATATATCCGTCACTGTTGAGGGTTAGGAAACCGTTCCTCTAATGAGAAGCAACCCTTAAAACGAACGCTGTTTTTTTTGGTTGTTTTCTAGTAAATAAGGGTTGAATTCTTTAAAACTGGTGAGTAAATCCAGGAATTTCACTATTTTTGTTTTCACAAAGAAAATAATCAAAAGAGAAACTGGAAAAATGTCCATAAGGGTAAAAATGTAAGAGCTTGTATTTTATTGTCTTAAATGAAATGTTGAGACAGAAATTCAAACAAAGATCATCCTTCCGCTCAGTCTTACCTTGACCAGGGTGCGATAGCCATTCCCCGGTGTGCGTGCATCAAAGTCATAGTGGTGGTAGACGGCGACGAAGCTGGCGACCACGGGCTCCAGAGCTCGACCGTGCTCCTGAATCTGTCTCATACACGTGACCAGGCGCGTGGCAACGGCACCGTACGGCAAATCAGAAGGCCCACACAAGATAGAAATGTTGTCTTCACATACCGTCTCCAAGGCTGCAAACACGAGCTTGTAATCCATATCTGGAGACGGGGAGAGAGTCACAGAGAGTGAGACAGGCTGGCTAATAAAACCCAGGAGTCAGGAGTTTCTGTATCTCCCTTTATATCTTCACACAGTGGACATGTGATGAGCTCTGAACATGTCGAAGAAGAGAGACCACCTAAAGAGCAAACACGAAGCCCCCTAACCACCACATCTCTCGCTTTGATTGATTACTGTCGTGTTATCTGTTTGGTCAAGGGTTGAAGTCTCAGCACAGTCTGAGAAAAACACTTTAAAACCTAAACAAGCGAACCGTGCTGAGAAGAAGACACACGTTAGAAATCACTGCCACAAAAATATGTGAAGAGGAACTGGATCTGTGCGAGTTCCCTTTTTACTTAACAATATACAAACACAAAAACAACAACAACAACAAAAAAGACTCTTTCTTCAACATATCTGTCAGATTAATCCAAGAGTCTGTTCTCGTTTTCACTGACAAAGGCTGAAAGTGAAAACACACAAATCCACATAAACTAAAACACAATTTTAATCTTAATACATTCATGCTGCTGAAATTAAAAACTTACTCTAGCTCTGCAGAGACGCCCTGGCCTACACGTCCTCTTCTCCTGTAGTTATACAGACAACAACAAAAAAAGGTCACATTTAATGTAAAAACAGTCACTTTCACTCATCAAGTTCCTGAATTTCATGTCAGCATCAAATCAACAAGAAACAGAGTTTACAAAGTGAGGTTCATTAACATTAACACAGTTGTTCGGAGACATCAGTCTGAGCACACACCCACAGCCTGAGGATGAGAGTGAAACCAGGACACTATTAGCTTTGGTAATATTCATAAACACTGGAGGTCTTCTCACAGTAACGACACGTCTGACTGTGAGAGTCAGAGTCAGCAGTCTTTGAGTCTCATGACAGCAGCTGGATTCACATATATATCCCTATAACTGGAAGAAGAAGAAGAGGAACTTTATTAACCCCCAATGGGAAATTCAATATACTATACTCTTAAACCACAAACGCTGAATCTGACAAAACTCTGTATACCATACCTATAAAACCTTCTAATATTTCTTGTATATAAAGCACTAGAACTGTTGGTTACTTCTAAAGATGTAAAATTGTTTTTTTTAAAGCGTTAAAAACCAAAAACAGCAAAATTCCGTTTCCTAACTCGGATATATTTCTGTTGGAAAAGCTCCTTCGTCACTCAAACGGCCACAAACGGAGCGCTTTTCGGGGATTCAGAGTTCAACAGTGTAGCTCTCACAGTGATGCAATTTTGGACAACAATGGAGGTCTTTAACACAGAGGAATAAGCTATACCAGCCTTTGGATACAGAGACACTTGTTGTTAGCAGGATTAATCTGAGAATATTTATTTATTCTGCTGGTAAAAAAGAAGAAAACAAACCTATCAGAAGTTGTCGTTTGAAGAAAACAGATCAATTGTCAGAATTGGGAGGTACAGAGTCCTAATTCTGAGATTTTAATAGTTAAATAATGAGGAAAAAAGTGCTTAATTATGACATACAAGTTTATAATGTGAAATATAAAGTCAAATCTTTCTGAACAGTGAATCCTTCATTGTTGCTTTTCCAGAGTTTTCCTACATTTTCCCCCTCATAAAGGGTTTCACAGGGTAGAGTTTGTTTTTCTTATTTCATAATGCGTCCTAAGATAGCTGTCCGTCATGCACCTCCGAGGCAAATTATAATTTATAGAGACTTGCCATCTTTATATCTTAAACTGGATCACACAGTCTACTGAAATAAACAGTCTGGGTTTATTTGGGTAACTGTGGTCTTCAGTGAAATCTTTATTAGGACACAATATTACAGTCCAAAAATAAAGCAGTGGTTTTAAATAAAATCCCTTTCTTGACATTTTGTATAATGTGAGATTGTAGAGATGTTTTAGGCTTCTTACAGACAGATATGAGACATTCATACTAATCTGTATTTTCAGGATAAGCCTAATGCAAACACAGAAAACACCTGAAATCATTCTTTCCTCATACTTTTCTCTTGTGTGACCCTTTACTCCAAGTTGTAAACTTTTTCATATGATATAACATGTTTAGTCTGGCGTAATGTAAGAACAGTTGTATGTGTGAATATACTAACACAGCTGCAGGTGTGGCTCTCAGGCAGTATTAGTGAGACACATTACAACTGTGGCAACTTAACAGGAAGTTGAAGTTGGAGTGGGTGTTGGTGGTGTAGGGGAGAGTGGGGTAAGATGATCCATTTTTCATATTTGGGATCACTGCATCGAGTCAATCCTAGTTTAGTCTCTAACTCGTGTATCTGCAGATATTTCAGGATGTTGTTCATCCCTAAAACCAACAGAATGAGTGTAAACAGAGCTGTCATCTTGATCATATACTGATCCATTTTTTTCCGATCCAATACGTTACCGATACCTGAGCGTATCGACCGATATCTGATACCGATCCAATCCTACTGTTGAATGAATGAACTGTATACCTCGCCCTGTGAGTGAAGGTATCAGGCTTGACATTAGCCTTGTTAAAAAAGGTAACAAATTAACATAGATATAAGTTTACTTCATATTATTTATTAACAAATAACAAATTGCACTTTAGCACACAGCAAAAAGAAGCAAGACTTCCATGGATTAAATAAAAAATTAATTAAAAGAAAAAAAGACTGGATCGGAACGCTGGATCGGCGTCATTCATCCGATACCTGATCCGATTAATTTGTCAATATCAAAGCCGATATCCGATCCAAATATCAGGTCAGTGCGTCCCTACCCCTGAACTACTATGATGACTTTATTAGTCCTCTAAGATAAAATGGTGGACTTTAATGTTAGTTTTTTGACCTCATGTTGTAGCCCATTGGCTGCGTCATCACAGACAACATCTCTGTACAATTTAGTAGCAGCGCACGCCCTTGTAATAACCCCCGTACCCCGTAAAAACTGTTGTTCAGGACTGCTTTCTTGTGCTTCCTACCCATTCGGCTACTAAACAACCATTGTTCTAGCCTTCAAACAACATTTTTGTTCTCATTCATGAAACACTTAAATCAGGGACATTTTCGGGGACAGGTCATCCAATACGGGGACGTCTGGTCACCTTACCCTAACCCTAACCTTTACCCTTTGGCCCTAACCCTAACCTTTACCCTTCGGCTCATCTTACCCCACTCTCCCCTACTTTACTCCCCTCATGTTTTTTAATGGAGACAAGATGTAGGAGGAAAACTTTTTAAAACATCAAACTTTAGCACACCACCACCTCCTACTGTGTCTCCAATAATTATGGGTATAATAAAGCTTTAACCCTTTTTTACCTCTGTACTGAATCTCTCTCTTTTTAACCGTATTAAAGTGACTGAGCTGCCCTTTAAACCAATGACTCAGAGCTGTCATTAGACTCTCCTCTGTCATCCTACAGCGCTGCTATCACTTTCAGCTCCTGATATCAGCTTCTCCCACTGTAAAAGAACAAAAAAAACGCCCCTCTCTCTCTCTCTCTCTCTCTCTCTCCGTCTCTCTCTTCTTCTTCTCGGTGTTTGTCGCATTTCCAGCCGTTGCTCTTTAACTACCCTGCCTCCATAAACCCTTTAACATTAAACCGTCAGTACTCCCGTTTTCAGTCTCCCACATAAGAACCGTCTTCCACCGTTTAAACTTTAATCCACACACCAACTTGTGGGAGTGAAAACAGCCGCGTCCACCCTGTTGCTTTCGGTTTTACTGTCATGTGTGAACGTTAAAACAGTAAAGACTTCGTGTCACAGCTAGCAGCTAAAACACCGCGCCGCTCAGACGCCATTTCTGCGCCTAAACACACAGAAACGTGAACATATGTGACTCTGAAGTGAGTAAAAACCGCGTTACTCACCTCCACCACCAGCCCGCATCCTCTTCCTTAATGTTTCTGTCCGCGCGCACGCACCAATGCTGGTAACCGTCATGTGAGCAGAGCGCGAGGAGGCGCCGCGCGTGCCCCAGAGCCGTCTAGCATAACTCAACAGGTAGGCGCGAACTTCGTCAAAGCTAACCGTTTCATGAATATATGGGCTCAAAGTCGATTAATATGAGTTGTTTAAGTCGATTAACCGGTTATGTTGTGATACCCTGATATATGACGCAGTAGAATTTCTACATATTTATTAAACTTTTATTTATTTACCTGTATGGGGGAGAGTGGGGTAAGTTGAGCCACCATTTTGTTTGGAAATGGTCAAAGAAATTGATCATGTGACCAAATATTTAGGAGATGGTCATCGATTCACGGAGTCAGTGAAGGTTAGAAGCACATGTGTGAAGGGGTTAGACATTTATTTACAGAAAACAACATTTTTCACTCTATAAAGTGAATTTATATTTAAATTATATTTATCTTTAGTTTGATTAAAATTGTGTTCAGACCAAAAAAGATCATTTTAAATTTGTTTTATACATCAGTTGTGGTATCTATGAGCTACAACATGAGGTCAAAAACCTAACATAAAAGTGCACCATTTTATCTTAGAGGACTATGGTCAACTTACCCCATACACGGGGTTAGTTGACCATAGGAGACCACGTTTTTTGGCATGCTATATTATCAAGACAGTTCTGTTTACACTCATTCTGTTGGTTTGCAGAACATCTTGAAATATCTGCAGACACACTAGTTAGAGACAAAACTAGGATTGACTTGATGTAGTGATCTAAAATATGAAAAATGTCTCATCTTACCCCACTCTCCCCTACACTACTGCAGCCCTGACACTCTCTCACCCCTCTGAACCAAAGGTAAATAATAAAAAGTACAGACTAGGTATCATATCTAAATCCAGAATAGATATATTCTTTACAAGGGGTGCAACAACAGGTATTACAGCAATATACGAAATTATATTCACTAAGGACACTAACATGCATTTGCAAAGTAAAATAAACAAAGAATTATAATTTTTAAAAGTCTTTCAAAAGTTTCCCATCTGTTTATTTTAATGTACAGCCGATTTGGTCTCAGCCATTTAACTCCAGACCCCTGTGGTTCCTACCAGAGGGGTCTGGACTGTGCTGATAAATCAACACGACATAATAGAAAATAGAAATTACACAAGCAAGGCCTGCAAAATAACGCAGTAGAGTGAGGAAGGACATGCTTGATATATCTGAAGTCTGCTTAAGTTTTGGGTATTGTTTCTGTAAATTAAATTATGTGGAACGTATGTTGATATTTGAACATCAGATTATTTCAGAAAGCTTCACTGTGAAAATGATTTAGGTCCAGTGATATGTGTTTGCTGTTTGTATTGTTCTAGTTTTGTTCTTTTGTTTTTGTCCTGTAGGCTGTTGTGGGTTGTTGTGGTTATTGACGTTGTCTTTGTGTTTGTGGTGTGATGTTTTTTTGTGTCTTTGTTCTGTTATGTAGAGCTAATTGTAAATGTAGACTCCAGGAAGAATAGCAATGGCCTTAGCCAAAGCGAATAGAGGTCTAAACCCTCACTTATAGTTAAAACCGTGGTTTTAAACTTCCACCTTAAAAAATTGCAGTGTGTTTTTGGGAGTCTCTAGTGGCCATCTGACTGTTTGCAGCACTTTAGAAAAATAAAATTCAATGTGTTTGAACTTTAAGGTCATGAATTTTTAATTAGATTGGTAATTTAATGTGAGAGATCTAAATTCTCTGTCACTGTTTTCTCTCTTTTCTCTGAAGAGTCTCAACAGTATTCAAACAGAAGATGTCAGTGATAAACAGACGTATGAATGAGGTAAGTTACAGATATGATAGTGATCTAACTTTTCTGATGTAGCTCCTCTTTGGAATATCCATTCGGAGGTTACTCCCACCAATCAGACTAAACTTCTAACGGGGTGTGGCGGTGACACTGTGAGTTACAATAAACTAAAACAGTTATATTACTTCATTATTTCTCCATAAATAGCCACCTTTGTGATTTTGTGTTTTCCTTTGCTAATGAGTCAAACTCCTCGTCCCTTAGCTGACTGGTGTCTATCGGGTTTAACTGTTCTTATGTAACAGCCTTTCCTCTGCAATTTGACACCATAAACAGCCCTGAAGCAAACGATGACAGGTCGATGGTTTTTAAACAGATACATTCACGAGTGGGAAAAATACTGTTGTGTTTCTTGTGCTAACTTTCACACATTTTAATCCTCATCCGGACACATCTTGGTCATTTCTTCCTCTTCGTGACTCAGCATTTCTAATTGTAAACTACATTTCCATGTAACATATGTATGTCGCAGTAGAGGTAGTATGTGTCTTACTGTTTGCGCAGTCATGCATGAACTTACAATAACAAAGCTGCAGATATAGCCCTTTATGGCTCCACCATTAAGATGCTACAATAGCTATTATGATAAGGAAGACTCCTAATACTATTTTGAAGCATGCAGTGTCGTTTTAAAATCTTTTGTTTGACCAACAAACCCAGAGAGATCAAGTTTACCTGAAAGAACCTTTCCTTATTATATGATTGCAATAAAATTTGGTGCACTTTAGGGTCAAACACACTGTTCTTCCTTGAGCTGGGGCACCCCGCTGTAGTCTGTAACGGACTGGCCTGAGGTCTCACTACAAACAAGCGTCTGCTGGAAGAGAGTAGGTGAGTTGTGTTTAGTCTCTTTGCTAAAGAAATGAGTCAAAGTTAAAAAGATCCTGTTGTCCTGTTGATGAAGTTAGGTGCTGTTCTGAGCATTATTTGTGGCTATAGAGTGGCGTTTTGGTTGAGGGCGTGGCTCTCTGTATTTCTATCCTGCGGTCGTTACTAAAGTTGGTATAACTAGAGAAACAAGCGGTCGACAACATTCATCTCTGGAGGGGGGGTCTAACTCGGTGTTACGGTGGGTTTGACCCTAAATTAATTTTACACCGGAATTTCCCTTTAAGTATCTGTTTTACTCCTGCCTGGCTGCAGTGTAAGTCATAAACCCCACCTCCTCAGTTTACATCTGTTAATAGATCCGTCTTCTATCACAAGTTGAATTCTGTCTTTTAATGATCCTGATTCTCTAGTCGGACCTTCTTTGTATCATTTTGGTTCTTGGGACAAAAACATTTTCCTCGCTCGGTGCAGGTACGGTCTGCTGCCGTAAAGTCAAGTTACGACAATCTAACCACACATTGATTAAATTCCAAGTTTTCTATTGTCGTTGGATACTGGATATCAGGAAATGCCCTGATTTTACATTTCCTCAGTGTGTCATATTCCTGCCACAATATATCCATGGTTTTATTGGAGTGTTCACAATTTCCTAGAACTGTGGTTAGAAATTGACACTGCAGTTTAAATGTTAACCAAAGAGATTTTTACAAAACAAAGGGGGAAATTTCTTGATCAATCTAACCACACATTGATTAAATTCCAAGTTTTCTATTGTTTAGCTACTATAAATTTCCTTTATTCACAAGTTTAGTGACTAATCCTGTTTATTAATCAGAGGTCATCCTTTTGTTGTCCCAAACCCCCCTTGGTTCTCTTGTGTAAGTCCCGACTGGTTCTTTCCAAGAGATGTCCCTGTTGATACCTGGCTTTAAAGGTCAAGTCACAACCACTGATGCTTCCTTGTTGACTGTTAACCTCACGCAGACCCTCTTAATGCCGCTGACCTTAGATACAGGTGTTGGACTTCATCTAGAGCCGGGGGAACAATCGATGCAGCCAGTTTACTCATAAACTATCAACAGAGCTGCCGTGCAAACAGCTCAGGTGGAGCCCATGCTGGTGATCTCCTCTGAGACACCATAAATAAATAAGGGCAAGCTGAGGAAGGACGTGGACTGATTTTTGTGCAAATCCAGAAAAATTTCCATCAATGAAGCCATTTCCTTGTCGTCTACAAAATACAAGGATATCATCCTTAAATTTTGATGCAGATACAAAAGTATTAAAGGGTCTTATTCTCCTTTTTTGTGAGATTAAATATCAGGATGTAAGAAAAGGGAAAGCTCCCTCTTTTGTGTAAAAGTTTGGGATTTTCGTTGGATACTGGATTTCAGGAAATGCCCTGATCTCACATTTCCTTAATGTGTCATATTCCTGCCACAATATATCCAGAGTTTTATTGGAGTGTTCACAATTTCCTGTAACTGCGGTTAGAAACTGATACTGCAGTTTAAATGTTAACCGAAGAGATTTTGACAAAACAAAGGGGGAAAATTCTTGATTAATGACGAATGCAGAAGAAACTGCACGTCCAATCTAAGGTTCATTTACAAGTCTCTGTCACCTAAACACACACGTATAGTGGCGATGAAGGCTCAACACAGTCGTTGTTGTTCAGTGTGGCAACAGGAAGGGATGTTTGGGGTGCAGGTGCGGCTTTCCAATGAGGGAGACAAACAGGTCAAACTGACTTCCTCTTCTTGTGTAAATGCAGACGTTTTCACGAACCCTGAGAAGGTAGAAACACAAAGATGCTCGTTTTTTTTTAAATCCTTTTTATTCAAGTTTTACTCTTTGAAAGTGTCAGTATAGATATATAAGATATAAGCTTTCTTTCCTAGCTTGTATTTACTGTAGATCACATCCCAGTTATTAGTCATTCAAACTGTATCTGAGAAGCAGAGATACTCTGACATCCAGGTCGAAATATATGGTTTTACATTCCCTTTAACACACCCAATAGTGTCTCTTCGTCCTCCCCTGGGTGTGCTGATTTCTATTTAACTGCACAGGTTCGAAACGATGAATTTCCTGGTTCCAAAGAAGGAAATCTGATTCTGGTCTGACGGTAAGAATTTACTGAGAAAGAGATAAAGCAAATCTCAAATTATTGTTTAACTCAGAAATGATTCTGCAAGTCAGGGTGATGATGTCCGATCAGCAAAAGTGAATTACACGCACAATCAACGGCTGTTTTTATCACCAACTACCTAAAAAGAAACAAACATAGAGTGTCCAAATCTATTCACCAGGATTTATGAATTTCATATTTACTTCTCGCCATTTTTAATTCAGGAGCTTTTTGAGTAAGTGTTTTAAAAGCAGACTTAAAATTTTCAGTGAGTAACTTCTTATTTTTGTGTGTTTTCCTCTTTGATGATCAATGTCCACCTGCTCACAGAGCTTCAGCTTCATTAAGGACAGTTTTAGAGCATCAAATCTCCCATTGACTGAAGTGGCCAAACGAGCTGATCTGGGTTCAAAGTGGGAGGTAACAGACATGCATCAGGATGGGCTGAGCTTCCCTCTCTGAGAAAAGGTGATTCAGGGAGGAGAGCAGAGAGGAGGCCACAATGCTCAGGTGTCATAAAGATGTGGGTATGTGTAGGAGCAAAGTGAGGAGACAAAGCACGGGAATGAACGAGCTCCACATGATCTGATATGGACTTTAAGGTTCAGGCGACAGTCTCCATCAGTTTGTGATTTAGTTTTTTCAAAAAGCATGGCAGCAACTTGGAGATTTGCACTTTTTCTCTCATTGTCCCTGTTGGTGTCCAGATGCCCGAGTCTGGCCAATGATGATCACGGACACGACGACGCAGACACAGGACACGACGACGCAGACACAGGACACGACAGCGCAGACACAGGACACGACGGCGCAGACACAGGACATGGGAACTCCTCAAGTTCACAGTCTGGACATGGAGACTCTGGACATGGAGACGGTCATCACACAGCACCCATCACCACTCTGCCCATCGTCAGCTGGAAGTGGCACCATGTAGAAACCCCGTACATCGTGGCCCTCTGGATCCTGGTCTGCTGGCTCTGCAAACTCAGTGAGTCCTAAAATATTTGACTGAACAGCTGATTACACACTCTGTCACAAATTTATCAGGATCACTGAGTTAAAACTGATCAAAATAATCCTGACACCATCCGACCTTTACATGGGTGTAAAGTCACAGACGTTCATGTCTTGATAAAACTTCACAGGTTGGAATTTTTATACTTTTCCATACCCCTAATTTTCAGAATTATTCTTGGAAATACCTATTTTTCTATTTTAGAAAACAGTATTTTATAACTGTGGTAATATAGTCTGTTAACATAAATATTTTTTCCAAACTTTTTAAGACCTGGAAATTGATCAAATTACTTCCATACTGAGGAGCCCTGTTTATAGAGGCTGGGTGGGATGGCCTAAAATAAGACCTCAGTTTTTTTTTCCCTGACAAACTTGATTATTAATGTTCATCATGATTAATAAAAGTTTTTATCCCTAAATTCACCTCTGTAGCCATCAGTGGAGTTAGATGTTCAGATGTTTGCGGGGCTCAATCATCGCTGATTAAAAGCACCGTCAACCTCATGTAAGGCTCTGTGGTGTGACTCGACCATATGTCAGAATCCGTTTCAGCTGTCTCACAATTTTATCAGGCGTTCAGCTGAATGGAAATCTTTTTTTTTGTATTTGTGTTTTTGTGACATGAAAGCGACAAATCGACAAATTCAAGATCTTAAAGTTCTCAGACTCTCTCTTACAGCCGGTAAAACTTTGCTTTGTGCCTTTTTCATTGAGAAAATGTTTACATTGTAATTTCTCTACCAGCCTCTAGGGTCTGTAGCCAAAATAGCTCCTTTGAGGCTGTTTTTTTTTCTTTTTTTGTACGGAAAATTTGGGGCATGTGGCTTCCCCTGGCTGCGTTTATGAGCACCATATCTGCGTGACTAATCATTGTCTAATGCGTCCCTTTCTTCCAATGGGATAAAGTTGGTTTGTTTTTCATGGACCTGGACCATATCGGGGTCTGAACACAGCTTGACCTCTGTCAAAGCACCTGAGTCCTGGAACATGGTCATTAGTATTTCATGTGTACACAACAGACGTAAGTGTTATGTGGCAGTGTGGACAATGTAAATGAATGAGTATGCTGTTTTGTCTGTGTGGGTGTGTGTGTCTGTGTTTGTGTACATCTTCACCAACATAAATATGGGGCTGAATATGATGCAGGAAATGACTCTGTGAAAAACATAACAATGAAATCAGACACGGTTAAAAGGGCGACAGAAGTTACAGTAGATGAGACAGATTTGTCTGCGTCAGAGTTAATCTGTGTCGAAAACGCTTTTCCGGTCCCAGTTTGATCTTCCTGTCAGTGTGAAGAGCAGTAGCCTACAGTTTATCTACAGTATATAGTATACTGTAGATATCTACAGTATACTATATATATATATATATATATATATATATATATATATACATTTTTTAAAATTGGCTAATTAATCGCATTTTCCCCCCAATAATTGGTATCAGCCCCAAAAAATCCATAATGGTCACGCCCGAATAAGAACTGAAATAAGAACTGTTATGACAGAAACGACGCTGAAGAAAACTTCATTTAAAGTTTATTTTCTGATTCCATCTGTTATAATGGAGAAAGACTTTAACTTCATTCAGTCAGCAGGGGGAGCTGTAAGTGTTTTGGCTTCACTCAGAGGGAGCTGCTGTTTCGTCCATGTTTCATACAATCTACAATAGAATAGAATAGAATAGAATATTCCTTTATTGATCCCCCATGGGGGATTTTTTTTTGCCACAGCAGCATCACAGCCAAAGATAGTGCAAAAATGCAGTTATAAAAATAAAGATCGTAATATTAAGAACTTAAATGTTATAATTAAGAAAAAATTTGGAAAAGGAAAAAGGGAGAAGAAAAACAAAAATAAAACTATATACAATATACACAATTGAAGTACCATCTATGAGAGTAATTACACTTATTTGAATCACATATCTTATTCATCACAGACAGGTGACCACTCTTTTATGGTGGTTTTAGAAGTTCCCTCTTAGAACTGTTGAAGGAAAAATTTTGGTCAAACAAACGCTGTCGAGAAGCAAACATCAGCGCCACACCCGAGCAAATTTATCAAGTGAATACAGCCTTTAAAAGTTTGACTGGATACCATTTAAAAAAAATCTATATTTCTCTTAAATGTGAGTGCTTTGAGTTTCAGTTTAAAGAACAGACTTTTTAAAGCTCTTATTTTAAAAAGAAAGTGTCGATAAAGGGACCATTTCTCTCCGATGTTGTTTTCTTTACATTTACATACTTAAATACTTTACATACTCGCCCTCTTTAGAGCTGATCCTCTCCATCCTGAACCAACTGAAGAGCAAGTGCAGATCTACTCATGTGTCAGTTTACCTGTCTGACCTCAGAGGGAAGCAGTTTTATTCCACTTTTTCCAAATAAGCTCTTATCACTTCATATTTCATGATACTGACATGCATCTTTATTCATAGTTTGACTCATCTTACAGTAATTACACAGGGTGATTAAGGAAACACAAACAGCATAATCTATATATCCATGAGTGTAGTCAGACTTTGACACATAAACACAACAATCATAAACTGTATCTCCAGAACCGCCTCCCTCAAAATAACCTCAACTTTACCTCTCTGTCACCGTGAAGTTGACCTCTCTGTTAAAATGTTCACAGAGCCGTGGCCACTGTACAATGATTGAAAGGATTTAATGGAGGGTTTGCCGCTATTAAGTTGGACATATTAGGTCATTAGTTAATAAGGCTGAAAAAGGGCCTCATGCTTGACTGTGCAGAGAGACCAACAAGATATCTGTCAGACATTCAGCTCTCAGTGGGGAGATTCATGTCCACACCTGTACCTGTGTGAGAGCTGCTGACAGGTCCGTCTTACCAATGAGGCTATTGTCCCTTGTCTGGCTCAAACAGGACAGGACTGTTGGGCTTTAAAAAAAACACACACAAAAAAACATCAAGTCACGATGAGCGCGCTGACTGAATACATGCACATGATGAGCAGACGGGTTTACAGTGAATATAGATCTGCCTATTCTTGGGTATCAGTCATGCACAGACCCAACTCTCCCATCCTGTCCTTTGTCACGTGTATCTATCTATTGTTGTCTGTGTCTTCGGTTTGTTGTATAGTGACCGTAGACTGTTTAAAACCATGACATCATCTCAGTTACGTTGCCGATTGATGGCGGGTCCCAGTCGGCCCATCTAGCATAACCACAGACTGTATGTACTCTGGACAACTTGGTTCCACCTCCCACCAGTATATGAATTTGAAGCCGAATGGATGGGCCTCATATTTTTAAGTGAATCAAATATTGCATACGCAGATTTAAGTCAGATAAACTCCTCCGAAGAGTGTCTGTAAACCAGTTTACTTGAATTCCTGAATAAACTGAAGCTTATTATAAGAAAAAAAAACATCCGTATGTCATGAGTCATGGTTGAATTTTATCTCAGCGTCGGTTTATTTAGGGACAGCTAGAGGACGGCGTTCTTCTCTCTATTGAAACACTGGGAGTCTTTAACCAGGATTGAGTAACGCCAACGTCAATCATTACTAAGAACAAAGCTGTGAGACAAATCATTCATTCGCAGGTATTTGTTCAACATCTATCAAATGACCTCTGCTTCATCTTCAACTCCCTCACTCCCACTCACACACACACACACACACACACACACACACACACACACACACACACACACACACACACACACACACACACACACACAGAGTAAATGTGTCATGTCAAACTTCACCGACTACGTTAGATGCCGGAAAATGTAAACAAATGTATGACTGGTGAGTGTGACTGAATAACTGAAGACCCTTCCTGGACATCCGTCACTCCTCCTTCAAATCTCAAACCCAAACACACACACACACACACACACACACACACACACACACACACACACACACACACACACTGACAGTTACTGTTCATATAAAAGGCTGAGAGCAGGACTTTGCAAACTTCTGACTTGGCCGTCTCATCAGACTGTGGGAGAGTTGAGGATACAAAGTGACTGATATAGAAGGATGGAGCGGAGTAAGCGCTGATGACGCTTTAGAGATAGTAAAGAAGAATAAGTAAGACAGGGGAAGCACAACACCAGCAGAGAAGGAGGGATCAGGAGCGTGACAGCTTTAAAGACCGATCATCAGTCTGACATCTGAGATTTTACCAACTTAAAAAAAAGGGATTTATTCTTAAATTTGGAGCACAAGACCAAAATATTGATAAAATGCATCGCTGTGGACACGCACGCCTCTGGCTGTTGGGGTCAGTGTTGCTGATCTGCCTCATCTCAGGGGTCACAGGGATTAAGGGGGACGTGGCGCCTACAAACCGGGACTCCCATCCGTCTCAGTCCAAGTCCAGTTCGAATGGGACTGAACACGGTCATGGCTCCAGCATCACAGGGATACCCATCGTGACCTTTAAGTGGCATCACGTGAAGGAACCTTACCTCATAGTGCTCTGGATACTGGTGGCTGGTTTGGCTAAATTGGGTACGTAAAATTAAGTTTCTACTGATGATCTTAGTCTGCGGGAAACGCCTCTAAAGATGTCAGTCTGTAAAGTCTGTAAACTATTCCTCAGACATGAGATACTCGAGCAACATTTAAAGTTTGAATCTACATAGAAAAAAAAACATTTAAATCTATAAATATATATCTATAAATAACTGACCTGTCTCAGGACTGAGTCTGACCCTGTTTGAAGAGCTTGTGATTGACTTGCAGATGTAACCAAACTCAAAATAGATTGTGATCCGGTAACAAAATCACCTGTAGAGGTTTTCCAGGCCACATTTAGAGTTAAAAATCTTAACAAAGAAAAGCTGGTCCAGACCGTACACCATCAACAAAGACTGGATGTAAAGATAGGATCAGATTGAGTCCCATCCCAGTCTTCAAGGACTGTAGAGCGTTTATGAAGTTAGAGTGGAGAGGAGAAACTTCCAGACTGATGTTAGACAGTCATCTGCTGGGACTGAGTTTAATGACATGATGGAGCTCCTAGAAAAGACTGTGTACCTGTTATTCTATCCAGTAAACCAACCAATCTAAAGGTAATAAACTCTATGTATATGTATATATATATATATATATACATATAATTATTATTATTATATAGATATTCCAATGTAATCTAATTAAGATTATTATTTTTTTTAATTATTATTATTATTATTTTTTCTTTTCTTTTTAAATTCTCTTTTACATATTATATAAATTCCTTCCCCCTCCCCTCCCTCACAAAAGTATTTTTGTAAATTTTTAATTTTTAATCTTTTTGTTGTTGTTGTTGTTTCTGTTGTTGTCGTCACTCTGTTTTGTTGTTAAATAAAAAAAAAAAGGTAATAAACTCTAAGAAGGCGGACAAAACAGAGCATTATTAGTTTAATACGTCCAAACGTGTTTCACCAAAGTCTGCAGGTAATGGTTTGCCAAGGAGGACCTCCATTAACGAAGCTATAGTCCTTTCTTTAATCACTCTGGTTAAGAGTTTATATGCCAGATAATCAGACCCAGTCCACACACAACTCAATCTCCATCTTCTGGACCAGAATTCTGCGAAGCTTCACCATCCCCGTCTGTCTTCTGCGCTTATTTACATGGACTCTGGGCGTCACGGCTAATAATAGGAAGCTGATTAGGAATGATTGTTCAAAGCACTCGGCCGTGTGTGCGGCATACCTCTGAAGATGTAACAAAACGTGGAGAGACGTCTGTGTTATCGAGGCATCGTGCTGTTCCTGGGAACAGAAGAGTTTCTTCTTCTGAGCGGCGTGTTTGTTCTGGTTCAGATTTCACTCATCAAACAAAATCTCACTTTAAGTTTGCTTCAGTTTAATCAAATACGCTTGGAAAGAAGTTATTAAAACAATAAAAGGGAGAAATTAGAGTTTAAATTGGCTCCAACGGTACAGTGGGTTTCAGATACACTTTAGTGAGACTTTTAATGGTCTTTAAATATGAGCAACAATCTGTCTTTAATGAACCTTCATCTGCACCGCCATGTTGGTTAATCATACGCCGAGAACAAAAAGTGCCCCTTTAAGTTGATCATTTGCAGATTTTGCAACCTGACAGAGACGCTCTGGTTGTTTGGTTTAGTTATGACGCAACTTTAAAACTCTTTCAGCCCCAAACTTCAAATCTTAAAGCTCCAGTGAGGATATTTTATGGGCTGTAAAATCTCATCAACATATTACATTGAATTTGTGTTTTTACCTGTTTTTAAAGAATCTGTCCCGTCTTCCGTTCTCCTCTTATCTTGCAGTCATCGAGGCCAACCATCATGTGACGAGCATCATCCCAGAGAGCGCTCTGCTCATCTGCTTCGGCTTCATCCTGGGTGGGATGATTTGGGGAGCAGACAGGCAGCAGACCTTTAAGCTCACCCCGACGGTGTTCTTCTTGTACCTGCTGCCTCAAGTCATCCTGGACGCGGGTTACTCCATGCCCAACAAGCTCTTCTTCAGCAACATGGGGGCCATCCTGGTCTACGCCGTCATCGGGACCTGCTGGAACGCCGCCACTGTGGGGCTGTCGCTGTGGGGGTGTCACATGGGAGGAGCGATGGGTAGGAGGGATACTTGCTTTATTTGGCCTTAACTTCTAGAACAGGACAAGACGTTTGTCCTTCAGTGACCTTCTTATAAACTGCTCTCCTTATTCATCTTTACTCAGTCTAAACTCACAGATCAGATATTTTTAACGTCAGTGTGACTAAGAGTTCATTTTCTACAGTCATTCCTGATTACTCCATTATTTCACTCAGATAGTGTGTAAATAAAGACACACCCCTTCGCTCCACTACGTTCCTCTGAATCAGAGATGTTCAGAGCCAGAAATAAAACTGACGTAAACTCTTCTCTGCAGAATCTGTGTCTGCGGGGCGTCAAATATCAGGGTGACCAGACGTCCTCTTTTACCCCGACATGTCCTCTTTTTTGGGGGCTGTCTGGGTTTGTCCTGCTTTGTCTGGGAAGCAATTTTTTTTTTTCGTAGGAGGGTAGGGGAAAATCCCGCCTCCTTCGCCTCTGATTGGCTAGAAAAGCTGGAATCATCACACGCACAAGCCAAACACGAGCTGTCAGCTCCGTACATCGGACAGAACATTACAGAACATTATCGCACTTCTGAATCTCCTAACCTGACAGACGATGACGTTTCACAGCCATTAGAAATAACCAATCAGAGCCAAGCACTTCTAGCCAATCAGAGGCCAGAGGGGCGGGGCCTTGCCCTACCATCCTACTAAAAAAAAACGTCCTGTGAGGTCTATAAAAGGATCTATAAAATCCTGACGTAAAACTCTCAAAATTAACTTTGTGCGACTCTGTGACTCCGCCCCCGTGTGGTCGTAGAAGTTAGAAGATGGTCGCCCTGGAATATGACATCTACTGGAAGTTACTTAGGGGAACTTTACATGAAAACCTGATCGTCTCTCTCGCCCTGGTCGTTGTAGGTGACCTGGACATCGGCCTGCTTCAGTATCTTCTCTTCGGTAGTCTGATCGCTGCTGTGGACCCCGTGGCCGTCATCGCCGTGTTTGAACAGGTTCATGTCAATGAGGTCCTCTTCATCATGGTCTTCGGAGAGTCGCTGCTGAACGACGGCGTGACGGTGGTACATATCAGACGATGTTTGACCGTGGACCTGACCGTTCCCTGTTTGTTTTCCAACATTTTACACGCTGATCTCTGTTCTTCTTCTTCTTCTTCCTGTCTCAGGTGCTGTTCAATGTGTTTGATGCCTTTGTGTCTCTGGGAGGAGCCAAAATTGACGCCGTGGAAATTATTAAAGGAATAAGTAAGAAATCAACGCTGGTGTTTTGGTTTTCTGAGAGTTATTCAGATAAAAACTCTGAAAAACATTCGTCCTCTGTCTTTCTCTGTCTCCAGTTTCCTTCTTCGTGGTCGCCTTCGGTGGTTCCCTTGTGGGCTTCATCTTCGGCCTGCTGATCTCTCTTGTGACCAGATGCACTAAAAACATTCAGATCATCGAGGCCGGTTTTGTTTTTGTCTTGGGATACCTTTCGTACCTGACCGCTGAGATGCTCTCACTGTCTGCCATCCTCTCGTGAGTAAACTAAAGATTTATTTCTACCTTTCCTGTTTGTTTAATCAAGTTTGTAAAAGTCAGAGTGAGTTGTTGAACGTATCGAATCGTCCGTGTAGGATCGTCTTCTGCGGTATGTGCTGTCAGAAGTACATCAACGCAAACATGGACGAGCGATCGGTCACCACGGTCCGATTTGTCATGAAGCTTTTAGCCAACGGGTCGGAAACCATCATCTTTGTGTTCCTCGGGATCTCAGCCATCGATAAGGCGATCTGGGTGTGGAACACGGGCTTCATCCTCCTCACGCTCCTCTTCATCTTCGTGTACAGATTTATCGGTAAGAGTCCGTCTGTACGTTTTTCCAGCGAACCTCGTGTTTAATTTGTCGAAGGTCCTTAAAGTGGATGTTTGTGTCCTTCAGGTGTGTTTGTCCTCACCTGGATCCTCAACAAGTACAGACTGGTCCCCATTGAGTTCATAGATCAGGTGATTATGAGCTACGGTGGCCTGCGAGGGGCTGTTGCATACGGTCTGGCGACGATGCTAGATGAGCACAAAATAAAGGAGAGGAACCTGATGATCTGCACGACTCTGATCGTGGTGTACTTCACTGTTATTCTTCAGGTAAACACTTTTGGAAAATGGAAAATTGTATTATTAATATTTATTAACACATAATTAATTATTTATTATTAACACACTCCACAGCGCCTTCTTTGTTATTGAATATATATATATATATATATATATATATATATATATATATATAATACATAATATATACACATATATATATATATATATATATATATATATATATATACTGTATATACACATATATATATAAAAATATATACATATATATATATATACACATATATATATAAAGATATATACATATATATATATATGTATATATTTTTATATATATGTGTATATACAGTATATATATATATATATATATATATATATATATATATATATATATATATATATACACATATATATATAAAAATATATACATATATATATATATATATATATATATATATATACATATATATATATAAAAATATATACATATATATATATATACAGATCTACAGTATATATATATTTTAATAACTTCATAAAAATAATTTCAAAAGGCGGCTGAAGAAATCGGTATCGACGTCGGCCCCAAAAAATCCACATCGGTCGGGCCCTAAAATTGATCACACACCGAGGATCCAAGCCTGAACATATTCCTATGAAAATGTCATCCCTGTCATAGCGCCCCCTACATTCAGCAGCCTGATCCTATTGAAAATTGTCTCTCTTTTCCAGGGAATAACGATGAAACCTTTGGTCACATGGCTCAAAGTGAAGCGGGCCGCAGTGTCTGAACTCACTATCGTTGAAAAAGTCCAGAACAAGGTAGATCTTCACTTTCAAAACAGTCACATCAGACTGAACCACAGTCTGTTAACACCGGATCTTCTGCTTTCTTTCTAGGTGTTCGATCACATGCTCATCGCCATAGAGGACATATCAGGACAAATCGGACACAACTACATGAGGGACAAGTGCGCAAAGCAAAATCTTTACCTCTCTGCTCACCAAAAGTTGTACTTATCTTTTGTTTTCAGCCACGATTGTCTCTTGTTTTACGATAAAGGTGGAATCATTTCGAAGAGAGCTGGATGTCAAGAGTTTTGATGAAGCCGTCGGCGAGGAAGAACCGCGACCATCTCTTCAGCGTCTTCCATCAGCTGAACCTCAAAGATGCAATGAAATACGTGACCGAGGTGAGCGTTGTAGTTTTTGTCTTACAGCTCCTGTGAGACGTTTATTCATCTTTAGTTCGATCCTTCATGACCCGTGTCTCTTCGACCTGGTTATTCCAAAGTTTGTCCTCTAAGGACAGTTTTCCTCCTCCTGCAGGGTGAACGTAGAGGCTCTCTTGAGTTCATCCGCAATGAAAGCGCATTCGTTGATTTCAAGAAGAAGTTTGGCGACGAATATTCAGAGATCATGCCCGACGTCACGGCTGATACGTCTGACGATCACGGTGGGATGTCTGCGATGAGGTGAGGAATCCAAATTCTTCGAAACCATCTTCAGCTGCTCGATTGTTTGAGGAGCAAAATTCTGAGTTCAAAGTTACTGATGTTGTTGTTTGTTTTTCTGCTGTAGAAGAGATCCTGTCCCATCAGTGAGTCTGGAGCTCCATGAGCAGGGCATGAACGGTATGAGGGAGACGGAGGACGTCAACACGCACCACCTGCTGCAGCAGCATCTGTACAAAGGCAGGAAACAGGTCGGCATGTCCGTCACAGATCGACATTTAAAGGGAGTTAAATTAAGTTAAATGTAGTACCTAAAGGCTTTCCAAGTTACTAACCTGAACTTAGAGTGTAAATATGATAACGTGTCTATGAACGTCATCTCTTCTTTGTGCCCAGTCTAATACCCGCTTGTATTTTCTCATGTTTTCTGGTTCATAGCACCGGCACAGGTACAGCCGCACTCATTTCGATGTCAACAAGGATGAAAACGAGGTGCAGGAGATCTTCCAGAGGACGATGAGGAGCCGTTTGGAGTCCTTTAAGTCTGCAAAAATGGGTGTTGCACCTCCAAAACCCATTTCCAAGCACACAAAGAAAGACCAGCAGCAAAAGGTCTGAGTCTGAGTTTATCGATAATAAGACGAACCTGTTTTACATCCTTTTAATATGGACTTTATCAACTCTTCTGTAGATGCCAAATGGAAAATCACTGGAGAAAAGTAGGAGCTACTACTCTGGAGATGAAGGTTAGTCTCTCTTGACTCTCAGTAAAACCTCATATGAACCTTTAACCGAACACGAGTTTGATGAAAACGCTCTGAATTGGCAGATTTTGAGTTCTCAGAGGGAGACAGCGCCTCAGGATACGACTCATCAGGAAACTCGTTCCCCATGAGGGTCACGTACAGAGCAGGAGGTGAAATATTCAAACTCTACTTTAATGTTGTTCATACATAGACGTGTTTATATTCGTCTGCAGTAGTATGTAGTCGAGCTCCGAGTCTGTAAATGTGATTTTATTTAATTTCGTTTCCTGTTTCCATCCAGCCGGCATCGAGAACCCAGCCTTCATGGATGACCTGGACCCGATGTCAGTCGTGCAGATCCCCCCGTGGCTGGCGGAGGCGGAGCTCGACAGCAGCATGGTGGCTCCCTCTCAGCGAGCTCAGGTGAGGCTGCCGTGGACGCCCAGCAACCTGCGCCGCCTCGCCCCCCTCCGCATCAGCACCCGCTCCAACGACTCCTTCATGATGGCCGACCCTTCTGCCGCACAGCAGAGGGACGAGGACCAGCTGCCCCCGCCTCCAAGTCCACCACCACCACCTCCTCCACCCCACAGAGACTGAGGTCTCCTTCAGCCCTTCCTCTCCTCCCTCCACCTCAGACTTTGAACCAGCTGCTCTTAAAATATTGACCAGCAGAGACGGTTTCCTCTCGGGTTTAATCGGAGTGTAGACCAAACATTCACAGTCCTGTAACCTTTGCGCCGCTCTTCTTCATACTTCACCGAGCAGAGCGCCGCCGCACGTGAACCGAGACGCTCTGTCTGTATGCACAGTGGCATCTTATTCACCAGGACATGTTGAACATTGTTTGAAAGTAAACTGTGCAGACCTTATGAAGAAACCTTTTCACCAATGTAGATATTTAAAAATGTGGGTGTTTTTAAAGATACTTACTGTAGAGTTAGTGTTACAGAAATGATTCCACCTCTATAATCCAAATATTGTCATTTTATGTTTTCTTATTTGTCTCAGAAGAAGAACAATGTAAAAATATGACATGTACTGTATGAAAAAGTTCTATAATATTTATTCCAAAATGAAATCTGATTTTACTGTTACATTTATTTATTCCACTCGAACTTCGACTGACTGTGTTTCCCAAACTTTTCAGCTCATGACCTGAAAAAGTTACAGTATTGAGGACTGGAGACCAGAAACAGAGAAGTCCTTTCATTATTCTGCTCATCTGAACACGTTTTTGACACTTTTGAAATGTAAAGATGATTAACTTAACTGGTAAAAACACACATTAAAATTTTCAGACATATTAAACGGTAAAGAAGCTCCATCTGTCGTCACATGTAGTCCATTTCCGATGTTTCCAGCTGCTTTGTGACATAATCTAATAAAAGTTTTTCATTCCCAGGATCCTTCAGGTAAAAATGGGATCCATCAAACATCCTGATGGTGAAATCTCCAGATGTGATTTCTTTCCAAGCTGTAAAAAAAAATTAAAAATAAATCATAAAACATCGAGACATTGTTGTTGAAAACAGTGAGTGTTTAATTTTTAGAAAATTGACCTTGTAAGTCATGAGGAATGTCATCTTTCCCGTCAAAACACGTGACCGGACATGAGAGGAACGGATCATCCGGCTTGTTGCACCTGCAGGAAAGTGAGCAACCTCGATCAAACTTCCTCATGCACTTCAAAGTTAATCAATGTTAGTTTGTTAAAATCAGATTTAATGAAGAACTGGAGCTGCGAGTCCACCTGTAGTTCTCCACGACGTGCAGGTCGGCTTTCAGGGCCGGAAGGAAAAGTTTCAGGACTTCAGGGTTCGAGAGCAGCTCAGGGGGAGTTCCTCCGATCGAAGTCATCCACTTGAGGAAATCCTCATCCGATAACTCACTTCTCTTTGGGGCTTTGATACGGATCTCTGACTGGGGGGAAAAACATACCAATGATTAAAGGAGTTGGGGTTTTGGAGTATCTGCAGATGTCGATACTGCTGACAATGCAGGAAATCTAAAATCATTAAATTGAGTGTATTTAATATGATGAGTTTTCCCACCATCAGACAAATTAATGCACAACTTTAAATGTTATGTCTGTCAAAATGTTGTCTGGTGGTTTGCAGTCTCCCTGAAAAAAGCGTCCACTAGATGGCAGTATAAAACCTCCAAGACTTAAATCTCTGAGCATTAGCCGTGTCTTCAAAGATGTGTAAACTGGTCACTCGTGTATCGCTGTACTGTCCCAGCTGCTGGCTTTTGTGGTCCTCTCCTCTTTAGATGATTTCTTGGTGCTTCAGTTTGATTTCGATCGGTGTTGGCTCAGGGAAGCCACCAGCATTTCTGGGTCATGTTTTTCTCTCTGCGTTGTACATGTGATATTGAACCAACGTATTGATTTCCACTGCAGAGTCATTTTTTTTAATGCAGTGGATTGAAGGCTGAAGATTATGACAGTCCCGCGGGATCAGAGATCAGCCTTGTCCCTTTAAAACGAAGATTTCCTGAATCTCTTCACAGTCTGATGTTCTCCGGTTAATAAAGTCTTCTAATTCTTTGAATGTTGAGCTACTCGCCCACACAGTCTCTCATAGGCTGGTGAATTCTTCCCATCTTTACCTTCACTGTAAGTGACTGGGTCTCTCTGGAGTAGCTTTTTTATACCCACACATGTTACCAACCTGTTGCAAATGAATCTCATTAGTTAGGAGATGTCCCTCAAGTTTGGTTAAAATAAAAAACGTGAAATAAATCAACTCACATAAGGTGCAGAGGCCCCAGACAAGAAGATGTGAACTGGCTCCATGTTATGCAGTCTCTTCAGAGCGTCTGCGACAGCAAAACTTGTGAAGGCACCAAAACTGAAAGAGATGAGAAGGGTTAAAAGTGTTTCAGTGTGTTGTTATTTTAACACATTTGTAGTTTTCATACCTGTGACCAAACAGAGCAAACGGCTTCTCTTTTAGCACAGGTAACAACACGCCAATGACCTCGTCCACAATCTGCTGCATATTCTGGGAAAATGCCTCTTTGGCTCGACTCTCTCTGCCCGGGAGTCTGACAGCAAACACTGAAGAGACAGAAAACATTTCTCTTTACACCCCTTGTGCAGACTTTCTTCCCTGTTTTGCAGTAAATATTTGGATCCCAGTATCTAACATATGAAAGCACAAATAAGCAGTTGCATTTGCAGTATTTTTGCAGTATCTTCTGTGTTTTTTTACCCTCTATTGAGCTGTTGAGGATGTTTCCCCATCTTGCATAGTGGATGGACCCTCCGCCTGCCCAGGGGAAACACACCAGCCTGCTCACAGCACCTGGTCTCCTCTTGAAGCAGGTGATCACTTTATCCATCCTGTAGAAACACAACAGTTTACACACCTGCTGGGACTCATTCATCACTAACTGATGAAGATTTTACAACTTCAAATATTTAGAAGGGTTTCCAAACATCTTGAGCCAAACCTGGTTGTTGCTTTAGGTGTAAGTCCTCATGTTAGTGGGATACTTCCTTGTTATTTCTTCTGTGGTTTATCCATGGAGTAGGTGTGTTCATGGGTTGCGAGGACATCTACAGGCTGGACTGGATATTCAGGCCGAATTATAGGATTTATATTTGCGGTATTTTCAGGGTTTGCCGTCACATCATGAAAACACATTCCTCTAAGAACACATCGGAACATGACGGATGATGGAGTAATTACTGCGCTGATAAAACAGGCTATTTTAAACTCATGACGTCAGAAGTTGAGAAAAGTTCGTCGGAAGTGACGTTGTTTTCTACACTTGGTATTTCCTGACGGATTTCCCTCGGTGAAGGAGCGAAAGGAGGGGATGAATATGACCATCAAGTTAGACAAAGTAAAGGAAGAAAACACCGGAAACCTCATCGGCACCATTTCAAAGTTAGATAAAAGCGAAGCAATGTTGCTCATACATCGAATTATGTAACAATCAATCATATATTGATAACTGTATAGAACTTAACTCATTTATAGTCCACTATGTGTGTTTGTGTGGGTCTCAGCATTATCTCTGAGTGAACAGGGGTCACTTTATAATAATAATGCATTAGATTTCATAAAGCGCTTTATCAGAGACCCTAAAAGCGCTTTACATTGGATACATCATTCACTTTGTGTCACTTGTCTATCCTCAAGTATTAGCATGTTTTCTCATTTCTATGATGTAAAAATTTTCCATAGTATAGATTGTTAAAAAAAATATATCAAAGTATAGCATGATAAAAATGTATAAGAAAAGTATGACAAAATTTCAAATTTTAATATTTAAAAAATGTCATCATAAAGTATGTTAAGAATTTCACATTTTAGTATGGAAAAATGTCATAGCACAGTATGATAACAATATCATAAAGTAGGTGAAAAAATCACATTTTTGTCTAAAAAATGTCAGAGTATAGTCTGATAAAATTGTCATACTATAGTATGTTAAAAATATCACATTTTAATATGAGAAAATGTCATAGTATAGTATGATAACACTGTCATATTAAGGTATCATAAAAATGTTGTATACAGTATGTTATCAAATATGATATGTATATCATATTATTGTCTGACAAAAATTAAGAGTTAAGCATGATAAAAATTTCAAATTTTATTGTGAAAAAATGTCATGTCAATCATATAGTATAATAAAATGTCATGGGACAGTTGATAAAAATGTCACAATAAAGTATGTTAACAAATGTCAAAGTATAGTATGATAAAAAATATCACAGTATAGTACGTTAAAAAAATCGTTGTTTAGTATGATAATGAATTTGATGGTATAGTTTTTTAAAAAACAGATTTTTGGATGTTAACATTTTTATTGTATAGTATGTTAAAAAATATAGTATAGTGTGATAAAAATTTCATAGAATAGTATGATTAAAAAAACTTTGGTTTGCTTTGATTTTTGGATGTAAAAATTTGCCATAGTATAGTACAGTTTGACACACAAACACTGCACAGACAAGACACAGTATGATAAAAATAAAAATGTGATGCTTTTATTTTGGAAGACTTCTCCGGAAGTCTTTCTTATTCGCTCTCGTTAGCTTTATAACAGGCAGCAGAGGGCGGTGTAAGTGCAGACTTCAGACCGGTTTCTCGCCGATTTCGAGGAGGAGGACGCTGGGGTGGAGAGCCCCTCATATCTGTTCGACAAGGCAGAACATCGGATTGTCACGATAACCCACCGAGACGACGAATCCAGTCACTGTCCGGGTAAATTTTCGAGTCCTTGTCGGTTGTCGAGTTGATAGTTTGTCGCTAGTTTGGTCGGCTAAAGCTAACTGACGCTGTTAGCTTACAAACTGCCGCTAACGGCTGAGTGAAACTGAAGCAGCTCCGTCTTCCTCTTCAAACTGACACCAACTCTTTAAAACCAGATTAATACTCATGTTTTTGTTTTTTTTAATCCTTAATTACAACAGCAAACACTCAAGCGGACGCCTGAAGGGACATTTCGTGTCTTTTCAAGCTGTCATCAGCGGCGAAGCGGGTCGAGGGAAGACTGCCAGTCCGAGGGGGAACCCTGAGCGGCCCGGTTCCACATCAGCGACCTAAAGCCGGGGTGCGGGGAGCCGCTGCTGCCCGGGGAGCAGGGCGACGTTCAGCGGATCTGTTCTCAAGTTCTGACCTGCGCGGCGGAGAGAAGTGACAACTGGGTGCCGGGTCAACCGGACTGAGACCTCATGAATGGAAATCGGAACAACAGGTGGGAACCCCTGACTGACTGACTGACTGACTAACTGACTGAGTCTTAATGTGGAGTCCAGGTGCTTCTTGAGTTATGTGCACTCACAAGTTCATCTAGGATCTGCAAGTTAAAATACAAGACTGTAAACATTTAGTTCAATTATTAGAAGTTTACTGAGAAACTCTGAACTTGATTGAAAAAAATGATCACAATATATTTTGTCATATCGTCCGATCTCGATTATTATCCCGATTTTTTAACTGCCTGTTTTAAATCATCTGTACTAAAAACTAAAGAAACTAGAGATTAGTTCAACATTTTATTGACATATGAAGTAAATAACAAAATAAACTGAATAAAATACACTTAAACTCAACAATTTAACAATGTAGATAAATACTAAATAAAACAGTGAATTAGTTTACAGTCCTGAGTGTTTTTGCAGGAATTTAAGACCCAAAATAAACACCTCAAACACGCCCCCTCAGAGAAAATGAAGATGCCTTAAAAATAGGGCCCGACCAATATGGATTTTTTTGTGGCCAATACTGATTATTTGGGGGGGGGAAATCTGATTACTGATTAATCTGCCAATTAAATTTTTTTTTATGAAGTTATAAAAATATATATATTTACTGTAGATAGCTATAGTATACCATATACTGTAGATATTCTGTAGGCTACTGCTCTTCCCAACAAACTTTTCTTTAAAAAAAAACCAGAAATCTACAGTGACCAAGCCTTTTCTCACCTGCACATCATTCTCTCAAGTCTTGTCTATCAGGAGAAGAAATATTGGGAGTGGAACAAACACACAACAGAAACTATTGACATATTTACACTCATTCTTCCAGGCGTTTTTTTTTTACTATTTCCAGTTGTTTATGCCACTCCTTGCAGCAGTTCCTGTCTGGGATGAGACAGAGGACCACATCACACTGTTCAGAATCTCTTCTCTGCTTGTTTCCAAACATTGAGGACCATTATTTCTGATTTTACAGACAAGCAGGGAACTTTCTTGTCTTTTGTTGATCTTTGGTTGCCTCTTATTGGACACTACCATCAAGGGAACAATAGAAGAAAAGAGTTAAAGAGCTTGGATCTGATCTTAGCAGGAAAAGATGAGGGTCAAAGAGCTTGGACCTGATCTTTGCAGGAGAAGATGAGGGTCAAAGAGCTTGGACCTGATCAAACAGACATTAAAATAAACCTGCATTTATTTGACTGAGGGAGGAAGTGCAGTTTGTGAATCTTTTGGATCCGGTTCTCTAAGAATATAAGAAGAATATGAGACCGTGTGATTGGTCAAAAGTTTGACAGAAAAAGACGTCATCAAAACAGTTTGTCAAACCCAGAAGACATTAGCGGCATTTAGTGATAGTGACCGTTTTTTTTATCACAACAATCTGATCAATAATCCTGTATTCATTGTAAACCTTGTGGCAGGTGTAGAAATGTCTGGAAACCCTCGATAGATCACCAAAAGGGTAAACTTTTGAACACTTTTCATCCCATAGAGATACACGGTATGGTTCCTGAGAAACTGTGAACAATATTAATGGTTTCAAGTGTTAAATCCATTCTGAAATTACTGGTACATAGGTTAGGTTTGGAGGACAATAGTGGAAGGACAGACCAGGATAACTGATGAGCCTCCCAAAGGTAAAGTGCACCGTTAGTGACAAAAATTTGGAAGTGTAATCTTTGAAGAGCGTTGTGTTACTCTAAAATTAAAATGACAATATAAGTTATGCTGATTTAACCCTTGATACGTCAGCTCTAACATTGAGTAAGATCTAACCCCGACAACTGACTATAGTAAAACAGAGACCGGCACAGATGGATCAGATCAAGCAGTCCAGGTCAGCTCCTAAGGAAACAAGAAAGTACTTTTCACTTTTTAACATATAGCCACGTGAGAATGTTGAGGTAAGAGATTTTGGTTTGGGAGCTGCAGTTTCTACTGTCTACGGTGTTTCGCAGTAAGTGTGGGAAAAAAAGCAAATCTTTAGAAAGGTGAAAACATAATACAGGTGATAATATGTTTTCCTTTGTGACAGTGAAGGCGTTTTAAAACCAGGTTTCAGACAGGCTCTCTGTTGGATAATGCTGTAATGGTTAAAAATACCCCAAAACCTTTATGGAGATTTGATCCGGATCCAAACCAAAACTAGATTAGATGATCTAAATTTAGGTTTTTTCTTTTGTTTCATTTCTAACAATTCAAATTTGAGTTTTGATTCAGTCTGATCAGATTTACCGTTAAACGACTTGGCACAGGTCCATCCTTGATAGTTTCACACTTGTGTTTTAGCGGTCACTTTTGCGCTTTAGTGACCCTGTGTGTGTGTGTGTTTTGTGCATGTGTGAATGTCCCAAACCAGTCCCACGGGTTATTTGTTCTGCTGACGTCACTCTTTGTCGGCTGTCAAAGGCAGGTGGTGATCCCGTCAGGTGTGTCTGAAGCCTGAGAGAGGCCGGCTCACATTCAGGGCGGAGTGTGTGTGAGTGTGTGTTCACGTCAGTTTGAAGGGCAGCCTTTCACACCAGCTGCTGTCATAGTTACCCAAGCTATCGAATAATGTTCAGTTAACCGCTGCCTGTGTTAATTACAAATCAATTGAGCATGGCAGCACATTATTCAATCTACTTTGTTACCAGGGGGCTGAATTTGTGAGTCCCAGCTTGTGTATTATTGATGTTGTTGGGGGCAGTGGTGGACCGAGAGAAGGGAAAGAGGGTCAGACCGGTTCACTGAGGGGGAGCCATTCATACTTTTCTCACTCCACCCGTTTTCCAGCGTGAGAGCAGGACAGTGACGCTTTATCGAAGATCTTTAAATCAGCAAACGACCACGAAAATAAGAGATTTAGTTTGTTGAATCTTGACAACATGGATGTTGTTTAGAGAAGGCATTGATCCGGTAAGTAAACAGTCAGGCAGGTATCAAGAAACTGATCACCAAGAACATTTTCAAACGAGCCTGTTTTTAAGATTTTCTATCAGGTAAAGATGAAGCAATTTGAAGCCGTTTTCATTGAGAGCACCGCAGAGATGCTTAGCCAGGGGTGTAAGTGTATCTGCTTTTGGGGAACCAATACACAACAGCCACCACTGACGACACAGACAGGAGATGAGAGCCACTTAGAGGATATTACCCCACCTTTCTGGGTACAAAGCTGACGGACTGGTGTCAAGTCAATGCAAAGAGATTTCCCAGACTGGTAAAACTGGCACACCAGTATGTCTGCATACCAGCAACATCAGTGCCTTCTGAGTGTGTGTGTGTGTGTGTGACCCAGTTGTGACACCTGGACAAGCAGGTAGAAAACGCGACACTGTAGTCTGTGATACTGTTGTTCAGTCCAGTCCAAGTTTTCATAACGACACATTTGTTAAGGTTATTTCTATGAGCCTGATCCACATGTTGATGTTCTGTGTGTTGAACTATTCGTGCCCTTCCATGTGTTCTGTAGCTGTTTAATACGGTCAGTCACATCCATTATGTTGCTTTAGAAAATACAGACGAGGGCCCGACCCATATGGAATTTTTGAGGCCAATACTGATACTGATTATTAAGGGGGGAAAAATCTGGTTACTGATTAATTGGCTGATTTTTTACATTTTTATGAAGTTTTAAAATTTTGTCACTTTAAGTAATATTTCTACATATTTCCTTTTTTTAACAAATGTCTGCTTTTGAGCCTCTCAAACACTTCTTCAAAGAATTAAAGCCAGAAAACTCATTTCAAATCCTTTTTATTGCTAAAACAACCCCAGGCTCTTTATTTTAACTGTAATAAAGATGATAAACTTATTCTTTTCTGCTTATTATTCAGACTGTAGCAGGTGTGAGTCTGATTATTTTGTCAAACTCACACACTTGTCATCCTCTAAAATAAACGCTCTATATAAATAATATATAATAATATAAATAAAATATAAATAATATAATATAAATAAAAATAAAGTTAACTCACGTACATCATGAAAATGAGGAACACTCGATATACTGTAGGCTACTGCTTTTCACACCGACAGGAAGACCGACCGATCATCTGAGTCGGGCCCTAGATGTAATTTAAAGGGTCCAAAGTTTCCTTTTATGGGGGTATCCAGTTATGTTTCCTCCATACTGGTAAATTTTTAGTTCTTTTTAATGAATGAAAACTGTTAAAAACGTGTTAAAAACAGTGGAGGAGACTTAAAATAACTGAACTCATAGTATTTAATTTTGAACACGTTTTATTGTTCTTAGTGTGAGTCAAATTATGTTGAAGATTGATGATTCATTCATTCTTCCTGTGGGAGATTTGTCAGGACTGGTCTGTTTTACACGTGAAGAGCTCGCTCACTTGTGTGGGCTGAATGTCGTGTTTGTGTGTGATGCAATTCATGATGAAACAGTCTGATAAGTGCGTATTAGTCTCCCCATTGTTGCTCATTCGACAGTGAACCTTTGTGTTTTTGGGGCCTAAAGACGCGGCTGTCAGACTGTCACCCAGTTTAGGGTATTTTTCAGATTTCCAAAAAGACAAGCTGGATTCCTTTTGTCGTAACTTTTTTTTTGTTGACCTGTCTTTACTCGTTGGTGGTTAGAGGAAAATTTTTTCGTCTCAGTATCAGGCAAAGCAGGGGGAGGAGCTCTATTAGAGTCTTTATTTGTTTAGGCATGCGAGGGAAAGTGCAACCTTAGATGAACTGTACTTGGTGGATCGAGTAAAAACAGGTTGATCACCTGTTACTCTGAATGAATTTCTACAGCAGATCGATGCATCAAATCAGACATTTTCCATCAAAAACAGAAAAACGTGCAGCGGTTACATTAACATCTGTATGTTACATGAACCTCTGCTGAGTTTTTTTATGTGCACATGTGACCCTAGATACATTTGAGAATTCGCACACATCTATTTTTAGTCACAAAAGCGAGTGAAACAGTCGCGCTGTCGAGCCCTGAAATTATTGATAATTATACTGATTTTTGTGTTTATATGTTTAGGCAGGGTTTTTCCTGGCTCAAATTGAGGCAGAGGTGGCACCATCCTGACCATGCGCCACGACATGCATGTATTTGTAAATTCAACCGATTCACTTTCTTTTACAGGCAACATACTTTAAGTTAAGAGTTCAAAAAAGAGTGTGACCATTATTATGTTAAAGCATTCATTTATTAAAACTATATACATACACAAATCAGCTGGCAACTTTAAATTGAAAGTACACTTCATCCACACATCTCGCAACCAGACAGAACATTTCAGCCTCCTCTTTTTCATTCTGTAGAACCTCCTCATGCACTCCTTGTAGTCCAAGGCCTCCTGGTCTGGTCCATCAACGGCCACCTTACAACAGACATCCAAGTGCCTCTCCTTCAGTCTGTTCCACAGAGGTGTCTTCACCTTAAACAAAACAATTCATCATGCATTAAGTATTTTTGTTTTTATTCTGATACAGACATGAAGAGCGATAGTGTTTTCAATCATATATTATATATATATATGTACACGCTGCAGTGTCCTCCCTAAAAAAAAAAACGACAACCAATTATTTCTTAAACTATCTAAACTATGTTATTTTAGTTTTTGTAACTTTATTAGTTGAGTTTTTTTAGGTACTACCATCTTTAATATATTTCTCCTTCTCTTCAGCTGCTTTGTGAATGGCTGTCACCTCATGTCTTTTTAATGTGTCCAGCCTGTAGTTGGTTGATGGCTGTCTCACTAAGGAGGCAGCAATTGCCTGCTGTGTTGGGGCACAGTGCTTTTGGCATAAATAGCAGTGCATGCCTTCCTCAGTATGCCCGAGCCAGGTAAATTGATTGAGCCACTGCTTGTCAAAGCCACTGGCTCTGTGTTTTTGAGAAGATCTGGAAAGAGGAATAAAAACCATGTACATGTTGGTTTTGCGTTGTTATGCTCCTAATTGGAAACTAATTAATTAATTACCCTCGCCTCGCCGACTCGTCCTGTCCTGCATTCTGACCCTCGCGATCACCAGTCCCTTGTGAAGTACTTTCAGACCTGACACAAATTTCCACGTTGTCACCAACATGAATTATAGCATTTTAACTGCCTGTTACGTTTTTTCTCTGCTGTGTTTCACTTGGACTCTTGACTTTCCTCCTCGCGAGGTCGCTTTTTAAAGTACTGGCTGATTTTGCCTGTCATATCTGCAATGCTATAAAACGGAGTAAACTTTTTTTTTTTAAATAAACACGTCATGCTTGGATGCCAAAAAGAGAAGCAGTATTTACCTGTTTGTACCATCCGCCAGGGAAAATCAGTACGCCGATAGCACCAACTAGCGGGAAAAAAACTTGAAAAAACATGATTCGATCCGCTTCTTCTTCGGTAGAGGCTTCAGGTCTTTCCGGTGCACTGCTGTTGATATAGCGCCTCTATAGTGGCGTAACCCTGCAACTGCAGTTAAAATACGTTGCTGCTGCATCGGGACATCAATCGCTCAATCAACACAGCTGGAGCTTTACGCTGTGTTGAGCTCAGTCTTCCTCTGCTGTACTGATGCAGACACAAAAACCGAACCCTCTATGGTCCGTTAACCGTCCGTGTGAGGGCCCACGATATTAAGCAGCTCCATGATGAGCGAGGAAACGCCATCTTAAAAACGCACACATGTTTTAACAGTCATGTGACACACAGACGCAGAGTCTACATACAGCACAGTGTTCAGCTCTCTGTGCATTAAAGTGACGTCCACAAAGTGTTGACATGTTCGGGTCACAAACGTCTCATCATGTCCGACTCTTCATAGTCTGAGTTTTTTGAGTCTCTGGGTGAACGAGTAAAATCTGTGCGCACCTGTTTTTCTATCTCCTGTCAGCATGCCTTTAGTTGCTATGGAGAAACTGTAGCAACCTAAGTGCCGTCTCCATGACAACGGCACAGGGGAGGAGGCAACCTAGGGACACGGATAGATAACACCTTATGGCAGATTCAGGGTCAGCGTCAGTCCTGGACCCTGAGAGGAGCTTCAGTCAGTCTGTGACTCTGATCTGACGCCTGATTGTTTTTATCCTCAGAACTACAACCACTGTCTCTACCACTGTGTGTGTGTGTGTGTGTGTGTGTGTGTGTGTGTGTGTGTGTGTGTGTGTGTGTGTGTGTGAGCGCGCGCGGCTCCTCTGAGTCACATTGGTGGAAACTGCGTGGCTCCGTGTGTGATGTCATTTGATTTCTTTCGCCAAGTTCTTTCCAGTTTGGCATTTATGAAAATTGGTGTCAAATTGTCGTGGCGTGTCAGCCTTCGCCTACTTTCCCCTCCCGTCTGGCGAGGGCTGCCTCAGACAGGAGAAATCGCTCTTTATTCAAAATGTCAGCGTATCCTGTAACCTTTTTATACGCTCGTAATCAGATCAACGAGGGGAAAAAACGGCTTTGGTCCGTTTGTTTCAGTTTTGTCCGTTTTATTGGGAGGAAATCGTTGTAACGTCCCTGGCCATCTTCAGTCCCGTCTCACACCTTCTGCTCTTTCCCCCGATGAACCACTTCCTTCCTTCCTCCAGTTTGTCATCGTCTGAAAGCTCTCAACCGTTTTTAAAGGGTAGATTTCAGTCAGGATATCTGTTCAGGCTCTGTGTGAGCCGCTCTGGTGAAGCAGATGAAATATGGACGTGTATTTGTGTTCTTGGTCATCGTCTGTGTTTGACATGAAGGATGAGAACGATACGAACAAAACGGAGTGATCATTGAAATGATAATTCAAGGGACAGGTTTCTGGTCCAGGTTTGATCAGTCGGTGTTCCTGTCGGCGTGAAGAGCAGCAGCCTACAGTTTATATTTTTTATAACTTCATAATAAAATAAAAAAATCAGCTGATTAATCAGTAATCAGATTTTCCCCCCGTATCGGTCAGGCCCTACTTTAATGTAAAGAGAATTTTCTGTCCTGTGTTCCTGCAGGAGCAGCTGAAGCCCAAGCCCTCTTCTCGTTGCCACGGAGACCTGGCTATGGCACCATCGGGAAGCCCATTAAGCTTCTGGCCAACTGCTTCCAGGTGGAAATACCCAAGATCGACGTTTATCTGTACGAGGTGGACATCAAACCGGACAAATGTCCTCGCAGAGTCAACAGGTAACAGGAAGGACGTGAAGGAACCATCCGAGCTTCTGTCCGTTTGTGTTCCTGTCTGCTGATGGAGGTGACATGTTGTTTTTCTGGGGGTCTCTGCAGGGAGGTGGTGGACTCCATGGTTCAGCACTTCAAGGTGACCATCTTTGGTGACTGTCTGCCAGTTTACGATGGGAAGAGGAGCCTTTACACCGCCAACCCGCTGCCTGTCGCCACTGGGGGGGTAAGACGACACATGAAAGTTTGAATCAAGGATTAGTGATCTAAATCTGTACCAGATTCTATCAGTAATATGATGTATAGGGTCTGTTTTATTTATTTCTAATGCTTAAATTTCCCCGGACGCCACTGTAACCCAAGTTTTCCTCTTCAGGTGGATCTGGATGTCACCCTACCAGGCGACGGTGGAAAGGACCGCCCGTTTAAAGTCACTATAAAGTTTGTGTCGCTGGTCAGCTGGCACATGCTGCACGAAGTCTTGACGGGACGCGTCATGGCCGAGCCGGTGGATCTGGACAAACCCATCAGCACTAATCCTGTTCACGCTGTGGACGTGGTCCTGAGACACCTGCCCTCCATGAAGTGAGTTTAAACCCTCCATCCCTCCGCAAAGACGGACGGAGACAAACTATCAACTCACAAGTCTTTAAAAAACAAGTGTCAGGAAAAAACTCCAATCCTAAAGTCCTAGATCTGTGGATCCATATCTACTCAGAGACATTTTAACTGATAACTAAATAAAGTCATGACCACATCAGTAAGAAAAATTACAAATGACTCTATCAAACCAGATCAGTGGTAGTTTTTAACGTTAGTGTGCGTGATAACTGACAAAGATCATCTTTGTGTCAGAGGGCTGAAGGGTTTTAATCTTAATATCACTGATTTAAACACCAGAAGAGCGTTTCTTATAGATTAGTTTGGTCATGAAATATGACCCCGGGATCTTTGCATCCTGCTGCCGTTAAGCCCCTCTAATTTATTATGTAGTATTTCAACCACAGTGAGTCACACACTGGAACAGGTGCCGTTTGACGGGGACAGGTCGGTGTCTTACTGAGGTGGATATACAGCGCGGTGTTTCTGCGATATTGTCGGGCTCAAGTGGGATTTAGATTCAGCGCGGAGGAAGAGATTAGAGGCACATTTGATGTAATCCACCTCAGGTTCTGCCATTTGGCGAGTCCATTAACCAGAACAGTTTAGATCTAAAACCTTCCTGTGGTTTCAGACTCGCTGAACTACGCAGTTTTATTTCAGCACCCAGTTAACCTCCGTGTCACCTCTCTGTCCTCTTCAGGTACACGCCTGTCGGGAGATCTTTCTTCTCCTCCCCAGAGGGCTACGACCACCCGCTGGGCGGAGGGAGGGAAGTTTGGTTCGGCTTCCATCAGTCGGTTCGGCCCGCCATGTGGAAAATGATGCTCAACATTGATGGTGAGGAGAACGTGTTCGACCAAGGACATTTAAAATGAGAGTTTAATTCGTTTGGGGTCTGTGAAGCAAATCTGGAGCTTCGCAAAAAAGCAGGTAGCTTTGTATGAGTGTTGGGCGGTATGAACAAAATCTAACAGTTTGAGTAATTTCATATCACTGTAACAGGATATATCACTGTCTGTTTTTCCCTGTAAATTCAGTTCGTGGTTTAAAAATATCCAAACTGTCTTATTTGTTCATTTTCCATCAAAAAAGAAGAACTCCAGTCAGCGCCCTCATTTAATATCCTGCCTTTAAAAAAATCTAAACAGAGAATCGATTGGAATCGGAATCGTTCAAAATCAAACGTTACTCAACCCCCCGACACACTGGTGAAAATATGGAAACACACCTGAATGGATTCACTTTCCTGTTAGCGAGCGCAGACATCTCCACACTGACTCAGAGAGACCACCGCTCACACAGTTTATACCGTCATACTGACCGTCAACTCTCCTCTGCATTAGATAAAACTGAGCGAGTGATTGTCCAAATCAGCCCTCAGCATAAATCAAGTTCTCTGATTCTGAAAAACTAAAGCTGGTCTGAGTCTTTCCAAAGTCTCGGCCTGGTCACCTTGGATGTTTCGTCTCATCGTCACGGTTAATCTTCAGAAACCTGCACAGACTGTGATGGAAACATGCGGAGCTACATCACAGGTCCAAAAACCAGAACCTCCCTGTGTCCTGGTTTTAAAGTCGTGAGCTTTAAAGGTCC